TGAAGATTGACATCTCCAAGTATAGGGGGGTCGAAGAAGACTCCCTCTTGAGATGGTGTGTCGAATTAGACAACGCCATAAGGGAGCGTCGCATCGACGACGGGGACATGCAAGTTGCATTTGCCCAGTCAAATCTGGCAGGACGTGCCAAGACTTGGGCACTGGTGCTCAAGTTGCACGACCCATACGCGTTTGGGTCGTTAGAAGTCTTCAAGTCGCGGCTCAGACAAACGTTTGAACCGCCTAGAGCTGAGTTCAGAGCTCGAACTGAACTCTTGAAGCTCAAGCAGGGTAAGCGTGATGTGCACGCTTACGCGCAACATATACGACATCTCACGAGTTGTATAAGTTCCAATCCGGTGGATGAACACACGTTGGTTTCAGTGTTCATGCAGGGTCTTGCGGATGGTCCCGTCAAGACTCACCTGTTCCGACTTGAACTAGATTCACTAGAACAAGCCATTTCCATTGCGGAACAGGAAGACTTCAGTCTGAGACAGGCTCGCGCCAGCTCGACATCATATCGTCAACCGAGACGATATGACAACGGAGGTCCAGAGCCGATGGAACTCTGTTATGTAGAGAGCGAGAAGGCTCGCTCTACAGGCTACAGGAAGTTGCAGAGATGCAACAGATGTCAAAAGACAGGACACTACGCTTACGAGTGTAGTGCCCCTCGTCCAGTGTCTCGCGACACTGGGCGTAGTGACCGTCCACCCATGAGAAAGGGGCAGGGACGCGGGTCCGCTGTTGGTGCAAAAACACAACAACGGGATGGACCGTCAAAAAACGGACAGGATCAGTAGGTGCGGAGCACCCTACTGGTCCAGCAACGTCAAGAGAATTTGTAGGCCCCTTGATGAAGGTTGCTCCCAACACACAAACGTTGTGCGTTGCTGCTCTAGGTAATGAGGTCTCACTCATTACCTTGAAACTCGAAGTGACAGATAAGTTGTCCCTTCGAGCTCTAGTCGGTTGTGGGGCGTCCAACAATTTTGTGCGACGCCAATCTCTAGAAGATAGTCACTTTACGTTCAGTGAATGTGACACACCTCCTACGAGGATGACGGTACGTCTTGCGACAGGCGCATCCGTAACCGTCATGAAGCGTATAGTGAAGATCCACTATACGCTAGAAGATACCCAACATGACGATGACTTTATCGTATTAGATTTGGATGACAAATTCGATGTTATCCTTGGAATACCGTGGCTCGGAAGGTACGAACCACGGGTAAACTGGCAACATCGGACAGTAACGATGCCTGCCGCTTGTTCATCAGATGGCCATCTGATGAACGTTTTGGAGCGTCCACAAGCGTGTGGATGTACTACGAGTGAGTGAGATGGCCTCACTTGTGGTACGGTCGTTAGTACGACTGCACAAAACCTTAGTGTACCAAACGGTTACACTTCGGAGAAAAGTTCCGGCGGCTGTAAGGAAACACAGGCTGCGCCGAAGGTCCACCACTCGAATAAGTCGGGTGGACTGGGACAAAGATGTATCCCTAGCGGGGAACATCTAGAAGAGAAACAATCGATCGCTCAGGTTAAGCGAAACGATAATCCTAGATCGACTGGAGAGTCTTTCGTAGAGGATCTCGCTGTGGTTGCGCAACCCCAGCTAGAGGAAGTAAAGGGAATAAGTCCCAAGATTACAAATACGGCGGAAATAAGTTCCCCGAAACCCGCGGGAATAAGTCCCAGGGAAGCCGAAGGAATAAGTCCTTCGAAGCCTGAGGGAATAAGTCCCCAGGAAATGACAGAGACATTGAATGTCATAGTCAATAACGGATCAAGTGTAGGCGCTTATACACTTGATCTGATTGCGCCTCCAAAGTTAACTTCGGAGATCACTCAGTTGCCAACGCTCGGACATAAAAGGTTCTTGCGTGATCTGCGTAGTGGCAAAGTCAAGCAGATCTGCGTACTCGTCGCTGACGACGAGTGTGTAACCGACATAAGGTCAGCAACAGTGTTTACTGAGAACGAGAGAGTTCTCAGTAGTTCATCTATGGACGAGAGTGTCCTAGATGAAAAGACACGAATTGAGCGATATGACTCCCAATCATGGGAATCGCTCAAGAAAAATCCTCTCTATGAAGATTTGGTTGAATTCAAGGATGTGTTCCCTGAAACTGTTCCGTGCGAATTACCGAAGATTAAAGGTATTCGACACGAGGTCGAGCTTAAACCAGGCTCGAAGTACTGTGTCATGAAGCAGTGGCCACTGCCCCGTGAACAAGTACTTGCGATCGACAAGTTCTTTGCCGATCGTTTAGCTGCGGGCCATGTGAGGGAATCAACTTCCCCACATAGCTCTCCGACCTTCTGTGTGCGAAAAGCAACAGGAGGGTGGCGGATAGTGCACGCGTTCAACAAATTGAACGCTGCAACGGTACCGGCTCAGACACCGATACCGAGGAAGGACGTAATCATTGATGGTATGTCAAAGAGTACCATCTTTTCGTCCATGGATTTGATGGATGGCTTCTATCAAATCCTTATGCGAGAACGGGATATACCCTATACCGCAGTTAGCACGCCTAGCGGCATGCTCTGGGAATGGCTAGTAATGCCACAAGGGCTTAGTAATGCCCCTGCCACGTTCAACAGATGTGATACACATCTGTTGAGACCAGTACGAGAATTCGCGCCGAGTTATTTCGATGACGTATTCACCCATAGTCGAGCTATGGATGGAAAGTCGGACGTTGAGGTTCACAGGTACCACGTCCGACAGGTTCTTACAATCATGCGAAAGCATCAATTGTATGCAAACCTCAAGAAGTGTATATTTGCAGCAAGCGGAATACCACTTCTTGGGTGCATCGTTGGTAAGAACGGTGTACGTCCTGATCCCGAAAAGATCAAGGCGATCACCGACTGGCCTGTGCCGGTTGATGTCAAAGGTCTTCGAAAATTCCTTGGGCTAGCGGCGTATTTGCATAAGTATTCACGCAATTACGCCGAAATGACTGTGCACCTCTCTCGTTTGTTGAAAAAGAACGAGAGGTGGTTATGGAACGCTGAATGTCAGCGCTCCTTTGAGGGTATCAAGCAGAGCTTGATACAATCCCCAGTCCTAGCAATAGCCGATCAGGACAGGCCATTTCATGTGGTCTGTGATGCCAGCGATTTTGCAATCGGCTGTGCACAAATGCAGTACGACCTAGAAGGCGTTGAACGCGTCGTCTGCTATCAGTCGCGTCAGCTGCAACCAGCTGAGCGGAACTATACAGTGCATGACAAGGAACTCCTTGCCATGAAGTATGCACTCGTGAAGTTCAGAGTCTATCTATTAGGAGATATATTCTTCATTGTTTACACTGACCATGCGTCATTACGCACGGCAGTGAACAGCCCGCACCTTTCACAACGAATGGCGCGGTGGTTGTCATTCTTTGCAGAATACAACTTTACGGTCGAGTACAAACCAGGACGACTTGATGTCGTCGCTGATGCACTCTCACGTCGTCCCGACTTTGAAACAGTCGCGAAACCCAACAGTGAGACAGTCACTGTTGCGGTTATGACGTCCTCAGTCCCATCTACAACGTTGTATGATGATGTGAGGCGGGCGTATGCCCAATATGGTGAGATTGTGAAGTTGTTGACACATCTCTCCCAACCATCCCGAGAATCGTTAAAACGATTGTCGCCTGCGTATCGATCTGCATCAGATCGATACACTACTCGTAACGGTTTACTGTATTATACAGCCGTTTCTGGTGACACACCACGTGTTGTCATTCCAGATGATACTGATCTGCGTTTGCGGATCATGTTCGAGTATCACGATGCTCCTATAGGAGGACATCGTGGCCGAGAGAAAACATATCTCACGGTGAGTCGAGACTTTTACTGGCCCCGCCAGTATCAGTTTGTGCGAAAGTATGTTCGCGCATGCGAAGTCTGTCAACGAGTGAAGTCAAGTCCTTCACTGCGTGCACCTTTACAGCCTCTACCGGTTCCGGCTGAGTGCTGGGAATCCATCTCAATGGATTTCGTCTTCGGGTTGCCCAAAGACGCACGCATGAATACGGGTATACTTGTATTTGTTGACAGATTCAGCAAAATGGTACACCTTGTGGCTGTACCAGAGACAATCACAGCAAGTGGCTGTGCTTGTGTCTTTATTGACACCATCTTCCGACTTCATGGGTTGCCCCGTGAACTCGTATCAGACAGAGATCCACGATTCACTGCTGATTTCTGGCGTTCCGTGTTCAAATCACTCGGAACGCGCTTGAAGATGTCGACATCTGATCATCCAGGGTCAGATGGTCAGACGGAACGTGCCAATCGTGTCCTTGAAGAGATATTTCGAGGATACGTACACTCCTTTAAGAGTTGGAGTGAGTTTTTGCCAATGGTAGAGTTTGCCATGTACAACTTGGTGCATGCGTCCACGACACATACACCGTTTTACGTGAATGGCTTGCGCCATCCGCGTGTACCCACCTTACTAGAGTGTTACTCTGGTTTAAGGGGGAAAGGGACTCGCGCGAGCAAAAACCGATTTGGTTCACGCTCATCACGCTCTGACGAAGAGGTAATTGCGTTTGATGCCGAAATCGATAACATCGATATCGAAGAAGATGATGCCAGTGAGAGTGCGGAAGTTCTCACTGAAGAAAAGGTTGATGTTGCTGCAGTGCGCTCACATCGCACTGAAGCTAACGAGTCATCAGATGAGTTCATACTGGCTCGTGAAACGGTAGTCCGTTTTGTGCAAGACTCCATCGCCGAAGCGGTGGATGCGCAAAAGCATAACGCTGACAAGAATGGAAGGTCAAACACTCTTTTATTTAATAAAGGTGACTTAGTCCTACTGTCTACGGTTAATCTACCAAAGCATGTAGTGACTAACTTGGGCAGCAGTAAACTACTACCCAAGTACATCGGCCCATTTCGTGTATTGCACCGCCTAGGCAATGCATACACGATCGAGTTACCACGTAAGATGCGAACGCATCCCACGTTTTAAGTTGGTCGGCTTAAGCCGTACCATCAGTACGCTGCTTCTTCCGATGAAGAACGCCCTTGCGCTCAAGCATCTCGCAGAGAGCCTTGTGCTCCCGATGGTGGCCATCGACAAGGGTCTGAAGAGCAGCTACCTCATCCCGAGACCGATCAACAATCCCACGAGCTACCCTTAGCTCGTCACGAAGAGATGTCAGAGATCTCTCGTTCTCAAGCTGAGCAAAGGAAAACTCAGCTCGATGCTTCGAGGCAGTGTCCGCCATTTGGAGACGCCTATTCCGCTCATGTTCGAGATCGTCGCGTAACCCTTGCGTTACGCAATCAAAGAAACTCTCGGGAACACACGGATCCCCATGATCGTGTGGAGAGCGTCTTTCCTCCTCCTCCACCTCCATTAGAGGACTCTCGCGGTGGCCAGCGCTATCTAGTTGAGCAGCTGTTGAACCACCGCGACGTGAACGGACGTCGGACGAGTTATCTCGTCCGGTGGCGCGGCTATCCCCCGTCCTGGGATACTTGGGAGCCCCGCTCCCAACTGATGATCGACGTACTGGGTCTGGTTGAGCAGTACGACGCGGCACATCCTGTACCGCAGAAGGACCGCCGGAGAAAGTCTTCCCGGCACGGTCGTAAAGGGATTTCAAGTTGTCAATCCCTTCGTACATCTCACTAGAGATACGCACGCGCCACCACGGGCTATTGGGGAGGTAAGCCTCCTTAGGTGCTCGTGCAGAGTTGTTCACACAACACGGGCACGAGTCTCCCCAAGAGAGGCAGGGTAATCCTTTCTCCCTTGACAGACGATGCAGCTTGTAGCGTGCACCTGTCGGGGCTCGCTTTTCAAACTTATCACGAGCTTTGATAAGCTTGTCGTTCCAAGCGTCACGACCTACATCCTCAAGGTTATGGATGTAGGCGTTCCACGCTTGAAGTAGTGAGGGACCATCACGCTTGTGATTCCCACTGTACCATCGATGTCTTAAGAAAGCAACGATGAAGAATTCATGTTCAGCGCGATAGTTTTCGCACTGGGGTGAAGGTGATGAATCCTTGACGAATCGAACAACCGTGTTCGATAACGATCACTCGTCGTCGCCGACAAGTGATCCATGAATGATTTAGATGGCATCCATGCCTTCTTCTCAGGAGCGAGACGCAACACATTGCGGTCCCGCTCTTCCTGCGACGTGTCGACAGAATTACTGGCACCTCGTTGCGAAGTGGTGTCCATAGGAGAACCGACACCACTGTTAGCGCCCGAGTCTCGCGACCTCGAGCGCCTACGCTTCGGCGATGGTTCATCTGATTCATCAGATGAACCAAAGATGCTACGACGCAAAGCATCGTCCATGCCACGCTTGGCAGGCGGCTTGGATTCAATCGCCGTCGATACGGATCCGTCTTCCGTATCAGGAGAGTACGAGACACCGAGCTCGTACTCTGTGAAGACATGAGTGTCTTCATGACCAGCGCCTGCATCACCAAGTGACACAGGCTGGGTCGCTTCAGCAACCGGTGAGACATCCGTTGCTGTGGTTTCTGCTTCGGCGTCCGCACAGAGACGTGCGGACGCGCTCTCGGCGGCCTTGCTCGCGCATCGCATGGGCTTGTTAACCATGCGATGAGAGGTTGGAAAGTGGACTCGGACCAACAAGTGCAAACCCCGTCCCAAATGATTTAGGACGAGTATTCATTTAGTCAATCAGTCACTAAAGTGACTGATGGTTAAGGGGGGGTGATGTAACGGGGTGAACCGTTACATAACAATTTATAAGAAATTGTTAATAGACTATAACTATTAGAGGTATTTTCTCAGAATATTGTCATAAGGACAAATACTGTAGCACTTACGAGTAGTTCCTAATTGGTTGATTTAGGCCATTATATTAACCAACGAAGACGCGCCACGACAGACGCACGCAATGAGTGGTGAGCAGATAATTGTTTACACATTTGTATTTAGACATAGTTAGATGAAGATAAATAGTGATTTATTGCAGACATTAACTATGCTAAATACAGTTCTACTTTTTACTTTAACCAAGTACTCGCTTCTTCTTACCGTCTTTGTAACGGGGTGAATCGTTACATAACAATTTATAAGAAATTGTTAATAAAATATAACTATAAGAGTTATATTCTCAGAATATTGTCATAAGGACAAATATTCTGTAGCACTTACGAATAGTTCCTAATTGGTTGATATAGGCCATTATATCAACCAACAAAGACGCGCCACGACAGACGCACGCAATGAGTGGTGAGCAGATAGTTGATTTACACATTTGTATTTAGACATAGTTAGATGAAGATAAATAGTGATTTATTGCAGACATTAACTATGCTAAATACAGTTCTACTTTTTACCTTAACCAAGTACTCGCTTCTTCTTACCGTCTTCCTCTGCACGTACGAGTGTACGTGAAGTTACGAGGCACCGCCTTATTCTGTCATCAGAATAAGTAGCTTGTACTGTCACCAGTACAAGCTTCAAAGTGCCCCGTTACACCCCCGCTCCACAGCGAAGTTCTAACAATCCGTGTTCCGTTCACTCGGAATGCGTTTGAAGATGTCAACATCTGAATATCGTGAAACAGATGGCTAGAAGGAAGCGTCGACCGCGTCCTCGAAGAGATTCTTCGAGGGTACCACTCGTTTCTGAGTTATAGTGAGTTCTTGCCGATGGCGGAATTCCCACCAACAACTCGGTGCATGCGTCAACAACGCATACACCGTTCTTCGTGAATGGACTACGCCATCCACGTTTACCCGCCTACTTAAGAGTGTGAATCTAGTTTAAGGGATGGGTGGACTCGCTCGAACAAAAACCGATCTGGTTCTTGCTCATCACCCGTCGACAATGGTGTAGACGTGATGGATGCCGATGTCGATTGCATCGAAATCGATGATGATGATGACGACGATGCTAGTATATTCAGCATCGTCAATGACTACCACAGTGAGGACGATAACGCATTCACTGGTGAAGACAACGTTCTTTCAACAGTGCACACAAAGCGCACTACTGTTAAAAAGGATGAAGTAACAGAGGCATTTCTGCTGACTCGCGAAGCGGTTATCCGCTTCATTCAAAACTCTATTGCAGATGCACTATACTAGCATAAACGAAACGCAGCAAACATGGAAGAGCAAATGTTCATTCATTTAAAGAAGGGGACTTAGTTATACTGTCTACAGTTAATCTACCAAAACACGCAGTGACAGACATGGGCAGCAGCAAACTACTGCCCAAGTACATCGGTCCAATTCGTGTGTTGCGCCGAATGGGCAACGATTGAACTGTCTTGTAAGATGCGTACGCACTCTACGTTCTACGTTGGACGTCTCCGCCCGTAATATCAGTACAAGCCCGTTTCGAGATGCGAAGAACACCTCCGCGGTCGAGAGCCGAGACTACCTTCGAGTGGTCCCGTTTCAACGAGCCGGTCTGGTCGACTAGCGGAGCGAACTGCTCACGCAATAGAGCGATGCCTCGACGAGCTGCAGCCAGCTCGTCAAGGAGAGAACGAGTCGAACGTTCGTTCACATATTGTGCAAACGAAAAAGCGGCACGATCGTCCGAACGATCGTGCGTTAAGGAATTGTAATGATCCTTTACAAGGTCATGGAGCTCGTAACGCCGAGTCCTTACATGAGCCAGGTCATCGTGTAACTGTTCCGTTACACGGTTCAGTTCCTGAACATCGAGCTGATCCGACCCACAAGCTGGATCAGGTGTTCCCGCCACCACCACATCCTTTGGTGGACTCAGGCGGTGGTTAACGCTCTCTAGTGGAGCTTATTTGGAACCATCGCGACGTGAATGGCGTCCGGACGAGTTACCTCGTCCGCTGGCGTAGCTATCCACCGGCCTAGGACAGCTAGGAGCCCCGCGCCCAGCTGCTTGTTGATGTTCTGGGTCTCGTTGAGCAATATGACGAGACTTCGCTGCGTTCGAAGAAGGGTTGTCGGAAAACGACCTCCCTGAACACGAGTACAGGGATTGCAAGGTATCAATCCCTTCAGCCATCTCGGAAGAGATGCGCACCCTTCAGTAGGGATCATTAGGGAGGTAGGAATCCCTAGGGGCACGGTTCGAGTTCCACAGGCAACGAGGACGCGAATCACTTCACGAGAGACAGGTTAACCCTGCCTCTCTTGACAGCAGCAGCAACTTACATTGCACACCGACTGGGTTGCTCTTCTCAAACCTGATGCGAGCTGCATCAAGTTTACCAAGCCAGGCCTCACGGCCAATGCACTCGATGTTATGGATGAGGGCATTCCATCCTTGCACCAAGGCTTTGCCGTCTCGAACACGGCTGCCATTGTACACCACCGATGTTTGGAAAATGCATCGGTGGAGAATTCTTCCTCGGCACGGATAGTTTCCGTGCTGGAATTAAGAGGACAGATCCTCCAACAGTCGAAAAACGGAATTCGGTCCCATTTGGTGTTCACGCCTACCACTCGATCCAAGTCCTTGGATGATGGTATCCAAGGTGACTCCACTTGAGGAGCGTGGCGCAGGACTTTTCGGTCCCTGGTCTCTTAAATGGTGTCAGCATGAGCACTGACACCAGCGGTAGCTCGATCCCTCGAGTTGCTTCTCTCGTGGTCATGCATAAGGGCATCACCACGATCACCACGCTCCTATCGCTGGATAGACTTGCGTAAGGCGGAAATTCGTCTGAATAGTCACCTGATCCGAAGATCTCAGACATGATGCCGCCACGTTCCCCAGAGCTAGTCAACCTGGCTCTTGCAGTGTCTGTCCCGGATGATCCGAAGGCGCACAGAGTCGCCTTCGAGTCGGATGATGCATCCGACTCGCCTGAATAGATGAGCTCTATTTCAGGCTCATCCGCATTGCGAGTTGCAGCACCCGCTTCAGACGCAGCGGGTGTATCTGTCGCACGTGGTGACTCACCACGTGATTTATTCACAACAGTCGACAGGCACCGCCTGTTGCTGAATCGCAACATCAGGCGAAGGATTACCTGCTGATGAAGCAAGAGAAGTACTCCCTTCGGCTGCACGCACGTTTGCAACCGCCTTTCTGTCTGCTTCGGTAGCGCATTGCATGAAATTTGACACCATGCGATGAATTGTCAAATGAGTTGGAATTTGACCAACAATTGCTCCCATTCCCAGAGTGATCCAACGGTGATACCCCTGTCCCAATCAATAAAATTCAATTAGCGAGGTGACTAATATTTTGAGGGGGAGAGTGATGTAACAGGGTAGCCCATTACATGATATTGACACCAAACGGTGTCAATTGGGAGATTGTCTAGCGTGACAATTGTCTACCAATATTATCCGAGGTGGATAATATTGAAGCAATATTATCCCTTTGTACGATAATATTCATGTGCTGCTCAAAAATTGATTGATAAAGACATATCAACCAAGGTTACCACCAATCGCTGCTAGACGCGCGTAATGAGTGGTGAGCAGGTTGTCGTCATACGACAATGTAGATTAATATAGTTCGATAAAGACTGAAGTTATATTGATAGCTTAGCGATATTGAATACAGTTCTCTTCTTACCCTTTACTCAGCTTGGCTGTTTAAGTAGATTAGCTTCCTCTGCACGTACTAGTGTACGTGAAGGTTCGTGGCACCCAAACAAAGGGTACCCCGTTACACCCCATGTGAAACCGTTTCAGATGTAACTTGAATAAATGATTTTGGGAAAATTGGTCGGCCATGATGTTCGAGTGAATGATGGTGTTCTTTTTAGATGATGGAACAATTATTGACAACTTTATAGTGAAAGAATTAATAAAATAGCAACTGTCTCTATGTCATGAATGGTACCGTTAGGATACAAACGGTAACTGGTCCGCAACCAACATTGGGGATTAAATGTCAAATAAATCAATTGATCAGTAGGCCAGCAGTAGCAAAGATCTAGACGGTTTGATGGCACATCTAAGCTCGGTTTGCGCTTAGTCAACTGAAGCAGCAGTCTTTATTTTGATGTAAGAGCGTCTCCAGCAGTGAATATTAACTTTTTGTGCACCAATTAGAGATCAGTGTAATTTCTTCTCTAACTTACACCAAAAAATTACAGCAGTCAGTATGTCTACTAAGTATAAATTTACTTTGGCCGATCGTGACTAATAAGGTTGTGGTCGCCTTTGTTTGTTTGTTTTCGGTCCTCGGCTAGGTTGAAAACGCTATAATATTGCTTGTGTCATTTAGAGCACATCATCGACTTCAAAGTGATCGTATATTTCTATAAACTGCAGCCAATGACATGAAACTAATCTTCGCCGACGACACGCAACCAAAAAAGTTATTTTGGTGTCACAGAACTAGAAAACGTAGGCATGATACCAAAAAATAGCTTTTCTCGAGTTATTACCGAGTAGTTTTGCTGCTGTGGCGATTTTTTATGAGTATGCTCTCTAACGTTTTTATCCGACACAAAATTAAGCTATACCGACTGCTGGGGATGTTTTAGGTGCGCATTTCACTTACCAAAAACACAAGCTGTTGACTGCAATATATCAGGGCTTGTCTCGTTCCGATACATATTGTCATATTATGACTTCATAAATAGGGCCAGCTAGAAAAAAGGGGCTAGAAAAGAATTATTTGGGGTCGCTCCTAAGCAGTGGCCCCCAAATTTGCATTGGAATTGGCTCTATCAAGTCGTATACTTGAAGCAGAAACCCGAATTTATACCGGCATTGTGAGCGCCAGCATAGGTCTAAATTCGGTGTACCATTAAGAACAGCAGGATCTTTAATACACGGGACCTTGTTGTGGGTTGCTAGTTTACATGTGCGGCTCATGGGCTAAACGATTCATATCACAAAAGTTATTCAGCATACTACGACTACAGCAACAAACGAAGCTGTAACTTTGCGCAACGACTTTGCAGACGACCAAATATTCACCTACTATTTATTCGGCAATTTCTATTTCATTTTCAAACCCATTGCATCGTATTGTTGCATAGATCACAAAAACATCTCTATAATGGCAGGGTGACATGACGAGTGCATCGTTATTTGCTACATCATATCTTTTCAGTGTATAGGCAATCATTTCGCTCAGCGCAGCTTAGCAAAGAATAGAAAATGATGCACGGCTTGCTAAATCTAGTTATGCGTAGGCGATTTTGCTAGGGACCCCAGAAATGGATGCGATTGCTTGATTACTGAAATCGTGCATCAGTTCTCCAATCAAATCCATTTCAGCTGGTTTTGAACATCGGTTACGCAAACTGTCTTTGGTAGGTCATGTGAGAGCAAAATGGTGATATCGATATGTACACTGACGAGTGAGATCAAGAATGCTACGATGTAAATTATTAAAGTTCATGCTTCGATAGCTAACTTCTCTGCTTAAATCGTGGGTATTTAGAAAGAAGATACGCCCTACTGATATGCATGCGTTGCCGTCCAACGACAGCCATACGCGAGCATTAAAATTCGTCTTAGACACGGTGTTGATCGTTTGTAATATTTCGCGACTTCGGTTTTTATCAATTAAGATATCGTGAAAAATGCGTAAAGTCTATGCTGAAGTTTAAATCGAGGGGCGAAAAGTATACAATCGTTATTTCTTTCCTTACCCGTAAAATTGCGAGCAAGATCGAAGGAAAAGATAGGTATCCAAATAAAACGGGATGCGCTTTTAAAATCTGCGAAGGACCGTCAACCTACTCATTCGGCACAAAAAGGTGATGTGCGGTCGTAACCTCAGCGACTACGTAATTGTACTTGTTGCGAAGATGCGATTGCGTATCACCGTACGCAAGAAAACCGTAACTTGGTGCCACTGAAATACGCCATTCGAAATATTGTGCTAGTGGTTTTGTACGAAAAGCCGCAAAGAAAATGGATATAATGTAGTATTGATGCTACACTGAGTAAATTTGAGTGACTCTGCGTATCTTTAAGTTTACGACCGACCCGTTTTTGCTGGCATTGCGTCGTCAGTACTGCGACTTTAAAGGCATGACGTTACGTAAGCTCTGGTGGACAATATCGTCGTGGTGGACCATATCATCGTGTTTTGTTTTAAATTTTGGTAGCTCTTACAGGACTTTTTTGTTTAAAATCGTACTGAAACCAAGAGGGCACAATACCCGTTTTTGTCCAAAGAAATAGCAGATCATCTGCACATCCGCTTTTTAGGTCCTTGCCCGCCGATCAGGTCGTTGTACACATAGTTCATATCGAAATCTGATATTGGTGTGGTAAGCTGAAACCTAATTTGTTACAGCTGCATCTGTTACGAGTCCCTCTTAATATAGGTTTGCTAAAAATGAGCAGCCGGGAGGCCTAGTAAACCTGACATGGGTCCGTTTATATCGAGAACAATGTAATATGAAGTGAGTGGTCTTCCCCTGACGGCCAAAAGATGACTCAAGCCAACGCCCCGCCGACAGGCTGACGTGATATCGTTGTTTACCGAGATGTACTCGCGCACCTTCGACTGAAATGAGTCGAAAATACATTAATTGCTGACCGGGATTATTGACGTCGTCATCTTGACCATTTTTCCCTGGGGCAGACATGTTAAGATCCCAGCAACGATTGTCAAACGTTAGAGCAAAAAATAATTTACCTGCATCGATAAGTGTACGTTAGCAATGATGCAAAGTGCGTCTCAACCTACAGTAATATCAAAGTACGATGCGGAAAGGATGCCACGATATAATAGGCATTACTGGTATTGCCGCTGTGCAAAGTCCGACACGTATGCTTTACTTGAACCACGTGACCGCGTTAAACAACTCACATGTTTGTGCTAATACCGCACGCCGCACTGTCTGCGAATGTGCGAAAGGCTGACGCATTTCATATCAGCAGTACACGTGGCCGACATGGTCGACATGCGTGATAAAAAAGACGACTACACGTCCGGTTCTAAGAAGTAAAATTGGTTAGATTAGATGCAAAGCTGTAGTTTGTGATTGCAATTAACAACTGCACTCAACTTTGTATTTGCCAACAACACTCAAATTCTTTCTGAAGTAGCATACAACAAGACTAAAGGTAACGGCTTAAGCTTACATGATTATTGACCACATTCGCGTTCAAGTAGCACAAAATTGGCGGAGGTTCGCTACGATGAGTGAGCTCGTGTTGTAAATCCAACGCCTCGAAACACGCGGAAAGGTCGATGAAGAAGTCGTGGTAATAGTTGCAGCTAACAGCACATCATATTTAGGCAACATGATTTTAATTGTCCATGGCGTACCCGAATGGAAAGATGGAACGCATAGCGTTGTAATATCACGGATGCTGAATTCGACATTGTGTCGTGAGTAGCTATAAGAGCTGCAACTTTCACGTCCGAGCATATGGTCTTACGAGCAAGTAGATTGATTGACGTTGCTTGAATAGGAGTGAAGACGTTACTATCGAATGTCGTAATAAGGGCAGAACTAACTTTATCTAACATACAATAAGTGTCAGTGGGCTCACGACCGCATCTACTGGATATGCGCTACCATCCGCGCAAGCGACTGCACGTGACAAAATCATGACCCTTCGAAACAGTCAGCCCGTTGACGTTATACACCCTGACTCGCCCCTGGAGGAATAGATCCCGCTCCTCTTCCCTCAAGGTTCCTCAATTCCTGCTCGACATCGACCGTTTTCGCAACACCCACACAAGCTACTATCGATGTACAAGCTCCAAAACGCACTAAAATAGTGGGTGCCATTTCCGATTGGAAGACGTGTTAAATGCTGTGCGTGTCGAACTAACCACCGAGTTGCGCACTTTATTTCTTTTCCAGATACTGCTTGTAATCAAAGCCTCTGTTCAACACATCTACACCCGGAAGATCTAATTTGTTCAGGGCTTTGACGTATTCAGATACTGAAACACCCGCCTCGTCAAGTTTGTCATGAGTCGCACGGATTACTGTTGGGTCCATAGTAGTCTCTGCCCCCTCCAAAATCTCATCTGCTGGCGTCTTCTTGGTTTCGATATGGCTTGGCTGCTGTTTGGTTAGCCAGTGCCACGCCTTTGCGAGAGCATTTTCTGATGTTCCAGCCTCGAGGTCATCGACCGACGTGGAAATGAGCTTCTCCTTTAAAGAGCCTAGCTGGTCATTTCCTTCCCATGACCGCCGTGACGCCCTTGCCTCACCGGCAGCGACTTCATCGGGGACGACAGACACTCGAAGCACACGTCTACTGTCCGAAATCGACTGAGTGGTTGGGGGCTGATTTATCTCCACCAGCTTCGCCAGTCTTTCGACTGTTGGGTCCGGAAGAGCGTCACTGCCAGCAGACGCGATGACTGTGAGCGCGAGAAGAGGAGTGCACTTGACCATCGTAATTGAGGGCAGTGGCAACCTGAGGCACTTAGTGTGGCCCAGTCGCTGTAAATTTGTGAATGAGGAGTGGTGGGAGTCTCAAGCTAGTTGTGGATAATAACTAGAATTTGGTATGGTGCTGTAAAGCGTGAGACTACTACCAAAGGGCTTGGTGTCAGAGAAGGTTGTCTCTTCCACCAGATCCTAGTCGTCTCGCACTACATACATGAGTGTAGGATCCCACGGTGCACGATGACTGGTACGGACCAGATAATTTTATCGTCGTAGTCAGTACATGTCCAAATATTGAGGTAGAGGAGGTGAAAAGGGTACGAACGCTGGGTAGGATCACAAAACATTGATATACTCGGTACAGCATACTTCTTTAGAAAGGCCCAATTTCCTGTTGATTTCAGTTACGTACGGACGAAGTAGTCATAATTACGAAGAGCAGCAGCCACATCCGACCAGATTTAGTAGCTCCGGCTTTTCGTCATCGGAGAACGTCAGAGAAAGGTCGATTGGCGCACAGGCTTATCCTCATTTCCACCCAGCTTACTGAAAATGCGATTCCACATTCCCGCTCTTCATTTTCGCCTCATTTCGTAATGTTCGTCGTTATCCTTGTCGTACGTGCGTTAATTAAAGCAATATGAACCCACCTTTCCTCTCTGCGTGACCACACATATACGCTTGCTTTTATAACACACGATTTCGATTGGTACGCTTATCGTACCGTGAGTGCACAATGTAAACGGTGCTTTGAAGTCACGGTGGACGTTGATATAGCTGCAGCGATTAGATCTCAAAACATGTCGTCACTAGATTAATAGAGCGCTACGAAGCATTCATTTTCTGCTAGGGGTAATTCAGTCCGATTTTATGTACACGAAAGCAGTGTATTTGATACAATAATGGGCTACGTACGCGTTTACGGTTATTAAAGTTTAGCACTCACCATGCTATAAAGATTCCGACAAATTTTTCATTTCGACAAATGATTCCGACAAATTAGCAACATTCGATATAAAAATTGGGTCCCCTATTTTGGGAGCATAATCATCGTGTGCTAAGAACCTACTTGCTGTATTATATTTTAGACCTGTGTCGGCACTCGTTATTCAACTTAGGTCCAGCGTGTAGCGGGGTTTCACGCGGTTATTTGAACCGGTTATGTTATGCGTCCACCCCAAGAAAAAATCGGTGGATCTGAGTGGTACAGTCTTGGTACCACGTACTTACGGTAATACCGCACCTTATCGGTTTAGGATAAGGGATCAGACCTCTGTCATAAGATCGTAATGTAGAAGTCAGTCAGACAAGGTTTTAGGGTTTTATTGCCGTAGCTAAAGAATAAATAAAAATTAGTTCTTATTTTAAATCGTTGGAAAATAGTGCCTAGCCAAGGCATAGCGTGTTGTAAGAGTGTCAACCTTGTGAAGGCGTTTACTCTTGTTCGACTTGTAGTGACTAGTTAGGGTTTGATTCTGTGAATCAAAATCCCTTTGGAACCGGGATTGCTCATCTTGTACGCTTGAACGTGTAACGGGGTAAACCGTTACATTACAATTTATAAGAAATTGTTAATAGAATACATCTATAAGAGTTATATTCTCAGAATATTGTCATAAGGACAAATACTGTAGCACTTACGAGTAGTTCCTAATTGGTTGATATAGGCCATTATATCAACCAACGAAGACGCGCCACGACAGACGCACGCAATGAGTGGTGAGCAGATAATTGATTTACACATTATATTTTAGACATAGTTAGATGAAGATAAATAGTGATTTATTGCAGACATTAACTATGCTAAATACAGTTCTACTTTTTACCTTAACCAAGTACTCGCTTCTTCTTACCGTCTTCCTCTGCACGTACGAGTGTACGTGAAGTTCCGAGGCACCGCCTTATTCTGTCATCAGAATAAGTAGCTTGTACTGTCACCAGTACAAGCTTCAAAGTGCCCCGTTACAGAACGACTGTACGTCGTTGTCAGTTTGTTATAACTAAGAGATTCTTTGAGCCTAAGACTTCCTCTGTTGGGGAGCGCTAAGTAGCTTTGCTACACACCGAGTCAAAGGATGATACGCTGGTGAAAACTAGCAGACTATGAAACGTTGCCATTGTGTCAGGTAGATATTAATTTGCTGACAGAGAAGGTTGGCAAGTTACCGGCTTTGACGTCGCTCGATGTGGTCGTTTTGCAATGTAGGGCTTCCGCTTACAGCTTAAGAGCCGCTGCGTGGGTAGAAATTGACTAGAATTGTGGCTCTCCCTGCTCCTTGGGGTGTGACTTTGTGCACAAATGTGCCACCATGAACGTGCGCTTTCAGCTGCTGTATTGGTGGTCGAACAGTGAGCTTCAACACAAGTAAGTTAAGGTGAGGTGTATTACTGGATTGAGCATGTGTTTCATGTGGTGCAGTTGATGCTGTTATTGTAGATTGATACCGCTGCTGCTGCTACTAATACATACCTCCGTGTCGCATTATCAAGCTGAGAGATGACGTAGCTAGAAATATTCGCCTCTTATGTAACGGGGTAGCCCGTTACATGAGATTGACACCAAACGGTGTCGATAGGAATATTATCTAGCATAGCTGTATCCTACCCAAATTATCCGAGATGGACAATATTGAAGAAAGATTGTCCCCTTTAAAAAATATATATGCGCTGCTCAAAAATTGGTCGATCAAAGACATATCAACCATAGATTGCCAATAATTGCTGCTAGACGCGCGTAATGAGTTGTGAGAAGGTTGACGTCATACGACGACGTAGTTTAATATAGTTAGATAAAGATTAAAGTTATATTGATAGCTTGACTACATTAAATACAGTTCTCTTTTAACCTTTACTTGAACGAGTCGTTCGAGTAGATTAGCTTCCTCTGCACGTACTAGTGTACGTAAAGTTTCGTGGCACCCAGACAAAGGATGCCATGTTACACCTGGTAGCACTTTGTAGTCCGTCCAACGACTACTTAGTGTCCGTCCAACATGAACATGTTGGACGTAGAAGATTACAGATTTTACGTCACACGTGAAGGCTGCTCCCATCTGAGCGACTCAGAATGGGAGGTAGTCGGCCGCATGAGTGTGCTTATGGGCGAACCCGCCATCAGTGGCATGTTGGAGTCTCAAAGCATAGACAAGCAACATGCTGCTATCAACAAGTTCCTGCAAGGGGAACTTGCCGTCGAAATACAGAAGATAGCCTTGCTACAACAGCAAGGCTCTCATCATTCGATGGGCGAGCCGACAAACATGCGTCGACCCGAAACCTTGAAGATTGATTTATCAAGGTACGAAGGAACTGATGAAGATTCCCTTTTGAGATGGTTCGTCGAGTTAGACGATGCCATCAGGGCCCGTCACATCGAGGGTGACGAGATGCAAGTCACCTTTGCCCTGTCAAATTTGACGGGACGAGCAAAACCTTGGGCCTTAGGCCTCAAGCTTCACGACCCAAACGTGTTTGAGTCGCTGAAAATCTTGAAGTCTCGGCTTAAAGAATTGTTTGAGCCGCCGGGAGCCGAGTCCAGAGCACGCTCTGCACTCTTAAGCCTCAAGAAAGTCAAGCGTGATGTGCATACTTACGCACACCACCTGCGCTACCTTGCGAGTAGCGTCACGGATTGACCTGTCGATGAGCGCACTCTCATCAACGTGTTCATCTACGGTCTTGTAGATGAACCGGTGAAGATCTACATGTCCCGAGAGGGCTTCCATACGCTGGAAAAGGCGATAGCGTATGTGGAACAAGAAGACTTTAGACTGAGACAGTCTTAGGCTAACTCGTCGAAGCATCGTCCGACGAGACGACAGGAAACCGGAGGTCCCGAACCAATGGACCTCTGTAATATCGAGAACGAGAATTCTCGCACTCTGAGTCACAAGAGGACGGCAAGATGCCATCGCTGTCAGAAGATTAAACACTACGCTCATGAGTGTAGTTGTACTAAGCACCGCAACACATCCTAAGACAGGACGTGATGACCACCGTGGGCCTTGGAAAGGTCTAAGGCGCGGATCCGACCATGTTTCTAAACTGTGACAGCAAGTCGGACCGCAAAAACACGGACAGGCTCAGAAGGGGCGGAGCACCCTGCTGATCCAGCAACTTCAAGAGAATTTTCAGGACTCTTGACGAAGATTTCTCCCAACAAACTGTCGCTGTGTATTACTGTCCCTAGTGGTGAGGAGTCTCTCATCACTTTGAAGATCGAAGTGACAAGTGGAATGTCACTTTGCGCCCTAGTTAACTGTGGGGCGTCGAACAGTTTTATTCGACGCCAGTCGCTAGAGGATAGTAGGCTCAACGAGGATGAGCGAGAGTTCCCTCCAACGAGGATGACGGTGTGCCTTGCTACGGGCGCATCCGTAACAGTGAACAAACGTGTAGCGGGAATCGACTACACGCTAGAAGGAAAGCAGTACGATGATGACTTTATCGTACTAGATTTGGATGACAAATTTGATGTCATCCTTGGTCTGCCATGGCTTAGAAAGTAACAGCCATGGGTCAGCTGGCAGCATCGATCCGTGAAGATGCCTGCCGTTTGTTCATCAGATGGCCATCTGATAAACGTCTTGGAGCGTCCACAAGCGTGTGGATGTACTACGAGTGAGTGCGATGGCCTCACTTGAGGTACGGTCGTTAGTATGACTGCACAAGATTACAGTGTAGAAGACCACTACACTGTGGATCCAGATTCCGGCACCTGTGTAGAGACACAGGCTTTGCCGAAGGTTCACCTCTCGAAAAGATCGAGTGGACCGGAACACGGATGCACACCAAGAAGGGTGCATCCAAGACGAGGTATTAGTGTTGTTCAGGATGAACAATACGTTGAAGTGAGATCGACTATCAGAGAGTCTATCGTAGAGCAAGCCCAATCGACTAAAAGAGAGTCGATCGAAGGAGAAGTGACTGTGGTAGTGCACACACAGTCAGTACACGTATTGGAAGAAAGCTCCAGCGTTCCTGAAAGTGACAACTCCCAGGAGAGCTATGTTGAGGATGTAGATCCCCAACCACCTGCGGATGTGTTTACCCAGGAAAGCACCGAGACAGTGAATGTCTTTATGAATGACGGATCAAGTGTAGGCGCTTATACACTTGATCTGGTTTCACCTCCGAAGTCATCTTCGGAGATACTCAAGTTGCCCACGCTAGAATCTAAAAGATTTTTGCGAGATCTGCGTAGTGACAAGATCAAGCAGATCTGCGTACTTGTCACAGAGGACAACTACTTCACCGATATTCGGTCGGCACAAGTGTTTGCTGAGAACGAACGGGTTCTCAGTAGCTCATCGATGGATGAAAGTTTCCTCGATGAGAAGACCAAAATTGAGAGATAAACGTCCCAATCCTGGGACTCTTTGAAGACAAATCCTTTGTTTAAGTATTTGATCGAATTCAGGGTTGTTTTCCCTGAATCCGTGCTATGCGAGGACCCCAAGGACAAAGGCACTCAGCATAAAATCGAACTGAAACCCGGTTCGAAGCACTGTGTCATGAAGCTGTGTCCGCTGCCTCTTGAACAGGTCACAGCGATCGACAATTTTTGCCGATCGTTTAGCTGCTGGTCATGTGACGGAATTAACATCCCCACACAGCTCTCCGACCTTCTGTGTGCGAAAAGCAACAGGAGGGTGGCGGATAGTGCACGCGCTCAACAAATTGAACGCTGCAACGGTACCGGCTCGAACGCCGATATCAAGGAAGGACGTCATCATTGATGGTATGGCAAAGAGTACCTTCTTTTCGTCCATGGATCTGATGGATGGATTCTATCAGATCCTCATGTGTGAACGGGACATTCCGTACACGGCAGTGAGCGCCCCCAGTGGTATGCTCTGGGAGTGGCTAGTGTAGCCACAGGGGCTAAGTAACGCCCTCGCAACGTTTAACTGATGTGTTACAAATCTGTTGCGATCGGTGCGAGATTTTGCACCGCGTTACCTTGACGATTTCTTCGTCCGTAGCCGGACTATGGATGAAAAGATGGACGTGGAGGTTCATAGAATCCACACCCGGAGGATTCTTACTTTCATGCGTGAGCAAAAGTTGTTCGCGAACCCCAAGAAGTGTATATTCGCAGCGAGCGAAATACCAACACTTCTTGGCTGCATCGTGGGTAAAAATGGTGTAAGCCCTGATCCAGAAATTATCAAGGAGATTAGCGACTGACCTGTGCCAGTCGACGTCAATAGGCCTCGAAATTTCCTTTAATTGGCGGCGTACTTGCATAAGTTTTTGCGCAATTACGCCAAGATGACAGTACATCTCTCTCGCCTATGAAAGAAAAACGGGAGGTGGTCATGTAGTGCTGAGTGTCAGCACTCTTTTGAAGGTCATAAGATAAGCTTGATGCAATCGCCTTTGTTGGCGATTGGAGACCAGGAAAAACCAATCCATGTCATATGTCGCCAGCGATTTCGCAATCGGCTGTGCGTTGATGCAGTACGACTCAGACGGCGTTGAGCGCGTCGTCTGTTATCAATCGTGTCAGCTGCAAGCAGCTGAGCGTAGTTACCCGGTTCATGACAAGGAACTCCTTGCCATGAAATATGCACTGGCCAAGTTTAAAGTATATCTCTCAGGAGGTAGGCCCTTCGTCGTTTATACCGACCATGCGTCGTTACACACGGCCGTAAACAGTCCACACCTCTTGCAACGAATGGCGAGGTGGCTGTCTTTCTTCGCGGAGTACAACTTCTCCGTCGAGTATAAACCAGGAAGACTTAATGTCGTCGCTGATTGCTCTTTCGCGTCGGCCCTATTTCGAGCCGACTGCTCAACACAACAGTAGGGGTGATCCCACTGTAGCGACACTAACATTAAGTGTTCCGTCGTCGAATCTGCTCGACGACGTGCGAAGAGCATACGCAGACGATGAGTCTCTTGTGCGATTGATGGATATCGTATCCAATCCGTACAGTCAAGCTTTGTAAAGCTTGTCGTCTCAATACCGCTCTTCAACCGAACGGTATTCGATTTGTGAAGAACTGCTGTACTATACAGCAGTCAACGGCGACACACCTCGTGTCGTCGTTCCCGCTCATGATATTTTGCAATTACGCATCATGTATGAGTGCCACGATGCCTCAACAAGTGGGCATCGCGGTAGGGAAAAGACTTACCTCACGGTAAGTCGTGACTTCTTTTGGCCCCGCTAGTATGAGTTTGTGCGCAAATCCATTCGCGCTTGCGAAGTTTGTCAATTTAAATTAATGACTGAACCTTATAATAACAATATCATATTAAAAGTTAATAAAGATTTAAATATGTTACAAGCTTGTAATATTGCTAAAATTGAAATTCATTAAAAAATATGAGAAAATTAACAAATTGCGGGTAATAGTCGAATGTGTAAAATTGAAATTGAAATTTCTCCTCAACATTTGAGCAATAAAATTTACAAGAGTTTTTAAATGAATAAAATTTAATTGTTTTATAAATTAATTTGTTTTTTTCGTTGTCAAAAATTAATTTATTTTAATCGAGTGAAGCCTAGTCCTTCATCCCGCGCACCCTTGCAGCCTCTACCGATTCCGGAAGAGTGTTGGCAGTCCGTATCTATGGACTTTGTCTTCGAGTTTCCCAAAGACGCTCATAAGAATACTGGAATTTTTGTGTTTGTTAATCGGTTCAGCAAGATATCACATCTTGTTGCTGTACCGAATTCAATCACAGCCCAGGTCTGTGCCCGTGTCTTCATCGATACTATCTTCCGACTTCATGGGCTGCCCCGTGAACTCGTGTCCGATAGGGACCCCTGCTTTGCGGCGGAGTTCTGGCAATCCGTGTTACGTTCAATTGGAAAACGTTTGACGATGTCAACTTCTGATCATCCAGAAACAGATGGTAAGAAGGAAAGCGTCAGCCACGTCCTCGAAGAGATACTTCGAGGGTACGTCCACTTGTTTACGAATTGGAGTGAGTTCTTGCAGATGGCGGAATTCGCCATCAATAACTCGGTGCATGCGTCTAATTCGCATACACCGTTCTTCGTGAATGGCCTACGCCATCCAAGTTTACCCGCCTTCTTAGAGTGTGAATCTAGTTTAGGGGGGTGGACTCGCTCGAACAAAACCCGATCTGGTTCTTGCTCATCACCCGTCGACAATGGTGTCGACGTGATGGATGCCGATGCGATCGACATCGATGATGATGATGACGACGATGCTGGTATATTCAGCATCGCCAACAACTGCCACAGTGAGGACGATGACGCCCTCAATGGTCGAGACAACGTCCTTTCAGCAATGCACACGAAGCGCACTGCTGTTGACAAGGATGAATCAGCAGAGGCATTTCTGCTGACTCGCGAAGCGGTTGTCCGCTTCGTTTAAGACTCTATTGCAGATGCACTAGACACGCATAAACGAAACGCAGACAAACATGGAAGAGAAGATGTTCATTCATTTGATATTGGAGACCTAATTTTACTGTCTACAGTTAATCTACCAAAACACGCAGTGACAGACGTGGGCAGCAGCAAACTACTGCTCAAGTACATCGGCCCATCGCGTGTGTTGCGCCGAATGGGCAACGATTGAACTGTCTTGTAGGATGCGTACGCATCCTACGTTCTACGTTGGACGTCTCCGCCCGTACTATCAGTACGAGCCTGTTTCGAGATGCGAAGAACACCTCCGCGGTCGAGAGCCGAGACCACCTTCGAGTGGTCCCGCTTCAATGAACCGGTCTGGTCGACCAGCAAAACGACCTGTTCAAGCAGTCGAGCGATGCCTCGACGAGCAGCAGCCAGCTCGTCACGAAGAGAACGAGTCGAACGTTCGTTCACATATTATGCGAACGAAAAAGCGGCACGATCGTCCGAACGATCGTGCGTTAAGGAATTGTAAAGATCCTTTACAAGGTCATGGAGCTCGTAACGCCGAGTCCGTACATGAGCCAGGTCATCGTGTAACTGTTCCGTTACACGGTTCAGCTCCTGAACATCGAGTTGATCCGACCCTCAAGCCGGATCAGGTGTCCCCGCCACCACCTCATCCTTTGGTGGATTCTGGAGGTGGTCAACGCTTTCTATTGGAGCGTACTTGTAACCATCGCGACGTGAAGAGCGTCCGGACGAGTTACCTCGTCCGCTGGCGTAGCTATCCACCGGCCTAGAACAGCTAGGAGCCTCGCGCCCAGCTGCTTGTTGATGTTCTGGGTCTCGTTGAGCAAAATAACGAGACCCATTCGCTGCGTTCGAAGAAGGGCCGTCGGAAAACGACCTCCCCGAACGCGAGTACAGGAATTGCAAGGTGTCAATCCCTTCAGCCATCTCGAAAGAGATGCGCGCCCCCCAGTAGGGATCATTAGGGAGGTAGGCCTCCCTAGGGGCACGGTTCGAGTTTTTCAGGCAAAGAAGCACCCCATGAGAGACAGGCTGATCATACCTCTCTTGATAGCCGTGCAACTTACATTGCACACCGACTGGGTTGCTCTTCTCAAACCTGATGCGAGCTGCATCAAGTTTACCAAGCCAGTCCTCACGGCCAATGCACTCGATGCTGTGAATGAGGGCAATCCATCCTTGCACCAAGGCTTTGCCGTCTCGAACACGGCTGCCATTGTACCACCGATGTTTATAAAACGCATCGGTGAAGAACTCTCACTCAGCACGGATAGTTTTCGTGCTGGAATGGGGTGGGCAAACCTTCCTGCAATCGAACAACGGGATTTGATCCCGTTTGGTAGTCATGCCGGCCAACCGGTCCAATCTTTGGATAAAGGCATCCAAGGTGACTCCACTTGATGAGCGTGGCGCAGAACATGTCATTCCCTGGCCTCTTGATTGGTATCAGCACGAGCACTGACACCAGGGGTAGCTCGATCCCTCGAGTTACTTCGCTCGTGGGGATGCATAGGGGCATCACCACCATCATCACGCGTCCTATCGTTTGATGGACTATAGTGAGGCGAAATTCGTCTGAATAATCACTCGATCCGAAGATCTCGGGCATGACACCGCCACGTTGACCAGGGCCAATCAACCTGTTTCTTGCAGTGTCCGCCTTGGGTGATCCGGCGGTGTGAGGTGTCGCCTTCGAGTCGGATACATCATCCGACTCGCCAGAATAGACGAGCTTTATTTTCAGACTCATCTCGATTACGACCAGTGGTACCCGCTTCAGATGCAGCGGATGTACCTGTCGCACGTGATAACTCACCACGTGGACGATTTATAACAACAGGCGACGAATCACCTGCTGCTAAGGTGTGAGAGGTACTTTCCCTCGACTGCACGCATGCTTGCAGCCGCCCTTCTTGCTGCTGCAAAAGCAACTTGCTTGGTTTTCGAAACTATGCGTTGGATTGGCAAATGAATGGGATTTGACCATCAAGTGCTCATTTTCCTAGAGTGATCTAACGGTAATTACCCTGTCCCAGTCAATTCTTGTTTAATCAACGAGTGATTTATGGTTAAGAGGGGGTTGATGTTACGGGGTAGCCCGTTACATGAGATTAAACTTTAAATGGTGTCGATAGGAATATTATCTAGCATGACAGTACCCTACCCAAATTATCCGAGATGGACAATATTGAAGAAAGATTGTCCCCTTTAAAAAATATATATGCGCTGCTCAAAAATTGGTCGATCAAAGACATATCAACCATAGATTGCCAATAATTGCTGCTAGACGCGCGTAATGAGTAGTGAGAAGGTTTACGTCATACGACGACGTAGTTTAATATAGTTAGATAAAGATTAAAGTTATATTGATAGCTTGACTACATTAAATACAGTTCTCTTTTAACCTTTACTTGACCGAGTCGTTAGAGTAGATTAGCTTCCTCTGCGCGTACCAGTGTACGTGAAGTTTCGTGGCACCCAGACAAAGGGTTACCCGCTACATCTAATCAATGTCGGTATCTTTTAAATTAGGCGAGTGGCTGCTAGATGCCATAAGTCGCGCGGTTCTGTAAGATCCACTACGAGTACTGATTGATCAAAAAGGGCGAATATTATCTGACGTTACGTCGTAGTATTTGGCATGTGGGAGGTCGCTGATTATCGAATATGTTGACAAGTGTCTATTCGTTTTTGTGGTTGTGATAGATGCAGTGCCGCAAATTTCAACGTTAAATTGCTTGTTAAAGCGATTTTTTTACTAAAATTTTTCCAACTTCTATTGACAGCGTGTTTTAATTGTACGGCTTGCTCTCGTTGGTGATCTTCTACTGAGATGGAAAGACTTTGCGAGCTGTTTTTTTAAGCAACTGCAGATTGCTAAGTTTGAGTAGAACATGCGCTTACTAGGATCAGGTACTTGACACTACACAAAATGTGACTGAAAAAAGGAAGCTATATTCATATTATTTGGACGCTAAGAACCTATCACTGTTTAATGTTTTGACCTATGTTGGCATCAGTATAGACCGTGCGCTAAGACCAAGAGCGTACAATAATGCTGGACGCTGCTACAGGAAGGGCATATTACTGTAGAAGTGAAGTGCTCTTCCTGTGGTATCGATGGGCGGCTGGTATCATGAAGTCCGACTAAAGGGTAATTTTGACGCTTTGATACTATTATTTTAACAATTAGGCTAAAAATTAGGCATGCACATGTGGGGCCTTCCGTTCTATTTGCCAATTTCAGCTCGATGGTATGCTATCGCCTTTGTTAACATACACATTTTGTAGAGGTTATTCATAAGTAAAAGCAAATCGCCTTTTGTGCCAATGCAGTTTTTATTAGGAGTCTCCCTCCACTCAGTTTATGCAATGTCGCTCCAGAAGCGCGCCATCTTGATCAGCTGTCATCCACGAGTGTTTTTTGTGTTGCAAAGAACCCGAGCAGCCACTTCTTCACTTGTCTGTAAATACACACTGTGGAAATAACCGAATTTAAGTTGCTGGCACCAACGACTAAATGCTCATGTTCCTGTGCTGTCTTGCTATTGGGGTGTACAAGCGTGCATAAATCTAATATTCAGTTTGCTGCAGCTAGTGGGTTAGCATTTGTGTGCTGTAAAGACATGCTAAAACACATACTTTATACATGTATTATCGTGAAATCAACTTTGGAGTTGCTCATCGCTACGATTCAAAAAAAAAGTTTAACAGTTGATAAATCAAAGAGATGTCCTATTTTGTCGGAATCTTTTACAGTATGTAACATAGTGTGCCTAGAAATCTACCTTTTTATGGAGATCACACATATTTTCAGCTTCATTCAGACCAAAATATATCGGAATGATGTCAGAATGAGATTTCCTACCTCTATCAGTCCATTTGGCTGAAACTGCTAAATTTAAAATCATACATTGGCTAAAATTATATTGCGATCTCATATTGGACTATGATCGAATACTGAAAGCAGGTGTTTTTTTCGGAATAGCTATCAAATTCATTCATCCTTCTATATGACCACTATCACACAGCATCCTGCATCTGTCTTACAAATGCTGAATGATTCAACCGAAAACCTTCGCGCAACACGCAATGGACAACTGAAAATCTTTCCTTCGTAAATGACGCGATCGACAAACGCGACGCATTCATCACTACATATCAAAAAGATCCGGGGCGCTATTTGTATCATTAAAAACGGCGACAGCACGTTTTTAGTCGGGACAGGTTCAAAAATGAGTAAAACAAAGGTTCACTTGTCACGAATGTAATCGGATGCATCGACTGAAGCAAAGATCACGTTTTCCCAAATGAAACTGTACCATACAGCTATATGCATTTTGATCGAGCCTATCCTGATATCGCTTTAACACCATCCCCTTGCCTGTGAGGAAGAATAATTTGTTAATTACTCGATAGACGCCGATCGTTGTGCAATAATGTTCGTGCAGACGCATTATGGCGCGATATGTAGTACAAACTAAATTGTGATGTGGAATGGGTGTGGTGCATGGGGTGCATTTGGAAAGATGGGGTGTTGAGTAAGTATGTTGGGATCGTCAGTCAATCCTTTACAAAAGGGAGGAGCTTAGTCGTCGATCGCAAGCTAACATACATTTGCTTCGTATACCATCTAACATTTGTACGATGAATGCAAAATATAATGCGATAGTGGTGGTACAGATGTAAGGTGGTGCGATGTTTGTCGTACAAATTATTTTGTGGTGTGAAACGGGTGTCGTGTATGGGGTGTATTTAGTGAAAAGTGGGGAGTGTTTAACATTACCCTTTTCTCAGGCATGTGCAGTGATTTTTGTGTCTGGGCAATGAGCGGGATTGCAGAGCACGACTCAAGGCACTATATAAGTGCAATTGTGTACTCGAAGATACAAGAGATGAGAGGTAGTCTGTAAGAGGAGAGCTTCAATCTGCCCCGCGTTAGTTCGTATCGAATTGATTGCGCGCTCAAATGTGAAGCTATTAGTGACTGTGCGCAAGATTGCATAATTTTTAAATCGTACTTATCTAGGTGTGCCCAAGCATCTGTAAGTAATGCGGCCAGTCACTCTTTGGCGAAGTCAATATCGTCATGCACGCACGTGATTGGTTTAAATTGATTATAGGTAAATACAATCACTTAAGCAAATGCTGGACGCTCATAAGCAAAGGTCGATCGCGTTGCCCAAGTTTACTGTACTTAATTAAAGAAACACATCAGTATCATACTCTTTTTTCAGTGACAGCTGCTGTTGTATAGTGTTTTACAACATGATTCAGTTCTCCAAATCAAATGAATACATCATAGGGTGAGCTGTAAAACTTGCTTCCCTATCTTATTGATATTCTGAGTACAAGGTGTTGCTTTTAAGTCCAATTTTTAAAACAACGAGCAAGGGGTTGTAGGTGTGGTCCAGCTAATCAAATTATAGTTCATGCAGTTTTCGAGCAGCATTTAGTCTAGCTAAAACATTGCAGTTTCTGTAGTTTTCATTCTATATTCAATTATGCTACTGAGCGTGTGGCATCTTAATCAAAACGTATTTCGAGCCGCGTGCGACAGAATCATTGCCAAGTGAAAATAAACGACTAAATATTCGTCACCGCATCCAAACGAGAATATCCCCATCAAGTTTTCAACACTCACCCCCAAATATCACATTCCACATTCAATTATCCGGACAAAATGGCTGGTGAGCATCATGTGCATAGCCCGCATCCCTCCTGGCGCAAACTCTGCGAGTTGCTACTCCCGGAGGCAACTTGACGCCTGATGCTGTGCCTTAAACTGCACAGAAACCTATCAGGACCAATACTAAACTAACATTGTGACGTTTTTCGATGTGTATCGGACACGACCGGCTTTGACCATGACACCAGCAGTTGCGATGAAAGAAGAGGTGAAGGCGACACCCGCTGTCATTGAGAGAGGCGAAGAAGAGGAGCATTCGTTGCAGACCAAGTGGTCGCTCTGGTACGCCATGCAATTGATTCTCCGGACCAGTGATTGGTGCACACTTTTGACGAGCGTATAACTTGGGGATGGGGACATTTGTCGTTGTTTCCATTGTTGTTGTTGCTGCTGCTTTTTGTAATGGGTCAATTTAGGTACGACAAGAAGATGCCGAAGAAAATTGATGTCGGGTGCGTGCAAGTGCGCATGGTGGTTGCTGCACAGTTGCTATGCTGTTTGTAGACGCTTGACAGTCGTGCCGTGCAGAACGTACCAGTCGAACTTGCAGAAAATTGCCACCTTTGGCACAGTGGAAGGCTTTTGGCGGTGCGTTGATGCTGTTAGGAGAATTGAGATACGAAGAGAGTGGCTGAATGTTCGGGGTTGTTATTGTGCTTAGCCACTATATCCACGTGAAGCGTCCGTCGCAGCTGAGCCGCGATGTGAATCTGTATCTGTTCCGTGATCAGCCGAATTGTGCCCCCATGTGGGAGGCGTTCCCGCAGGGTGGCTGCTGGATCCTCAAGATCAAGAAGAAAGCAAATGTGCTTGGAAAGATGTGGCAAGATCTGGTCTTTGCCGCAATCGGCGAGGCTTTCGAAGAAATTGATGTCGTGGGTATCGCAATGGCTATTCGCTCGAAGGAGGACATGCTGTCTGTCTGGAATGCCGACAACTCGGATGACAGTACGCGCTTCGCCATTGGGTGCGCTCTTATATTTGGCGTATTGCCATCGTTTGATCCAGCCTTAATCTGTTTGCTTTGATTTTGCAGGGAAAAACTGAAGGAAATCCTCATGTTGGACTCCAACACGCTGATCGAATACAAGTTCCACGCGAACTCCATTCGGGACATGTCGACCTTCCGCAATGCCAAGCCGTATGTCTTTGCTGCCACGAAGCCGGCCGCGGCTAACTAAAGTGATGGTTGTAGTGGTTGCATGCCGTTTGACTGCTTCGTGCAAGCAATAGTATGCGTCAGCAAAACGACTGATCGACGCGATGGAGAGCAAAGACATCAAGCGCAGCATTTAAACCGCTTCTTCTTGCTGGTATTTTTCATATATTTTCCTTGCTTTATTTTTAATGCGTACTGGTGGAATGCAAGCGAAGGGAGGTAGACACCAAGCTCGTCTTTAGCCTGCTTGCAAAAGATTCTGATGGATCGTGAGGAACTTCAAAATCACTCCGTTTGTCCAACCGAAGCCAAACTGCGGGAAGTACTCTCCGCCTGCACCCAAGCCACCAACTTCGGACGCGTTATACTTTTCGAACATCAAACCGGTTTGCTTCCAAGCCGTCAAACTCGTTTGCGTCCACGTTCGCGTCAACTCGCGAGCCAAATTGTGCGATTCTGTGGTGTTGATAGCCAACAAGCCTTCCACGACAATATCCTGCTCCGGCGGCCATGCGTTAGGTCTGTCCCATTGTTGGCCCGAAAAAGTAGTCGTGGTTTGGATACCACCAACCTGAAGCAGCCCGGAAGTTTTGAGGGAGGTGACGACAGTTTTCAGCCGGTCGATATCGCTGGCATTAAATGCCTTTGCCCAAAGCGGTGTGTAGTCGGACACAGAGACGATGACTGAATGGGTGTCCGTCTCCAGGTCGTAATCTTTCCAAGTCTGGTGCTTCTCGCTCCACAGGATTGCGTCAATGGCTTTGAGTCGGCGAGCAGCGGCTCGCTCGAAAAATTGTGCCCGCTTGTCGTTGTCAAGGTGCTGGTTAAATTCCATCAGGTTGCGTTCAACCCGGTACATGATTGAATTCAAATCGACAGGAACGACGGAAGTGGTTACCATCGACTTCATGTCGAACGGATCCCGCAACCAGCGGCTACTGAAGTCCCACCCGCTCTCGGCAGCAGCAATGACATTGTTGTAGTACTCGTCCTTGTGCCGCTCCGTCGCAGCAGCATTCCCACCGTCCATATGGATGGTACGGTCAAATATCTCGGAAGCAACTAGGACGTCTTCCCGATACGATTCGGGTCGCGGTTGATTGGCATTGGACGTGTAGCGATTTAAGACGTATGTAACGTCGCCGCTTGCCCCTGCTTTGGTATCACTTCGAGTAAACTCGACTGCATGCCCGGAAGGTCCATGCTGCATCCAAAAGTCGTACTCTCGCTCTAGGATCGGCAATGCAGCTTGAAGATACTCGTCGTCGTACTCGATATCAGTTCCATTCACCGGGAGACGAGCAACCAATTTTACCATGTCCGAGAGCATGGGCGGCTGCGACCGCGTCAGGTAGTAAATTCTCCCTCCGTTTGGCACGAATCCGAACTCGGACACGTACTCCAAGAGATGGTTTACGATACCGCGTGCCGTCACAGACATGTCGCTGACCAACAGCCCTTGGACAATCCAGTACGAATCCCAATAGTAGCTTTCACGGAAACGCCCGCCGGGTACAATCAGTACATTATCAGGCTGGTTCAAACTCGGCTCATCTAGCTTTCGCGAATGAAGCAGCGACCCTTTCACGTGTGGATTGCGAATTCGTCCAAGACTCTGCCATATCTGGTGCAAGTCAAAGGCCCAATCTCGAAGTTCCTGGTCTCGGATGTCAGCCACCATAGGCGGGTGAACCTGCCCCTGGTAGTCGAAAGGTGTGATCGGCAGCAGATCCGTTCCTGGCGGGTCAAAGTGGTCGTCAAGAAATTGCCGCAACTGTTGCTTGTGCATGCCTTGGACATTGGGTCGGTACTCGGTCATAGCGAGTCCACGATGCTGAAAATCGACCAAGATGTCGAACGCGCTGCTATTGTCTTTGATTGGCATGTCGACAAAGTACTTGCTGTCCGAGTAGACATTGGCCATCTGAACAGCATGTAGCAACGGTCCACGACAGTAGATGTCCATTGTTCGTTCCATTTCCACATTAACGCCAAGAGGAATCTCCTTTTCTGAAGACACTGCACTCAGCACGGTTGGTTGACTTTTCATGTGACGAAGAAACGAGCGAAGACGATGTCCACCACTCAGCAACTTGCCACTCGAGTGGTGCAGTGAGAACGACGGTACTTTGTGTACGCCATGGTTTGCGGATCGATTCGACAGTGCCTTTAACTCGACAGCAACAATGAACATGACGACTACAATCTCCAGAACCCGAAGCAGGGTTCGACCACTCGGAAAGCCGAGATGGCTGGGCTTCCAACCAGCGACATCTTGATGCTTCGGCTGAGGTTCTCGTCCGCCGTTATGATCTCGACTCCCAGGAATCAGAGGCAGGTGCTCCTCTTCATGAGAAAGGTCGCGGCCATCCCACCATTTGGTCAAATCTGCAAGCAATGCAGCACGTTTCAGAGCTTGGGCACCGTGTCGATTACCTTCTGTCGTGTAGTTGCAGCTCGAAACAGACGACGGGGACATCGACTGGAAGCGCCGATCCCTTTTCGTGCTCGTTGCTTACCCAGAAGTTGGAAAATGACAAGAATCACGCTGGTTCTCTCCAACCAGGAGCTGGTATAACAAAGTGCTGAATGACTGAGCACCAGTGTTTCGTTCTTGCGGCGGGTCCCGGAACGATACTGCATACTTCGATGTTGAAGTAAACCAACTTGTGCTACATTGGACACTATTTTCGAAAGCACTTGGGATAGTCGTAGGTCAATTCTTGGAAATTAATCAGGTTACCGTCCTTTGTATTAATTTGCGCCGACTGTCGAACTCCTCGTGGATGAATGGCCGTCATCAGTCTGCAGAGTCCACCGTCGTAGCCACTCGATGAAATTGTTGGTCGTCGATTGTCCGTCGGAACGACGACGACGATGATCTCGCACTGTAAATGCAACTGCTGCTAGCCATAGAAGTTGTATGAGACCTAAATAGAGAGGAACAACAAGGAGGACTGCAATGGTATTTAGGATTCAAAGGGTGTGTTTATTGAGCTCTTCATGCGGAAAAAGTCAACCTCACGTTCACTCGCAAGGAGAACAAATGCATCGCTCAATCGACATGCAATAGGTGACACCTTGATACTGCGTAGCTTCCTATCCCCTCTTCCTTCGATCGCAGTATGATGTGCACACTGTGTGTCATGTAGAAATGGTATGAAAAAAGAGCAGCAGCAGGGCTGAGAAATAGCTAAACTCAAAGGCTAAAAGAGGAGGGTACGTAGAAGGAGGCGGATTGGCATGGCCGACATTCGCTACACTAGCATTTCCATCGGTTGCCGCAGTTATGACACATGACAAAGACCGTCATGGGTTCATCGGCACTGCGTGTCTGCTTCTGTGTGTTACTGGTCTTGGACGACTTGCACCGGCCACACGTAAACAGACCCTTGGTGCCTTCCGTGCCCGTCTGTTTCTGGATCTTTTCGTGATTCGCTTCAGCCCAATCCAATCGCGCTTCCTGGAACGCGTCGTCACGCAGTTTCTCAATCTGTGCTCGTTTCTCTTCTGTTGCTAATTCCTCGGCCGTCATCTTGACCAGTTGGTCCCCACTGACACTGTCGTCCAGCAAATTCTGCCGCAACTCGCAGTTCTTTTTCAGATTGAACGACAGCTGACGGTACTTGGCCATGTACTCTTTCTTCAGCTCGCCAGGAGCTCCCATATGATACATCCTCGCCATGGCCACTTCAATCTCCGCTGCCATTTGTCCGGGGTCACCACCTCCTTCCGACACGTCCAAGATCTCTTTCAACTTGGTCCGCACTGTAGCACGTACTTTGTCCAGTCCAGCAGGAATGAGCGACAAAAAGCTCTTTTTTTCTGCCGCGTCAGACTTGGGTGCCTTTTTAAGTCCATTGCTGCTTCCAGCGCTCTGATTGGCGGTTAAATCCACTGCTGGAGCTTTGGCAGTGGACGACAGTTTGCGCGCAGCCGCTGAAGTAACGCGAGGCGACTGCGCCATGTCGTGCTTCCACGACTTCACCAGCAGTCGCGCCAAACTCGCAATCTTCTCGTTCTCGTGCTTGCGCAACTTGCCCACTGTATGCCCCATCTTGGTCTCCTTGAGCACGTCGTACGTGATGGCGGACTTCTCCAGCGCGCGCAGCACCTCGAGCGCCTCGCCCTCGTCCTTCACGTCCCCCCGCGTGAACTTGAGCAGGCGGCGATGGAGCTGGTTGGCGTCTATCATAGCAGAGGAAGAGGTGGAGGGGGACGAGCTGTGACGGGTCCGCACTGGTCTACAGGTGGCTTGAAAGCGCGACTTCACGGGGTCGTTTGCGTGAAGGGAGATGGATTCACCTGGTGGCTGCTGGGCGAGTTCTTAGTGTTACTTTTGGCTCCACGTCGCATGCGACAGACTGACTGGCAGTGAGCCTCGCGAACCTAGCGAACTGACTAAGGATGAGACTGTGGAGTTGACTGAAGATCCAAGTAGTCAGCCAGAGTGGGTGGCCTTTTTCGTGTGGTGCACATAGTTAGTGACCTGGTGGGAAATGTGTAGCGTACATATTCTGCGGACGGCACACACTTTATTAAAAAGAACAACAGCTCTTTGTAGAGTCCGTAGAATACGTGATTGAAAACAGGAGCAGACGTTGTGCGTTGGGTGTAACACCGTAACCTATCAACTTGTAAGTACACACGATCACGCTCAGATACGTCAACATAATAAGACGTGTTTCGACTCGATGCCACGAGCCGCTAAAAGTGACAAATGCTTCCACTTAACTGCAGCCAGCTCCAATTTGACAACAGTTTGCTTGACAAAGCGACCCGCAATACCTGCTGGCTATTGCGAATTCGCGAAGTTTCTTACAGAAGTAATTCCATAACGCAAAATGATTTCACGCTGACCCGTGAGCGGCAATACGCGATCAATCGTGAAGATCGTGTCGAAGTGTAGCCTTATCGCAATAATGCCCCAGGTGAGCAGGTTGATGACGTGGTAAACGAGATGATGGTTGGCTAATGCTTTCGATTCTATTTAACTATCTAGTAAGCACGTATCTGCTACTGCTTTACGCAATGTACTGATCGACACGGAGTGCATGACAGTTAGAAACGATATCAAGTCCGTAGAATCGCTCGGAAGCAGTTGTCACTGCAGTTCGGAGCAGATAGAGCACAGATTGATATTCGTCATATTCGTACGCATTTACCAGAGCTGCGTGGCAACCAACTTAATGTCAATCACGCACCAGTTGAATCAAAGCAAATCTCACAACCACTGCTGATCACAACAGGTGCGTGCAGTTAAGGACGACACGTTCAGGAAAAGTCGAAAGCTGATTAACACGGGGTAATGTTGTTTGTGAATAGACTGAGGCAACATTGAGCGACAGGAAATACGCGACATATCTCAGCGATCGACTTGTACAGCAAGACCGGCTGACAGCCGCCGTATTGGGCTCAGGTTTACGCGCAGCGGCAATCAAGTACGATTTGCGTTGTTTGCTCCAGAAGTGGACTTCCATCTCCATAGCATAGTGTGGATTCCAAGCATGCTACCTTCCTTTATCAACCGAGTGTCACTTGCGCCAGGAATGGTTATCCACAGTTGCATCCAAGCGATTGGCCTCACAGCTGCAGACGTGGTGACGACAAGGTTTTGTGTCGCTAAAAAGACTCGTGAAGGAGGAAGAAAGCGAGAAGAACGACGCAAACGACGAGAGACGCAGCAGCTGGTTATGAGGAGCTCGTGTGGCGGTCGTGCAAAACCAGGGCGCTCGCCACGCTTTCAGCCAATGAGCGGAGCTCACTGTCCCACCAAAACAAAAAGCGAGTTAAAGCAGCAGACGACGCGACGGCTCTCGGGAACGCGCACGTCGAGGTCTCGCGCAGCTCGAGCTCTCATCGTCTTCCCCTTTCTCTCTCCCTCTCTCTCTCTCCTCGTGGTGTGACACTTCATCAGCAACACGCAGCATTGTCTGTACGTCTCCTTTGCCGTCTCGCGTCTGTTTGTTTTCTCTTTGGACTTGCTCACTTGCAATTGTTTGTATAGCTATTAGCACCTGGAGCAGTCCATATGCAGCCCACGACGCTCGAGCCCACGCCTCTGTCCAGCGACAATGGTCCCTTGAAATCTGCGTTTGGAGAGATTGTCCATCGCGGCTGGCTGAACCTCAAGACCCGCAGTCTAGTGAACGTGCGGCCGCGCCACATGCGCTACTGCATTTTAACGCGCGATACGCTGCTGCTGTGCACGTACAAGTTCCAGCCTAGTACAGGCGACCTCGAGTCTGGTCTTGTCAAGCCTTTGCGAAGCTATAAGGTTCTTGGGGTGGCGCCCTGGGATGGTCGTCGCTTTGCTTTTCTCGTGAGCGTCAAGCAAGTGGACGATAGCGCGGACAAAGTATTGGAAATTGACGGCCCTACTGCCACGGCTGCTAGTGATTGGATCCACAACTTGAGAGTATTGACGAGTCGTGAAGAAGGATGGCCTCTGAACACGTCGTTGGCTCGAAGAAGGGGGAGTGACCACGGCCCCGTGTTGGACTCGCCATCACGTGCTGCCACTACGGCTGCGCATGACAAAAAAGAACCCAACTTGTGGATTAAAGGGGCGTCGGTGCACCGAGGACTACTAAATGCTTCTGGTGAAAACAATTGCTTCTTGAATGTGGTGATCCAGAGCTTCTGGCATTTGACGTCCATGCGACACTTTTTACTGCACGTGGAAGTAAAGGAGGAGTCTCGTTCCGTCGAGTCGAACGTGCTACGTGCATTGAAATCCATGATAACAGAGTATGATGACACGTCTAGTGGAGCGCTCCACTCGCGCGCTGTTCGCAAAGGATTGAGCGTGCTGTACTCGGCAGACAAGAACTTCCAAGAAGGGGCAATGTATGATGCGGAGGAGACGCTCCTTGCTCTGCTCAACTTGATGCATCAGCAGACAGAAGCGACGGAGATCCAGGAGACGCACAAAACGACGATGATGGTGAAGTCCTTGGTTCGACTTGTGAGTGCCGACGCGGATGAGGAGAATTGTCAAGCAGGCTTTGACGACAATAGCATCCCGCATCTGGTCTTTTCACACCAGATATACGACCGGTATGTGTGCGGACGTTGCAATTACAGCTCACCATGGGACCTGTACTCTAATCTCGTGTACTCGACGTACGCGAGCGACTTGTATACGAGCAAGTACGAATTTATGGAGCAAATGTTTCGTCGGTTTACAGCTCAGGAGGCAGACGTTGCGTCTAAGTGCGAGCAAAAGGGATGCAGCGGCAAGCTCGGTAAGGAGCGGATAATCCGTCGTTTTCCCATGGTGTTTGCAGTGTCAATACTTTGGGCAACTCAGAATGCAACAAAGGCACAAGTGGAGGGTGTGTTGAGCAATATTGGCGATCGCTTGGATTTAGCCAAGTGCTTCAATGCTGCTGGACCTGTCCTTCGTTTTAAAAGCGGTGGATTTCGTACAACATACCGCTTGCGCGGTTTTGTTTGTTACTATGGGCGTCATTACGTGGCTCTGTTCTACAGCACTGCGCACAAAATGTGGTTGCTTTTTGACGACTCGCGCGTGCTCGAGATAGGTTCATGGGGCGACGTCGTCAGTGAATGTCTGAAGGGACGATTTCAACCAGTTTTGCTGTTCTACGAGCTTCCGGATCAACGGAGAGATTCATCCGTAGGCCTTCTTGCAAATCATGGGTCGCTGAACGTTCTTTCGCAGACAAGCATGTCGGGCGTCCCTCAGTCGGGTGAGATGCTGCCCTTGTCTATCAAGGAAGAATTGTCAGAAACTGGGCGACCATCGTTGCGACGGCACAATGACGTAGAACCTGACAGCATGGATGAAGGTATACCGCTGTCGAGGAGGCATGGGATGAACGGCATAACAGAGTTGGAACCGAACCCAGACTTTGAGCTGAAACAGCTGAGCCTCCGTGACTCGGTAATGCAGAACATTACGCCGGTGTCAGCAGCCATTGCGATGTGCCCTCGTTCCATTTCCATGAACGCACCTCTGGGTGTGGACGAGTACGATGTGCACTTCGGGGAGTCACTCTTGCTCGGTATGTACTTACAAAAGATAGAGAACGAGTTGTGCGTGACCACATTCCCGCGTGGAGTCAACGGGGGTATGTTTGGCGCCGAAAAGTGCGGTCAGATTGGTCTTTTTGATACCATCCTGCAGGCGAATGGACACCCGCTTCAACACTACCAAGTCGATCGCGCTCTTAAGATGATTAAGGCCCAGAAGCGTCCGCTGGTGATCCGGTTTCGCAGGTCCAAACGTGTGCAACAGCTACTCGACATGGGCTTCTCGCGCGAACTTGCACTAGATGCGTTGCGGAGGAAGAGTGGTGACGTACAGGCAGCCGCCAATTACTGCTTTGAAACGAAAAGCTAGCAGTGCGATGAATAATAGAATGGAGCGGAGTTGGTACGGAGCCTCAGCAGCCTGCAGTCAGCAGCGACGTGCAGGAGGTCGTGTATTTGTATCGTGCATTGATGCAGCAAAAAGATCACTCGAATGGAAGTGTCAGCAGTGGGTCGGTATCGTTTCGTCTTGTGTGCAGCTAGTCGGCATGAGTCCCGCCCGAAAGTACGTACAGACGATTACGTTCAAGATGATGGCCATTGCATGAAGTTCGTCTTTACACTGTCGCTTCCAGCAGATTGTGAGCATTAATCTCAAGGCTGGTAATGGACCCACTATCGCTTCGTGGTTTCTTAAGCACGTACAGACACTGTCCGTGCTTAAGAAACCACGAAGCGATAGTGGCACATGTGAAATGTGCCATGACCTCATCAGATCAGGAGCACTGGCCAATAGTCCTGTCATGCTGAGCTTGCAATGTCATTAAATTTAACTCATAGAAACAACACAATGGTAACCATCAACGCAGTCCAATTTAGCAACATGTCACCAAGACTGAATTATGCACTTAAATGTTTACTAGAATATCTGTGTGGCTCCCAAATTCCATGTCCATCGTGTATAGTCGCAAAGCATCAAAAGCAAGCCTTTAAGCGAACCGTTTTACAGCGTCTGTCCGGCGTCTATTGTCACGTTAAAGCCGTTGTCCACACTGATGTGCGCCACTCCACCCCCTCGATCCCTGCGAAATCGCATAATTCGAACGGTCCGCACCTCGTGCGCCAATGGGTACATTCCTTCTTGTTCTTTTTGCAGGTGACTCGCCACGAATGACGAGCGTCGTGTCCCGCGTGGCGCCCAAGGCGCTCGCGCTTGCGCGCGGCTTCCGCTCGAGCGCCGCCGTGGCCAATGGCGTGGAAGAAGCGGGGGAGACGGTCCTGGCGCGTGTCTATGGAGGACTGAAGGACGAAGACCGCGTCTTTACGAACGTCTACGGCGAAGACACTTGGCGCGTGGACGGCGCGCTGCGTCGCGGCGACTGGTACCGCACCAAAGACTTGCTCTGCATGGGCCCCGAGTGGATCGTGCAGGAGATCAAGGACTCGGGGCTGCGTGGCCGTGGCGGCGCGGGGTTCCCAAGTGGCCTCAAGTGGTCGTTCATGCCCAAGCAGACGGACGGTCGTCCCTCGTTTCTGGTCGTGAACGCCGACGAGAGCGAGCCAGGGACGTGCAAGGACCGGGAGATTATGCGGAAAGACCCGCACAAACTGGTGGAAGGGTGTCTCTTGGCGGGCTTTGCCATGCGTGCACGAGCTGCCTACATTTACATTCGTGGGGAGTTTTTCAATGAGGCACTTGTGCTCCAAGAAGCTATCCATGAAGCTTACGAGCGTGGATTCCTAGGCCATAATGCCTGTGGGTCGGGATACGACTTTGACGTGTATCTGCATCGTGGGGCTGGTGCGTACATTTGCGGCGAGGAGACGGGACTGCTCGAGAGTCTTGAGGGTCGTCAGGGAAAACCACGTCTGAAACCACCTTTCCCGGCTAATACGGGCTTGTATGGATGTCCTACTACGGTGACGAACGTGGAGACGGTTGCTGTATCCCCTACGATCTTGCGTCGCGGTGGATCGTGGTTTGCTGGCCTTGGACGCAAGAACAACCATGGCACGAAGCTTTTCTGTATTTCGGGGCATGTTAATAACCCGTGTACAGTGGAGGAAGAGATGAGTATTCCTCTTCGTGAACTGATTGACCGTCATTGTGGTGGTGTTCGCGGTGGGTGGGACAACCTGCAGGCGTGTATTCCTGGTGGCTCGTCTGTGCCAGTGCTGGATGAGGAGCTCTGCCAGGACATTATGATGGACTACGATGACTTGAAGCAGCGTGGTGGCTCTGGTTTGGGCACGGCAGCCGTCACTATTTTCGACAAGAGTGTTGACATGGTCGGTGCGATTCGCCGGTTGTCGCACTTCTACACTCATGAGAGCTGTGGCCAGTGCACGCCTTGTCGTGAGGGTACAGGTTGGATGGAGAGTGTGCTCACTCGTATGGAGACTGGTGACGCCGAGCTTGAGGAGATCCCCATGCTGGAAGAGATTTCGCGCCAGATCGAGGGCCACACCATTTGTGCTCTTGGTGATGCTGCTGCGTGGCCCGTGCAGGGCTTGATTCGGAAGTTTAAGCACAAGATCGTGGAGCGCATTAAGGATCCCTCGAGCTTTAACCCGGAGGACTATTTTCAAAAGGCGTGGCCCGGTGTTCCTCTTGAGAACCAGGCGTGGGTGGACAAGTTTTCCGATGGCTCGACTTACGAGTCGAAGGCTTCTGTGTAAGCTGAAGATGGTCGGGTGTGCATGGCTAGCGTCAGGTCGAGGGTGTCAAATGTTGCACAGGGACAAATGACTTGATACTACAGACAACTGACACTTTTGTAGGTTGAAGAAGCAAATGACAGTTGGAAGATCCTTGATGCAATACAATCGCCTGATGCAAGCGCTTGAGTTGTAGTTGAAATCGTATTCCCTGACGACACTTCGATACGACAGTGCTGAGACCAACTTTAAAACAGCCACTTGGGCTTTTGCCTCTCGTCGTACTTGATCGTTGGCGCAAAGAACTCGATGAACTGCTGATCAAGCAGACGCATGCGCGGGCCAGCAAAGCGGCAATACTCGTCGATTATTGAAGTCAGCGACCAGTTCTCCATCTTGCGCATGCACCCGACCACACAACCTGTCCGATGCTGCACCGATGTACGCAGCAGTATCCTTAGCTCGATCTCGTCATGCAACAGCAGCACACGGCTGATCTAACCACGCACCGTTCCTTTCGTACAGTGCACCAAGATCGGGTGATTCCTCACGTCTGCAAAAGAACCAAAACGAGACACATGACACCCACACGTATTAGCAAGTGAGCAACTACAACGCAGTACATCCAGATCTGCCAGTGTACCAAGGAGGTGACGTAGCGCATCAGCCATTGCATCCGGGTTGATGCTGATAAACGGCTCCTGCATGAGTGGTGGTCAAGGTCTTCACATTGTCCACATCCCCATCTGATACACATTCTCACCTTGTTGCCGTCAATGGGACACTGGAACACCTGGATGTTGTTCTTGTTGAAGAAACCCACGTTCTCCGGTTGATGCTCCTGATGACACAGATATCTAGAGGTGCACGATCGAATGAAGTCCCAGAACTGGAAGAAAAAAGAGAGCGATAACTCTCGATGCACGTCAACGACTCAGTCACCTACAACACAGACTTGAGACCGAGTTGCTGAAGAAACGCATGGTTCTTCCGGTTGGGGAAGCCAGAGCGGTACACGCCCGAGGCTACCATAGAGAAGTTGAGCGGCGGGATCAGAGTCTTCTTCTCGTACGCTGACATGGTCTCAAACGAAATTCCAAGAGCGACTACAGGCTTCTCATTGGCTACGACGCAAATCTCTCTCTTCTGATTGGACAGATTCAAACCAACGCCGTGGAGATATACCGCCTTGCCAACCCGCTCAAGTTTGAATGGGCTTGGAGCAGCAATCACGTAGTCGAATCCAAAGCGTCGTATGTTGCGCTGCTCGTCATTGACCTGAGCGTGGATACGCGTTGACGAGACGAACGCTATCGGTGACAATCAGTCTTGTCTTCTCCAGCTATTGCTGCGACCATTTAATTGGGAACTCTTGATATATAAATGACCCCAGCTAAGAGCGAACAAGCATCGCGTGTCCGTGCCACCTCCTGATCAGCTTTCTAGCTTCCCGAATATCCGAATCGCTGGTATCTGCTGGGGCTCCAGTGGTGGCGGCGTTCCAAGTCTACGAAGGTTGAGGCAAAGTAAAGCAACAAGTACGTACGCCCAGTCTCTAGTTGCGGTGATCGCAAGGTCGCCACAACTAGACACTGCTACTTGCGTTGTGCGCCACAAAGCATCCCTGGATGGTATGCCCGAGGCGGGCAAGATCTCTACTCACAATAAGCCGAAAGGTGACGGTCGGACGATCGATTTCGAGGCGAAATGTAAAGTGAAGAGATCCATGAGGCTTGATTCCAGCAGCGTGCTTGGGCATTAGATCAACAGGCACGTAGGAAACATGGGGCAGCACGTCTGCATAGGCATCATCGATTCGCTAAGATGAGACGCAGAAACAGTATCTGCACATTTTTGAGTCCTTTGACAGGCATACGGGTGGCTTCACGCAACTATCTATTTTATCGCCATTTACCTGACCACATGAAGTAGCAGTCTCCATACTTGGCATACTAAGAGCGAAACCACGGACTCATCACACTACCCCTTCACTAGATACGCGATATACCCTCCAGCTAGTGCCATGGCTGCAATGATTACCAGCGGCTTTACCATCCCTTTCAATATGATTTTCCAGGCCTCTAGCTTCGTGTACTCTTTCGGGATCTCGGCCGTTGCAGCCTTTGCTGCGTCCGTGGCATCCTTCACTGTATTTGTCGCACCCTTCACTTTGTCGGGCTGCGGCTTCCCGCTCAGGAAATACTTGAGCTGTTCAGCATACGGAATCTTCTCGAACAGTATCTTGAAATTGAAGGTGTCGCCCGCAGTAACTGCCCTCGCTTCATCTTTCAACTCCGCTTTGAGCTCCTTGCTGTCCTTGAGGAATAAATTCACACTGCTATCGTCCATCGCTTCAATGTTCTGATCCGACTCTAGCTTCGTCATCGGAACGATGCCATACGCTCTACCAAAACTGCAGCAGTATGGTGCGAGAGTGAACGCCGCGAGCAGGAGACGTATACGGGTCATCTCGGGAGCTTTTACTGGAATGAATCTAGCGTGTGCAGAGAGCGCTGATAGAAAAGCAGTCGACGAGATAAAGAGGAGTGTACGAGGCTTTGCTGCACAGTCCACCAATCAATTGGTCCTCCAGGAATCGTCGCACAGCTCTCGAATCTCGCGCTCGAATGAGATATGAGGTTGATCAACGGTGTGGTGTCATGTGGCAAAGTGCAGTCCTGAACTTCCATTTGACGGCAGCGACTGGTCAGCATCACATTGTATGGCACTGAAAGGCACGATCGATCCGTTCATTCCTTGAGACGCGCGACCAGTATTGCAGTACCGACTTCTGTGCACTGGTCCACCCGATGATGTCTACCACAATCGACCTCGAGGGTTGAGAGACATGACCACAGCATCTTTCTGCTGATTGGCTTCGTTACGCCATGTTGATGGGCGTTATCACTCACGACGTGTGATGTATCGTAAGCTGGTATTGAGTTCATTGCTGTCGGAGCCACGACTGGACTAGACGACGTCAACTTGATCAACGTCTGCTGCGCTATCTAGTCTGCTGCGGGTTTCGCACTGCACCTTGCTGTTACAGCATCTCTATACGTAAATGAAGTGGCTGAGAAGTTGGCAGCACTTCATCGACTGCGGTAAGCGAGAGTATGCGGAGCGAATGCAGAAACTGGATCGAACCTCGTCCCGCATGAGCGTGTTGAGCAGTACTGTCATTTTCTGACCGACCTCGCATCTCAATGCAATAATGTTCACAACAGCGACAGCTTTTCTTCCTTTCAGCCACATCCAGCTCGTTGGGTTGTATACGTGTGCCTGGACCACGCATGCGAAACACTTGATCCCAACACTTACTAGAACTCCCTTGTCAGTGGGTATGGTCTATACAGACCTTCTTCGGCTTGTACTTACAACGTAATGGGTCACCTCCTGACTTTCGTCTGCCATCACCAAAGACCTTTCTTCGTGAACAACCGCGACAGATTTATGTAAGACGAAAGGATGCGGTGCGAGCATGTACAAAACTTCACAGCACATCTGTCCGTCATTATTTGGTGCGAAGGCAAGAAGTGACCGAACACATTCCGACATTGTCGGAATGAACGATGGGAAACTAGTTTGCATGCGGTGGAGGACTGCAATCTCCGAACATAATTCCGTGGTCAAACTCAAGACCGAAGCTCGGAAGCTTTCATGCAGCAGGTGCTGCGTACGTGATGTACAAATGTCTACGGCCGATCATAGAAGACGAACACTCACAAGCATTTCGATGCGAGTCTTCGTCGAACGAGAGAGTGTTTGGAGACGAATATACCGTCACTTTTGCTGTAGCAAGAACTTTGAAGCGCAACGAGCTTCCAATCTTTTGTGTGACGCTGGCAGGTAACGGCAAGCCATTGAGACGGTGCAGAATGAAAGCGGACACCGATGACGGGGATATCTCGCAAAGAAATCGACTGTTTCTGACAGCGAGCTGGTACTATTTAGGATGAAGCCATAAGCGTGAAGTACCGTTGCGTCTGTGGATCCCTGTCACGGATCACTCGTACGACCGTATAAAGACGACGACGCATGCGGACCAATTGTCAATTCTTTCGGCAGTTAGCAGCTGTAGTTTAGCATAGAGGCAAAATTGCGCTGGCGCTCGAGGCCGTTCTAGAACGCTCGAGACCTTTAGAAGTAGATGGTAAGCGACGTAGGTTCCATCAATGGTTATAAACCATGCCAGTCGGGTGACCTTGTAGTCATGGGCTATCCAATATCTTGTAACGAACCGGTAGCTAAGACCCAGTCGTAAGGCAAGGGGCTAATTTAAACGCCCCACGTAGCTGAGCGTTTTCTAGGAGCACATTGGGTTGGCTATGTGAGATTGAACCTGTTGTAATGATGTCGTGGTAACACCAATGATTACAGCAGCACTGTGGTTGTTTTACAATTCAAGCCACGAGTACAAATGCTGGTATCAACACGCCTGAGCGGGACCCGCGATTGCGCATGAATCGACATTACAGAACTCGGGCAAGATCGAAGGCGGATCAAGACCTCGGATGAGCAGGGTAGAGCGATGTGCGTACTAAGTGTAGGAAGAGGAACAAGTGAGAAATCGCGGCGGGTAGCGCTCTGTTAGTCATTCCCAAAATCACCAAGTGAAGTGGAAGTCGAGTTGTCCACTGACCAACCGCATTCACTGCACTTTTACCCGAAGCTCGCAACAGGATCGAGTCGAGATGATGGTGGAAGCGATGCCAAAGCTACTGAACGCAACTTACTGCTGTCCAACCTGATCACCTTGTTTTTTTTCCGCCGATATTGCTCGAACGCAGGGTTCAAGGTGTAAGTTGGCCGGGCATGTTGGGCAACGACCGTCTCCTGCCATCATCAGACTCTGAAATACCGACGTCTGTTGGCACCTACATTCGATGGGACTCAGCTTCTCCAGCCAATCCCTATCAAAAGTCGGCGTGATGCCGCATGGGACCAGATGTTATTTAATTGGTTGCGGCCATGAGAGAGAATGGGTCACGCATTAGACTGACTGGCACTGACGCTTGGTTGAGCAACGTACGTATCGACAATGACCAAGACTCATGCCATACCAAGAATATATCGCCGGTAATCTACGATGGCTAGCATTCCGCTTTCGAATGCTTCACTTGTTCGCTAGCACATCAGGCTAGCTGGGATCATGACGGTGATGTACCTAAGGCGAGTTATGAAAACCGTCATCGCTATGTCGAAGTTACGGGTCAATCAACGTTGCCCGGGAGTCACAGTATCTCACCTCGCAAAGCAGAGCTTTTGCATGTTAAAAACAGCTGCAGGGTGTAGGCAAGCTTTACTCCTGCGTTGGGCTGATCCATGTCAAACGCAGAAATCAAAACATTTTGCCGATTGCTGCGGCATGTTAGTAAATGACCACGATTCCAAACAAACGTGCACTGGTTGTACAGCTTTTTATTTGGATTCTCAAATAGCACCGAATGGAAAATGATACAATGAGGCAATACCAATCAAGTTCTTTCCGAGCGCGATCGTGGTAAAGTCTAAGTGTAAAAGGCCTAGCTTTCAACCATCAGCTCGGCCACTTGCACTGGGTACAGTGCACAGCAGACAATCTATCTGAATGTATTCGATTTTATTCCACAACACAGCGGGAAGTAGTTGCGTCCGGCGTTTGCTGCACAACAGCTTCATAACCCTTTCATGGGTCCGCTACGTACTTTAATGTTAGCAGGGGACGCGACGTTTTCCGGCAGTCGAATCATCGGATGAGTGAATCTATTAGTCGTTGCGTAGCGTCCGTGTGAAGCGAAACCGCCATGTCCAACGCGCCCAGGCAAAGCTACGCAATTGACCTTTCCTTGCCTCATCAGCGATCTCAATATTGTTTTGCCGCGCCAGTAACGCACTGAAGGCTGTTTACCATCGTGTCTGCACACATGAAAGTGGCTGTAATCAGGAAAGGCACATAACAGGTCGTGAAGTACACAACATAACAGGTCGTGAAGTACACAATACCACACGGACAGAGCAAATGGTAACGGACGGACCCGGCTGTAAGTCCCAGGCTCGCCTTATTGTTACGTGCACGCGAGCGCTAAACCCACAACGCAATAATTGATGTAGTAAAGAAAAAGTATGTATGATCCATCGAACGACATTAACGTGCTTAACACCTCGCAAGTGTTATCCACAAATACAAGAATCTACCCAACACTTCTCGATTGGAACTCAACCAACTGATCAGGATCTCTTCTGCTCAGGTCCTTCCTGCAACAGGAACTCTGCGTCTATCGCGAACGGCGCTCACGACATTAGTTGGACCGGATTCGACTCGTTGATCGGGTCCTCCTGCTGCACAATTTACGGCGCCGGCACAAATTCAAGCGGCGCGTCCTGGTTCACAATATCCGGCAGTGGCTTCGTAGCATCAGGCAGATGGTCGTCCTGATCTATGAGACCCGGTGCCGGATCAGTCGGCATGACTTCAGGTGCCGGTTCCTGATCTATGAGAGGTGCCGGATCAGTCGGCATGACTTCAGGTGCCGGTACCACAAGGTTCGGGATCTCAGGCTTTGGAGTGCAAGGCTGCGGCTCCTGCTCCTTTTTCTCCTCCTTCTCCCCCTTCTCCTGCTCCTTCTTTTCCTTCTCCTGCTCCTTCTTTTCCTTCTCCTGCTCCTTCTTTTCCTTCTCCTCCTCCTTCTCCCCCTTCTCCTGCTCCTTCTTTTCCTTCTCCTCCTCCTTCTCCCCCTTCTCCTGCTCCTTCTTTTCCTTTTCTTCCTTCTTCGCCTGCTTCTCCTGTTCCTTTCTCTCCTTCTCCTCCTCCTTCTCCTGTTTCTCCTGCTCCTTTCTCTCCTTCTTCGCCTGCTTCTCCTGTTCCTTTCTCTCCTTCTCCTCCTCTTTGATCTTCTTCCTCTCCTCCTTCTCTCTCTTCTCCTGCTCCTTGCGCTCTTTCATCTTCGCCTTCTCCTCGTCGCTAGTACCTTGCCCGCCACCAATTGGCACAACACCAGGTTGGACCACCTGATCATACACGCCCTTAGGCCCCCCACCCTCAACATTCGGCAAACCATCGTTTTGGTTCACGTGCTGCTGCTCTTCCTCCTCTGTCTTCTTCGCCTCCTCGTCGCTAGTGCCTTGTCCGCCACCAACTGGCACAACACCAGGTTGGACCACCTGATCATACACGCCCTTAGGCCCCCCACCCTCAACATTCGGCAAACCATCGTTTTGGTTCACGTGCTGCTGCTCTTCCTCCTCAATCTTCTTCGCCTCCTCGTCGCTAGTGCCTTGTCCGCCACCAACTGGCACAACACCAGGTTGAACCACCTGATCATACACGCCCTTAGGCCCCCCACCCTCAACATTCGGCAAACCATCGTTTTGGTTCACGTGCTGCTGCTCTTCCTCCTCAATCTTCTTCGCCTCCTCGTCGCTAGTGCCTTGCCCGCCATCAACTGGCACAACACCAGGTTGGACCACCTGATCATACACGCCCTTAGGCCCCCCACCCTCAACATTCGGCAAACCATCGTTTTGGTTCACGTGCTGCTGCTCTTCCTCCTCTGTCTTCTTCGCCTCCTCGTCGCTAGTGCCTTGCCCGCCATCAACTGGCACAACACCAGGTTGGACCACCTGATCATACACGCCCTTAGGCCCCCCACCCTCAACATTCGGCAAACCATCGTTTTGGTTCACGTGCTGCTGCTCTTCCTCCTCAATCTTCTTCGCCTCCTCGTCGCTAGTGCCTTGCCCGCCATCAACTGGCACAACACCAGGTTGGACCACCTGATCATACACGCCCTTAGGCCCCCCACCCTCAACATTCGGCAAACCATCGTTTTGGTTCACGTGCTGCTGCTCTTCCTCCTCAATCTTCTTCGCCTCCTCTTTCTTCTTCAGATCCTCACCCGTCTTCTGCTGCTCCTCTTTCTTCTTTGCATCCTCATCCGCCTTCTGCTGCTCCTCCTGCTTCTTCGCCTCCTCATCGGCCTTCTGCTGCTCCTCCTGCTTCTGCTGCTTCTCCTCATCGGCCTTCTGCTGCTCCTCCTGCTTCTGCTGCTCCTCCTGCTTCTTTGCATCCTCCTTCGCCTTCTCCTCCTCGCTCATACCTTGCCCATCGCCCTTTGCCGATCCACCGTTTTCAACCGCCTTCTCTGCCTCGTTCTTGACGCCCGTTTTCACCGGCATACCATCGTTTCGGACAACTTGCTCCGCCTCCTCTTTCTTCTGCTGCTCCTCGTTCTTCTTCGCCTCCTCCTCCGCCTTCTCCTCCTCGCTCATGACTTGCCCGCCGCCATTTGGCGAAGCTTCGTGCTGGTTCACCTGTGCCGGTGGGTTTTGGGTCACCTGCTCCGGTGGGTTTTGGGTCACCTGCTCCGGTGGGTTTTGGGTCACCTGCTCCGGTGGGTTTTGGGTCACCTGCTCCGGTGGGTTTTGGGTCACCTGCTCCGGTGGGTTTTGGGTCACCTGCTCCGGTGGGTTTTGGGTCACCTGCTCCGGTGGGTTTTGGGTCACCTGCTCCGGTGAGTTTTGGGTCACCTGCTCCGGTGGGTTTTGGGTCACCTGCTCCACGTTACCCGGGTTGGTATCGCTCGAGCTTGGAAGAGTTGAGGACCCAGGAGTCAGTCCAGGAGCACCACCGCCGCCACCAAGTTGGCGGCTTACTCGAAGGTTCTTGGCGACTTGTTTCTTCTCCAAAGTTGAGGCAGCGGTGGTGGGGATGGTCGTCGTGGCAGCTGCCAGAGCGGCGAAGGCGAGAACGTACGAAAGCTTCATGCTCGATGTTTGGGTCTTCGTTGGTTGGTTGGTTGGTCCAGTCTAGATGCGAGTGGTAAACTTGGCTTGGCAAATTGCGGAATGAACGAGTTGTCAAAGCTCGAGCGAAGCCTGGCACTCCCTCCCCCGCTGCTCTCAATTTGTCTCGATCGGACGGCATTGACGTGCGAGCGAGCGAGCGAGCGACGTATTACCGTCCTCGCCCCCTCTTCTTTCGCTCGCTGCGTTGTGTCCACAACGGCACAACCGCTTCGACTCGTTCGTGGATCAATCGAGACTGCAGCTGTTTTTTTCATCTCCAGCAGCTCTTCAGTAGCTCTTCCGGATCCGTTCGTCTTGGTTCCTCACGTTACAAGAAACGGGACACGAGGCTGGCGCCGCCACGACGTGCGTCTTAGCTCACGCGGTACCAAGCCAATGCACGACAAACGAGGCGGTTCAGACGAGCTCCGTTTGCTCCGAAGACGATGTGGACCTCGAGATATTCATGCGACAGTGTGGGTGGCGAACGGGGTCGCCCTTTTACATACTTGATCGAACATACGGATGGGCCACAATTTGCGACTGAAGAAAGGGACAGCGCTCGACAGATCACCAGACGCTTTCTTCACGATAGGACACGACAGGATCCAGCGCCGTTCACTCTGCTTTTCTCATGCGTGTCTAGTGAGGGTTGAAAATTTCGGCACGTTCGGTTTTTTCGGAACCGGGTGTTGTTGGCATGTGGCTCCTTCGTTGGCTGGACAAAGAGCTCACAAAACAGAAACGATGTAAAGACGCGATGAGTGACGTCGTGACCACTCTCCCTGCGTGGAACGTCCACGACCGCAGTGGGGCTATCCATCCGGTCGCACGTATGTCTGTCGACATGTCGTGCTACAGGGTACACTTGTACCTTGAGAATTCTTTGACTCAGACGCCCGTAGGTAGATCGTCACGCATGGCAGGCAGGTGCAGTGAGTTGTAGTCGACGTTTATTTAGTGGCTAGTTGGCTCGCTGTGTTTGCAGTACTGCGCTAGATGTGAGCAAGGCTCCGGTCTACTATCTTCGAGCTGACATTGACGCACGAATTTGCCAATTGTGAGAAACTCGTTTACAACTGGCGGACACGTCCAGCGCTTTGTTTCCTAACAAGGGATGAAAGGAGCCGGTGTCGTTCGAGCTCTAATTTCGGTGTAGCCACCAGAGTTCTGCATCGCGTTTTGCGAGCATCGCCATGGGTACTCACGCTTCACGCGGGCGGGCTTCGTCTACCCACAAACTCGACTATTCCCTTTCTATTTTCGGCGTGCCCACCGAAACCCACCCTGCTTGCCGCTGTACCCTGTAGTGTGTATGTATTATGTGGCATAGTATCACGCATCTGTTTGGTCCGCATAATCAGATTAGGATGGTGCTAGGAAGGTCTAGCATACAGTCATTCCTACGATAACTCATATTTTCATGACTCGTAATTCATGAAACTCAAACAAATTGAGTTCCATTGTGCTCATTTTATGGTCGCTGATTCACTTCTCATTACCAGACCACTCTAATAGTGGCGGACGCCATTATTACCATTGTCAAGCTAATAGTAGCACCTGATAAATCTTTGAAGTAGCTAATGGTGGTGCCCGCCTGATCGTCACCCAAATGCAGGTTCACTGGATACAACATAGGCTGGATCGGAATGAATTAAATACAAAGGGTTGCTCAGAGGGTAATTGACTGCAGTGTCTCAAACTGCTTGGTGTGCAGAATGCCTTCTAGAGAGAAGTCTATTCGACCAATCTAGCAATTGTCACGGGGTGAGCCTGTTACATGTAATCAACTCTGCTACTTGTTAATTCGAATATTATCACAAAGGTTGACAATGTTCGTGAATATTGCCATAAGATGTGATATCTGAATCACTCACCGATTGGCTGATATGAGCCATTCTGTCATCCAGCTCCAGCGGTCTAATCAACGATAGACGCGCGCAATGAGTGGTGATCAAGACTTTAGCATACTTTATCGTAGATAAATATAATTTAGCTAGGACTTAATATATGCACATGTAACTAGGACTGTGGCGGAATTTGCCATCAACAACTCGGTGCATGCGTCGACAACGCATACACGGTTCTTCGTGAATGGCCTACGCCATGCACGTTTACCCGACTTCTTAGAGTGCGACTCTAGTTTAAGAATGATGGAATCGCTCGAACAAAAACCGATCTGGTTCTTGCTCATCACCCGTCGACAATGGTATCGACGTGACGGATGCCGATGTCGATGCGATCGATTTCGATGGATGATGAAGACGACGATGCTGGCATATTCAGCATCTCCATTGTATTACATTAATACAGTCTTACTTTCTTCTCATATTGAACGTGTCGTTCATTACCTAGCCTTCCTCTGCACGTACAGTGTACGTGAAGTGACGCGCGGCACTACCTGCACTGTTGTAAGTGTAGGTGTACTATTACTGAAGCGATGCTAGTGACCGTTGCCCCGTTCCACCTAGTAGCACTTTGAAGTCCGTCCAAAGACCACAACCCCTACATCTAGCATACACATGTTGGATGATGATAGTGACTGTAACGGGGCACCCTCAAGCTTGTACTGATGACAGTACAAGCTACTTATTCCGATGACAGAATGAGGCGGTGCCGCGTAACTTCACGTACACTGGTACGTGCAGAGGAAGACGGTAAGGAGAAGCGAGTACTTGGTTAATGTAAGAAGTAGAACTTTATTTATAACAGTTAATGTCTGTTAATAAACCACTGTTTATCCTCATCTAACTATGTCTGAATACAAATGTGTATATCAACTATCTGCTCACCACTCATTGCGTGCGTCTGTCGTGGCGCGTCTTCGTTGGTTGATATAATGGCCTGCAACAACCAATTAGGAACTACTTGGAAGTGCTACAGAATATTGTCCTTATGACAATATTCTGAGAAAATACCTCTAATAGTTATAGTCTATAAACAATTTCTTATAAATTGTTATGTAACGGTTCACCCCGTTACATCACCCCCCCCTAACCATCGGTCACTTTAGTGACTGATTGACTAAATGGATACTCGTTCCAAATCATTTGGGACAGGATTTGCACTTGTTAGTCCGAGTCCACTTTCCAACAGTTTCATCGCATGGTAAACAAGTCCATGCGGTGCGCGAACAAGGCCACTGAGAGCGCGTCTGCACGTCTCTGTGCAGACGCTGAAGCATAAACTGCTGCAACAGATGTGTCATCGGTTGCTAAAGCGTCTCAGCCTGTGTCACTTGGTGATGCAGGCGCTGGTCATGAAGACACTCGTGTCTTCACAGAGTATGAGCTCGGTGTCTCATACTCTCCTGATACGGAAGAGGGATCTGTATCGAAGGCGGTTGAATCTAAGCCGCCTGCCAAGCGTGGCATGGATGATGCTACGCGTCGTAGCATCTTTGGTTCATCTGACGAATCAGATGAACCATCGCCAAAGCGAAGGCGCTCGAGATCGCAAGACTCGGGCGCTCACAGCGGTGTCGGTTCTCCTATTGACACCACTTCGCAGCGAGGTACCAGTACTTCTGTCGGCACGTCGCAAGAAGAGCGGGACCGCAACGTGTTGCGTCTCGCTCCCGAAGAGAAGGCATGGCTGCCTCCAAAGTCAATCATGGATCGCTTGTCGGCGACGACAAGTGATCGCCATCGATTGCGATTATTCGATTCGTCAAGGATCCATCACCTTGACCCCAGTACGAAAAACTATCCCGCTGAACATGAATTCTTCATCGATGCTTTCTTTAAGCATCAATGGTACAGTGGGAATCACAAACGTGATGGTCCCTCACTTCTTCAAGCGTGGAGCGCTTACATCCACAACTTTAAGGATGTAGGTCGTGACGTTTAGAACGACAAACTTATCAAAGCTCGTGATAAGTTTGAGAAGAGAACCCTGACAGTTGCACGCTATAAGCTGCATCGTCTGCCTGAGGAGGGTGGCTTAACCTGTCTCTCCTGGGGAGACCCGTGCCCTTGTTGTGTAAAAAACTCTGCGCGCGCACCTAAGGAGGCCTACCTCCTTAATGTTGTAAAAGATACGCCTCGGCATGACGTTTCAGAAAAGTGTTCTGTAGCTCAGCCGGTTTAGTATGGCAGTACCATCCTAAAGGTCACTGGTTCTGTACCGGTGGGGCGTGCAAACAAAAAGTTAAGCCTTCGGGATTTGGTGTTTGGGGTTCACCAGCACTGTCCTGCCAGACAGTGACGTCCCCCGATTTCGGTACGTTTGGGTGTTTAGAAACGCATGACCAGAATTAGAAACGTACGACTAGACGATTAGTAATGCGCGATGTGGTGATTACTAATGCGCGACTAGACGATTAGTAATGTGCGATGTGGCGATTACTAATGTGCAACTAGACCATTAGTAATGCGCGATATAGCGATTAGGAACGTATAGCCGAAAAATCAAATAGGCTTAGAGTAGCAACAGAGTTTGTGAACTAAGGACCTAAATATATCCACTAACATTTTACCAGCTTTGACCAACGACTTTAGGTTATGAGCCCAAGCCCTGCAGACTATGGCCAAGACCTCTTCCGCGCTTTCTCCATGGACGCCATGCCGATCACCACCGCCCGCATCAACAAGTTCGCCGGAACAACTTCCATACGTGGAAGTTCAAGATACAAATGGTTCTGGAGGAGCGAGACCTGTGGGATGTCGTGAGTGGGGAGGTGAAGCTTGAGCACTGCGTGTCGACATTGGACCAAGCAACGTTCAAGATGAAGTCGCGTAAGGCACTGGCGATCATCTGCCTCGCAATGGAGGATTCGCAGTTGCCACTGGTGCGCTAGGCGGAGAATGCGCGTGATGCATGGTCGCGTCTGAAGGGACACTACGAGAAGAAGAGCTTGGCTAATAAGCTCTTTCTTCGTCGCCGTTTCTTCACGACAATGATGGGAGAAGGTGATGACGTGCTGGAGCACATCAACAAGCTCAAGACCCTGGCGGAGCAACTCGACGCGGTTGGTTCTCCGGTCAGCGAAGACGACTTGGTCATCACTCTTTTGTCCAGTCTCAGCGAGTCCTATCAGTTCCTGATAACGGTGCTGGAGTCAAGATCCGACTCGCTGATATGGGATTTAGTGACGTCTCGGCTGTTGCATGAAGACATGAAGCGCAAGGAGCAAGGTGGCGGAGTCGATGGATTCGTGCATGGGCAAGCTCAAGCGTTCATGTCAAGAGACAACAAGCGAAACGGACGACCAGGTAAGAAGACTGGTGCGTGCCACAAGTGTGGGAAACAAGGACAATGGATCGCGGAGTGCCCCTCGCGGATCCAAGAAGACGCGGAACAACGTCGATTCCAGCGTGCGAACGTGGCGCAAGATTAAGATCTTGGCGACTATCTATTTTTGGTTGGTGGTGAATTCGCCAAGTCGAGTAACGTGTGGCTAGTCGACTCGGGTGCGACGCAGCACATGACGAGCTCCAAGAAGTTCAAGAAGAACTACAAGGTCTTTAATCCGGTCGATGTGAACTTGGCAGACGATGGTGTCGTTCAAGCGATCGGAAAAGGCGACATCGTGATGTCAATGAAGCAGCCACGCGGTACCGAGAAAGGTGTGCTCACGGACGTGTGGCATATCCAGATGTTATCGCGTAATCTGTTTTCCGTGGGTAGATTCACCAAGGACGTCGGACCAGTCACCTTCAAAACCAATGGATGCTTCGCGAAGACGAAAGGTGTCAAGTGGAAGCTCGGTGCTCGCGAAGGCAAAGGGCCTTTCACACTCTGCATGACGCCAGAAGCGTCTAACGAGGCAAACGCGTTAAGTTCGAATGATTGTAAAGGGGTACCGGGTCGTATCTCTGGCAGCTTCGGCTTGGTCACATCGGCCACGGAGGACTTGACGCCATCGTCAAGAAAGGTTATGGAACCGGCATTGACTTGGACTCGGTGAACAAACGGTAGACTTGCAGCGGGTGTGCACTCGGCAAGAAAACATGAGTGAGCTATATGTCGAAGTCTCCTGAACAAGCAAATGAGTTGCTGGAGGTCATTCACAGTGATGTGTGTGGACCCATGATAACCCGTACCTACAGTGACAAACGTTGCTTTGTTACATTTATCGACGAATACTCACACTACTGTATGGTATTTCTACTCAAGAACAGGTCTGAAGTGGCGACCAAATTTGCAGAATTCGTCGCGTGGGCGGAAACCCAAATTGGCAAGCGAGTGAAGCTTCTTCGTTGTGACAATGGTGGCGAATACACCTCCGGTGCGATGTCCAAGCTGTGTGTGGACCGTGGCATTGTGCAGAAATTTACGCCGCCGTACACTTTTCAACTGAACGGTGTTGCCGAAAGGATGAATCGGACATTGGTGGAAAGCGCCCGCTGCATTATGGAACATGCTAGGCAAGCGAAATCGTATTGAAGAGAAGCAGTCATTGCTGGAAGTGCATGATGCACTGGTTTCGGCTCCATAGATTCGACCCATGATAGGGTATGTCTAGAATGATCTGTAGGGTTCTATGCATTATTGTAGGTCGTACGACAGCTAGATGCATGGATAGTTCTCACTTGTAGATTGACAAACCACTGACGAGGCCCCCGGCGGGGGGCCGAAACGCGTCTGGTGCGCGGTAATATACAAGTCGTTTACTTTACTCCTACTTTTAACAGGAAATGAGCCCAAGTGCTTGCTGCAGACATCTCACCAAGGAACAACTTGTGCGAGTGACACCCCGCCAGAGAAGGCGCTCGATGCACAATCAAGGCGCCGAAGAATTTATCGACGGGGATCGTTGACGGTGCGCGTGCAGTCGAAAAGGGTTTGTGCAAGGGTGGTGACGCGAGATGGTCTGAACGCGCGAGTGCTATCGAAGGAAGAGTCAAGTCAAGTAGTGACAAATTTATTTGTGGTCAAGAAGAAGTGGAATCTACATACAAGACGACTACGAGATGTCAAGATGTGACATAATGCTGGGCGATGGGGGAGCCGGAATACCTGGAACTCTCGGTATCATCGAGGTTGGCTGGAGCGCAGGGGCAAGACTAAATTAAGATCCCCATGGAGCACGGATACAGCAGTGAGTATTACAGGTGAGTCGATACCCAAGTGGTCTGCATCCCATGTCGTCGAGAAGGAGTTTTGGAAGTGCATGATGCACTGGTTTCGACTCCATAGATTCGACCCATGATAGGGTATGTCTATAATGATCTGTAGGGTTCTATGCATTATTGTAGGTCGTACGACAGCTAGATGCATGGATAGTTCTCACTTGTAGATTGACAAACCACTGACGAGGCCCCCGGCGGGGGGCCGAAACGCGTCTGGTGCGCGGTAATATACAAGTCATTTACTTTACTTAACTCCTACTTTTAACAGTCATGACTGCCAACTTCTTGCGCAATCGCTGCCCAACCCGTGCTACACGTCATGACAAGTCACCACATCAAGCTTGGACCGGAAAGAAACCTTTGCTTGCGAATCTGAAGGTGTTCGGGTGTCATGCGTATTTGCATGTTCCAAAGGAAAAACGGTCCAAGCTCGACGCTTGATCACTGCACTGTCGGTTCATAAGATGTGCAGATCACGAGAAAGCGTAACGATTCGAAGATATCAAGAGTGGTCGTGTGCTGGTTAGCCGCGACGCACAGTTAATGGAAGACGTCTTCGACAGTGGAAGACGCGACTACGTTTAAGCCGAAGTAGTTCTTGAAGATGAAGAAGGTTTAACGGATGAAAACTCATTGTGTTCCAACAAAGAAGAAGAAGAAATCGTGAAGGATAAAGACGTCGAACCTGGAAGCAAGCGACATCAACGCACAAGATCACTAGAAGATGCGCTCGATATTTCGAGGGCAAAACGACTAAGTCGGGATCAAGGTTTGGTCGAGACATCTGCGGTGGCATAAGAACGTCAAGACTTTGAGGCTGACTACGTCATGGATTCAGTGGGAGTGCTCAGCCATTTTGCAGCGGACCCTTGTCCGAAACATTGGCAAGCATTAAAGCGCGTGTTCAGGTACGTCCAAGGCACACAAACCCATGGGATTGAATTTCAAGCCACGAGCAATGACAAGCTTCAAGTCTACTCAGATCCTGGTGATGTGAAAACTCAACGAAGCACAAGTGGAGACGCGTTCCTGGTGAACAATGGGTGTATCAGCTGGATAAGCAAGAAACAGCGTACAGTGGCTCTATCGTCTACGGAAGCCGATTACATGGCGTTGACAGAAGCCACACAAGAAGCAGTATGGCCTAAGGCATTTTTGTGTGAGATTGGTAAAATAAAGAACGACGAAGCAGTCAAGATCTATGAAGATGACCAAGATTCCATTGTGTTGGCTAAGAACCCCGAGTTCCATAAAAGAACGAAGCACATCGACATCCGGTATCACTATCTGCGCGAGAAGGTTGCAGACGGCCAAGTGTTGCTACAGTGCTGTGCTACGAACAACATGAACGCAGACCTCATGACGAAGCCGATCCCCGCTGCGCAGTTCGAATATCTTCGGGGCATGCTGGGGATCAAGACACCAAGGTCTGCCGATTCAAGTGGGAGTGTAGTAAAAGATACACCTCGGCATGACGTTTCAGAAAAGTGTTCTGTAGCTCAGCCGGTTTGGTATGTCAGTACCATCCTAAAGGTCACTGGTTCTGTACCGGTGGGGCGTGCAAACAAAAAAGTTAAGCCTTCGGGATCTGGTGTTTGGGGTTCACCAGCACTGTCCTGCCAGACAGTGACGTCCCCCGATTTCGGTACGTTTGGGTGTTTAGAAACGCATGACCAGAATTAGAAACGTACGACTAGACGATTAGTAATGCGCGATGTGGTGATTACTAATGCGCGACTAGACGATTAGTAATGTGCGATGTGGCGATTACTAATGTGCAACTAGACCATTAGTAATGCGCGATATAGCGATTAGGAACGTATAGCCGAAGAATCAAATAGGCTTAGAGTAGCAACAGAGTTTGTGAACTAAGGACCTAAATATATCCACTAACATTTTAACAGCTTTGACCAACGACTTTACTTGCTAGCCCGCGGTGGCGCGTACGTATCTCTACTGAGATGTACGAAGGGATTGACAACCTTAAATCCCTTTACGACCGTGCCGGGAAGAATTTCTCCGGCATTCCTTACAGGATGTGCTTAAAGGATGTGCCGCGTCGTACTACTCGACCAGACCCAGTACGTCAATCAGCAGTTGGGATCGGGGCTCCCAAGTATCCCAGGACGGGGAAAAACCGCGCCACCGGACGAGGTAACTCGTCCGACGTCCGTTTACATCGCGGTGGTTCAGCAGCCGCTCAACCAGATAGCGCTGGCCACCGCGAGAGTCCTCTAATGGAGGTGGAGGAGGAGGAAAGACGCTCTCCACACGATCATGGGGATCCGAGTGTTCCCGAGAGCTTCTTTGATCGCGTAACGCAAGGGTTACGCAACGATCTCGAACATGAGCGGGACAGGCGTCTCCAAATGGCGGACACTGTCTTGAAGCATCGAGCTGAGTTTGCCTTTTCTCAGCTTGAGAACGAGAGATCTCTGACATCTCTTCGTGACGATCTAAGGGTATCTCGTGGGATTGTTGATCGGTCTCGGGATGAGATAGCTGCTCTTCAGACCCTTGTTGATACCCACCATCGGGAGCACAAGACTCTCTGTGAGATGCTTGAGCGCAAGGTCGTTCTTCACCGGAAGAAGCAGCGTACTGTTGGTACGGCTTAAGCCGACCAACGTAAAACGTCGGATGCGTTCGCATCTTACGTGGCAGTTCGATCGTGTATGCATTGCCTAGGCGACGCAGTACACGAAATGGGACGATGTACTTGGGTAGTAGTTTACTGCTACCCAAGTTAGTCACTACATGCTTTGGTAGATTAACCGTAGACAGTAGGACTAAGTCACCTTTATTAAATAAAAGAGTGTTTGCCCTTCCATTCTTGTCAGCGTTTTGCTTTTGCTTATCCACCGCTTCGGCAATGGAGTCTCGCACAAAATGGAATACTGTTTCACGAGCCAGTATGAACTCATCTGCTGACTCGTTAGCTTCAGTGCGCTGTGAGCGCACTGCAGCAACATCAACCTTTTCTTCAGTGAGGGCTTCCGCGCTCTCACATGCATCATCTTCTTCGATATCAATGTTATCGATATCGGCATCAAACGCAATGACCTCTTCGTCAGAGCGTGATGAGCGTGAACCAAATCGGTTTCTGCTCGCGCGAGTCCCTCCCCACCTTAAACCAGAGTTACACTCTAGTAAAGTGGGTACACGCGGATGGCGTAAGCCATTCACGTAAAACGGTGTATGTGTCGTGGACGCATGCACCGAGTTGTTGATGGCAAACTCTACCATTGGCAAGAACTCACTCCAACTCTTAAAGGAGTGTACGTATCCTCGAAGTATCTCTTCGAGGACACGATTGGCTCTTTTCGTCTGGCCATCTGAATCTGGATGATTAGATGTCGACATCTTCAAGCGCGTTCCGAGTGATTTGAACACGTAGCGCCAGAAATCAGCTGTGAAGCGTGGATCTCTGTCTGATACGAGTTCAAGGGGCAACCCATGAAGTCGGAAGATGGTGTCAATAAAGACACAAGCACAGCCACTTGCTGTGATTGACTCTGGTACAGCCACAAGGTGTACCATTTTCCTGAATCTGTCAACAAACACAAGAATACCCGTATTCCTGCGTGCGTCTTTGGGTAACCCGAAGAAGAAATCCATTGAGATGGATTCCCAGCACTCTGCCGGAACCGGTAGAGGCTGTAAAAGTGCACGCAGTGAAGGACTTGACTTCACTCGTTGGCAGACTTCGCATGCGCGAACATACTTTCGCACAAACTGATACTGGCGGGGCCAGTAAAAGTCTCGACTTACCGTGAGATATGTTTTCTCCCGTCCACGATGTCCTCCTATAGGAGCATCATGATACTCGAACATGATCCGCAAACGCAGATCAGTATCATCTGGAATGACAACACGTGGTGTGTCACCAGTAACGGCTGTATAATACAGTGAACCGTTGCGAGTAGTGTATCGATCTGATGCATATCGATACGCAGACGACAATCGTTTCAACGATTCTCGAGATGATTGTGAGAGATGTGTCAACAACCCTACAATCTCACCATCTTGGGCATACGCCCGCCTCACATCATCATGTAACGTTGAAGATGGGACTGAGGACTTCATAACCGCAACAGTGGCTGTCTCACTGTTGGTTTTCACGACTGGTTCAAAGTCGGGCCGACGTGAGAGTGCATCAGCGACGACATTAAGTCGTCCTGGTTTGTACTCTTACCGTAAAGTTGTATTCTGCAAAAGAATGACAACTACCGCACCATTCGTTGTGAAACGTGCGGGCTGTTTACTGCCGTGCGTAACGACGCATGGTCAGTGTAAACAACGAAGGGTCTATCTCCTAATAGATAGACTCTGAACTTCGCGAGTTCATACTTCATGGCAAGGAGTTCCTTGTCATGCACTGGATAGTTCCGCTCAGCTGGTTGCAGCTGACGCGACTGATAGCAGACGACGCGTTCAACGCCTTCGAGATCGTACTGCATTAATGCACAACCTATTGCAAAATCGCTGGCATCACAGACCACATGAAATGGCCTGTCCTGATCGGCAATTGCTAGGACTGGGAATTTTATCAAGCTCTGCTTGATACCATCAAAGGAGCGCTGACATTCAGTGTTCGATAACCACCTCTCGTTCATTTTCAACAAACGAGAGAGGTGTACAGTCACCTCGGCGTAATTGCGTGAATACTTATGCAAATACGCCGCTAGCCCAAGGAATTTTCGAAGACCTTTGACATCGACCGGCACGGGCCAGTCGGTGATCGCCTTGATCTTTTCGGGATCAGGACGTACACCGTTCTTACCAACGATGCACCCAAGAAGTGGTATTTCGATTGCTGCAAATATACATTTCTTGAGGTTTGCATACAATTGATGCTTTCGCATGATTGCAAGAACCTGTCGGACGTGGTATCTGTGAACCTCAACGTCCGACTTTCCATCCATAGCTCGACTATGGATGAATACGTCGTCGAAATAACTCGGTGCGAATTCTCGTACTGGTCTCAACAGATGTGTATCACATCTGTTGAGCGTGGCAGGGGCATTACTAAGCCCTTGTGGCATTACTAGCCATTCCCAGAGCATGCCGCTAGGCGTGCTAACTGCAGTACAGGGTATGTCCCGATCTCGCATAAGGATTTGATAGAAGCCATCCATCAAATCCATGGACGAAAAGATGGTACTCTTTGACATACCATCAATGATTACGTCCTTCCTTGGTATCGGCGTCTGAGCCGGTACCGCTGCAGCATTCAAATTGTTAAATGCATGCACTATCCGCCACCCGCCTGTTGCTTTTCGCACACAGAAGGTCGGAGAGCTATGTGGAGAAGTTGATTCCCTCACATGGCCCGCAGCTGATCGATCGGCAAAGAATTTGTCGATCGCAAGTACTTGTTCACGAGGCAGTGGCCACTGCTTCATGACACAGTACTTCGAGCCTGGTTTAAGCTCGACCTCGTGTCGAATACCTTTGTCCTTCGGTAACTCGCATGGAACAGTTTCAGGGAATACATCCTTGAATTCAACCAAATACTTATAGAGAGGATTTGTCTTGAGCGATTCCCACGATTGGGAGTCACATCGCTCAATTCGTGTCTTTTCATCTAGGACACTCTCGTCCATAGATGAACTACTGAGAACTCTCTCGTTCTCAGTAAACACTGTTGCTGACCTTATGTAGGCTACGCACTCGTCGTCAGCGACGAGTACGCAGATCTGCTTGACTTCGCCACTACGCAGATCACGCAAGAACCTTTATGTTCGAGCGTTGGCAACTGAGTGATCTCCGAAGTCAACTTCGGAGGCGCAATCAGATTAAGTGTGTAAGCGCCTACACTTGATCCATCATTGACTAGGACATTCAATGTCTCTGTCATTTCCTGAAGACCTTTTCCCTCAGGCCTCAAAGGACTTATTCCTTCGGCTTCCCGGGGACTTATTCCCTCGGGTTTCGGGGAACTTATTTCCGCCGTATTTGTAATCTTGGGACTTATTCCCTTAACTTCCTCTAGCTGTGGTTGCGCAACCACAGCGAGATCCTTTACGAAAGACTCTCCAGTCGATCTAGAATTATCGTTTCGCATAACCTGAGCGATCGATGGTTTCTCTTCTAGATTTCCCCGCTAGGGATACATCTTTGTCCCAGTCCACCCGACTTATTCGAGTGGTGGACCTCGGCGCAGCCTGTGTTTCCTCACAGCCGCCGGAACTTTGCTCCGAAGTGTAACCGTTTGGTACACTAAGGCTTTGTGAAGTCGTACTAACGACCGTACCACAAGTGAGGCCATCGCACTCACTCGTAGTACATCCACACGCTTGTGGACGCTCCAAAACGTTCATCAGATGGCCATCTGATGAACAAGCGGCAGGCATCGTTACTGTCCGATGTTGCCAGTTTACCCGTGGTTCGTAACTTCCGAGCCACGGTATTCCAAGGATGACATCAAATTTGTCATCCAAATCCAATACGATAAAGTCATCGTCATATTGGGTATCTTCTAGCGTATAGTGGATCTTCACTATACGCTTCATGACGGTTACGGATGCGCCTGTCGCAAGACGTACCGTCATCCTCGTAGGAGGTGTGTTACATTCACTGAACTTAAAGTGACCATCTTCTAGCGATTGGCGTCGCACAAAATTGTTGGACGCCCCACAATCGACTAGAGCTCGAAGGGACAACTTATCTGTCACTTCGAGTTTCAAGGTAATGAGTGAGAACTCATTACCTAGAGCAGCAACGCACAATATTTGTGTGTTGGGAGCAACACCTTCATCAAGAGGCCTATAAATTCTCTTGACGTTGCTGGACCAGTAGGTTGCTCCGCACCTACTGATCCTGTCCGTTTTTTGACGGTCCATCCCGTTGTTGCGTCTTTGCACCAACAGCGGACCCTCGTCCCTGCTCCTTTCTCATGGGTGGACGGTCACTACGCCCAGTGTCGCGAGACACTGGACGAGGGGCACTACACTCGTAAGCGTAGTGTCCTGTCTTTTGACATCTGTTGCATCTCTGCAACTTCTTGTAGTCTGTAGAGCGAGCCTTCCCGCTCTCTACATAACAGAGTTCCATCGGCTCTGGATCTCCGTTGTCATATCGTCTCGATTGACGATATGATGTCGAGCTGGCGCGAGCCTGTCTCAGACTGAAGTCTTCCTGCTCCGCAATGGAAATGGCTTGTTCTAGTGAATCTAGTTCAAGCCGGAACAGGTGAGTCTTGACGGGACCATCCGCAAGACCCTGCACGAACACCGAAACTAACGTGTGTTCATTAACCGGGTTGGAACTTATACAAAACTCGTGAGATGTCGTATATGTTGTGCGTTAGCGTGCACATCCCGCTTACCCCGTTTGAGCTTCAAGAGTTCGGTTCGAGCTCTGAACTCGGCTCTAGGCGGTTCAAACGTTTGTCTGAGCCGCGACTTGAAGACTCCTAACAACCCAAACGCATATGGGTCGTGCAACTTGAGCCCCAGTACCCAAGTCTTGGTACGTCCTGCCAGATTTGACTGGGAAAATTCAACTTGCATATCCCCGTCGTCGATGCGACGCGCCCTTATGGCGTCATCCAATTCGACGAACCATCTCAAGAGGGAGTCTTCTTCGACCCCCCTATACTTGGAGATGTCAATCTTCAAGGTTTCGGGTCGACGCGAGTGCATCGACCCACCAGCAGCAGCCTGCTGCTGTCTCAACAGTTCAAACTGTTGAGCACCCTGTTCTCTCAACAACTCTGCTTGTTGAGAACCTTGTTGGTGAAGCAAGGCTACTTTCTCGCGTTCTGCGTCAAGTTCATTTTGAATGAACTTGGCGATAGTAGCATGTTGGGCATCTCTATTGAGAGCCTCTAGCATGACGCTAACAGCATGAATGCCCATGGTTGAACCCATCCGTTCAACCGCATCCCATTCGACATCGCTCAAATGGGAGTAGCCGTCACGCGTAGCGTGAAAGCTTTGGTCATCATCATCATCTAACATATTCATGTAAGATGTGAACGTGGTCCTTGGACGGACTAAGAAGTGCTACCAGATGTAACGGGACACCCTTAAGCTTGTACTGATGACAGTACAAGCTACTTATTCCGATGACAGAATGAGGCGGTGCCGCGTAACTTCACGTACACTGGTACGTGCAGAGGAAGACGGTAAGAAGAAGCGAGTACTTGGTTAAAGTAAAAAGTAGAACTGTATTTATAATAGTTAATGTCTGCAATAAATCACTATTTATCTTCATCTAACTATGTCTAAATACAAATGTGTAAATCAACTATCTGCTCACCACTCATTGCGTGCGTCTGTCGTGGCGCGTCTTCGTTGGTTGATATAATGGCCTGCAACAACCAATTAGGAACTACTCGTAAGTGCTGCAGAATATTTGTCCTTATGACACTATTCTGAGAAAATACCTCTAATAGTTATAGTCTATAAACAATTTCTTTTAAAATGTTATGTAACGGTTCACCCCGTTACATGCGAAATTTTAATGATTCGACTGATCTGAATCAAATCGCCGATAATGGATGTTGATCATTCGTAAACTGGGATGAGACCAAAACTCATCCGTACAATAAAAGGGACAGCATGTAAATCGGGACTATCGTCATAGGCAGGTTTGTTCGGACCACGCTTTCATCAAGCAACAACTACAGAGTAATGTAGCCATTCCATCCCCCCTCCAGAGTCATGTAGCCATTCCATCCCATTCCATCCGTAAACGACTTTCAAGTGCTGTCGTGACTCCGTTCGACCAGTCGAGCATAGAAACCCTTCAAACTCGTTGCATCCGAAGCAGCTCCTCGGTCACCACGAGGTCACTTCATGGATCTCCAGGCCGAGAACGCGACGTTGCGTGAGGCGCTACGGGTGCTCCAGGAGCGCTACGACCGTCTAAACGCCACAAGTGCAGAGCAGATCCAAGACTTAACCGACGGGAATGAAGTGCTGGCCGAAGCCAACCGCCTGTTGCTCGAGCAGCAGACGCCGCATCCAAGTGCCAGTGTCCAGGACGTTCCAAGTCTTGTTCAGGTCCCAGATGAGCTGCTACTGCCCGTTCGCGAGCCGTTATTTCAGCCACTTGTGATCCTTGACAAGGTCCACGCCTTTGGCAATTTGTTAAGTGTGAGCGCTCATGTGACGAGGTCCACGCTCGTGATTACGGGCGGAGCAGACAAGTGCGTGGGCGTGCACGACTGGGAGAGGAAGATGCAGCTCTGTGTGCAAGAGACCAGTGGCCCTGTGCTGGCTCTGGCATTCAACCCGAAAGCAGAGTATGCAGACTACTTTGTAGCTGCTGGGATGGACGCTCGACATGCGCTGTACAGATTGGTGCAAGCAGGAGACGCGTGGCACGTCCAAGTGGTGGCTGAATTTCATGAGCACAGTCGACAGGGAGCGTTCCAAGTCGCGTGGAGTGCATCGGGACTGCTCTTTGCAACGGGTGCTAGTGATAAAGTGGTGAACGTGTATCAGTGCTCGGGTCTAGTGGAAGGAGGTGGTGAGAGCGGCGGTGAGCAGTGTAAAAAGATCAAGTCGTTCTACTTTAATGGGACTATTGAGGCGCTAGTGTTTGCTCCGGATGCTGTGCTTGAGGATATGGAGGCTGGTCGAGAGATGAGACATGAACTGCTGCTTATTGCTGTGCGAGACGACTGCTACGTGCATTACGTCGACTGCATTACGTTCGAAAAAGAGAGGTACGATATCGGAGTGCGTAATCATTGCTATTCGAGTCTCATTTGCCGCTTCATATGTATCTGCTTGATGCAGAGTAAACATGAACCCAGACGGCATCGAGCACGTGTCTTACACGATCATGGACCTGAGCTTATCGCCCAGTGGCAAATACTTGCTCGCAGCAACGGACTCGAACCGAAACTTTATTTTTGCTGTAGGTTGTGTATACAAACAGTCCGTTTTGTCCAGCTCCTTACCGTGTTCGTATGTATGGTGGATGAAGGTTAAGCAAAATGCAGCACTGCGGAACTTTTACGGACACAAGGCTGGTCCGTACAGCCAGCCGCGCGCTATCTGGCATCCGTCTGAAAAGTATGTGATCTCAAACAATGAAGATAGCGGAGCCATCTTTGTGTGGTCTATCGCTTCTGAGCGTGTTGTGAAGACGCTTGACGCCCACGACGGCTTGGTGAGAGATCTTGCGTGTTTTTCGCCTCCGGTGTCGACTGGGCCACCACTGTTGATAACCGTGTCGTACGATAAGCGAATGAAAGTGTGGGAACTACCTCTTGCCAAGGCAGATGTCGGGACCATGTAAGCAGATAAGCAATTCGTGATGATTGCTATGCGCTAGTACACCCTGGCCATCTCGTATTACGCAGTGGCAAATTCTCGTAGCTTCCTACATAGTAGCTCGATTCCAATTGGTAATGCGACCCACGCTTTTCTGACGTACCATCGCTACCGAGAACTAAGCACATAAGCTCCCGGCAGAAAACCGTTCGTTGTCGTAAGCTAACTCACCGCCCCTCCACCGGATTTTTACCATATTTTACTGAAGCTCAACACGCGATGTCACTGAGCGTACATGTCCGTATTTCACTTCATTTTTATGACTCAAGCACGAGCATTAGCATGAGTGACGGAGTGGGATCCATCGCATTTTAGCTACCTTTGGTGTTGCGTGGAGCTGCCTGGTCGCCAGCTCTTTTCGAGGCACCTCACTTTGATCTCATTTTTGTGACTGACCATTTCATTCATCAAATTTCGTCGGTAAAGTTTCCACCTCTCCACAGTGTAGCCAGCCAATGGAGGTTTGCGCGCAGCTACTCTATTCGTTTTGCCTTGTGTCCTGTTGTGGTTCCTGCCTTCGCCAATTTCGGGAGAGGTTTTGTGCTGGTGTTATTGAACCAAATATCGCCTTGCCTACAGTCGGACCTACAGATGCATGCATTGCTCAAAATGGAACATATGGACAACAAGTCATTCTACTTCTGTCCACAGAGACGACAGCTGTGCTGCCAGCTGTCACGTTTGCGTGTAGGTACTGACGCGTGACTTGGAACAAAGATACGTGTGAGATTCAGACGATTGCATCGCACTGCAAGACATTGTTTTTGGATGAGTTGATCGAGTGGAATAGCGACAGATCGCCGAGCGAACACGTGAATGAGTAGCGGTGTATTAATCTATAATCGCAAATAAAGATGGCAATAATTTTATTATTCCCACTATTATTCTAAAGGAAATACCAAAAACTGCCTTTTGGTCCATTTTATTTTATCTAAGCAAAAAAAGGGACTCGAACCCTCGACATTAACCTTGGCACGGTTAAACTCTACCATTGAGCTATTTTTGCTAGCATTTTATAAAACAAAAAGTGAATTTATTAACAAAAAAATATTTTAATTTGTACTATTTGCATGAATCGAGATATCAATTGGTGGTATATTTTTTTGAGTTAAAAACTGAGTTTTTTAAATTTAAAAATATAACAATTTAAATGGTGCTCTTGGATTGATTTGCTTGTTAATGTAAATGGTTGCTCGCAAACTGCGGGTCCGTAGCACTTGATTAATGCCTACCAAGCATACAAGACCTTACAAAGGTACCTCAGATCGCCGCAGCGCGTTGCACAGCAATCAAGCATTGTTTTGTACGTTTGTAGGGACCGCCGTTTATTTTTATGAAGGCGTCGACATCACCATAGTGCCCACAATTGCTTATGAACAAGATCCGCAAAAGAAGATGTAATGAAAACGTTAAAATCACGACAACTTGTGAGAGCCGCAAGTTGTCGTAGTTCTAACGTTTTAATACATCTTTATCATATAATGCCGGCGACAAATATCATACAAGGCGCTGCATGAACATAACAATTTGTAATCTTTCTTTTTTCCACAAATAACGCTCGTAGCATGCATGTTCAGCAAAAATGGAGCTACTCACCAAATATCTCCGATAAGTTTTAAGTAGGTCAGCAAGCGAAATGTCACGAACGGACACTTGTAAGAAAGACAGGAGACATGTTATAGGTCGCTGGAAAAGGTGTGTTAGGCTTTGTTTAACCATTTTCGCCAGGTAGTTTCAGCTGTTTAATCAAATACGACACAGAATCTCGAAGACGCGATTTTACGTGGAGCTTCCATTTAGTATGCGACTAAAATCGATGATTCTGTTTCATCACCATTCTCAGTTATAATTGATTTTGTATGCGGTCTACTAAAATATCACGCAAAAAGTAGAAAAAGGAGGGTTATAGGTATACAAACCCTTTTCATAGGTACACACCCAGACACACTGTTAAAAGGAATAATTTGCCTCGAACAACTCTTAAAAAGAGATCAGAATATTAACGATTTTACTCGTTTTCAGTGCAGCAGCGCGATCATGCATGCTTTCAACCTGGCGTATAGCCCGGTGGATTACCAAATGTACCGATGTATGGACTTTGTCGGTCGGCTGGCTGTTCGGCATCCGGTATCTTGACGCTCTACCCTGATTGCAGCAGAAACAACAAAAGCTACGGACTCTGTCCGATGGATGAATAATATAAGCGTAACGGATCGTCAATCTCGTTCTGAAATGTAACGAGTACTTCTACAACTATAGATAACACCCGGTGCCACACCGAGGCAGCGTGCTGTCTAGAAGCGTCAACATTCCGAAGATTGACTACATGTACAAGCCGGATGAAAGTTTGTATGTGGGGTTGATCCCTAAACAAAAATGAATACGACCGCGTCCTTACATAATAGGAAGCGTCTGGTCCCTGGACAAGTCCGCTTAGCATACAAGGTGTGTAACGGGGTGAATCGTTACATAACAATTTATAAGAAATTGTTAATAGAATATAACTATAAGAGTTATATTCTCAGAATATTGTCATAAGGACAATATTCTGTAGCACTTCCAAGTAGTTCCTAATTGGTTGATATAGGCCATTATATCAACCAACGAAGACGCGCCACGACAGACGCACGCAATGAGTGGTGAGCAGATAACTGATTTACACATTTGTATTTAGACATAGTTAGATGAAGATAAATAGTGATTTATTGCAGACATTAACTATTATAAATACAGTTCTACTTTTTACTCTAACCGAGTACTCGCTTCTTCTTACCGTCTTCCTCTGCACGTACGAGTGTACGTGAAGTTACGAGGCACCGCCTTATTCTGTCATCAGAATAAGTAGCTTGTACTGTCACCAGTACAAGCTTCAGGGTGCCCCGTTACACCTGGTAGCACTTCGTAGTCCGTCCAAGGACCGCGTTCACATCCAACATGAATATGTTGGATGATGAAGATGACCAAAGCTTTCACGCTACGCGTGACGGCTACTCCCATTTGAGCGATGTCGAATGGGATGCGGTTGAACGAATGGGTTCGACCATGGGCATCCATGCTGTTAGCGTCATGCTAGAGGCTCTCAATAGAGATGCCCAACATGCTACTATCGCCAAGTTCATTCAAAATGAACTTGACGCAGAACGCGAGAAAGTAGCCTTGCTTCACCAACAAGGTTCTCAACAAGCAGAGTTGTTGAGAGAACAAGGTGCTCAACAGTTTGAACTGTTGAGACAGCAGCAGGCTGCTGCTGGCGGGTCGATGCACTCGCGTCGGCCCGAGACTTTGAAGATTGACATCTCAAAGTATAGGGGGGTCGAAGAAGACTCCCTCTTGAGATGGTTCGTCGAATTGGATGACGCCATAAGGGCGCGTCGCATCGACGACGGGGATATGCAAGTTGAATTTTCCCAGTCAAATCTGGCAGGACGTGCCAAGACTTGGGCACTGGGGCTCAAGCTGCACGACCCATATGCGTTTGGGTCGTTGGAAGTCTTCAAGTCGCGGCTCAGACAAACGTTTGAACCGCCTAGAGCTGAGTTCAGAGCTCGAACCGAACTCTTGAAGCTCAAGCAGGGTAAGCGTGATGTACACGCTTACGCTCAACATATACGACATCTCACGAGTTGTATAAGTTCCAATCCGGTGGATGAACACACGTTGGTTTCGGTGTTCATGCAGGGTCTTGCGGATGGTCCCGTCAAGACTCACCTGTTCCGGCTTGAACTAGATTCACTAGAACAAGCCATTTCCATTGCGGAGCAGGAAGACTTCAGTCTGAGACAGGCTCGCGCCAGCTCGACATCATATCGTCAACCGAGACGATATGACAACGGAGGTCCAGAGCCGATGGAAATCTGTTATGTAGAGAGCGAGAAGGCTCGCTCTACAGGCTACAAGAAGTTGCAGAGATGCAACAGATGTCAAAAGACAGGACACTACGCTTACGAGTGTAGTGCCCCTCGTCCAGTGTCTCGCGACACTGGGCGTAGTGACCGTCCACCCGTGAGAAAGGGACAGGGACGCTGGTCCGCTGTTGGTGCAAAGACACAACAACGGGATGGACCGTCAAAAAACGGACAGGATCAGTAGGTGCGGAGCACCCTACTGGTCCAGCAACGTCAAGAGAATTTGTTGGCCTCTTGATGAAGGTTGCTCCCAACACACAAACGTTGTGCGTTGCTGCTCTAGGTAATGAGGTCTCACTCATTACCTTGAAACTCGAAGTGACGAATAAGTTGTCCCTTCGAGCTCTAGTCGATTGTGGGGCGTCCAACAATTTCGTGCGACGCCAATCGCTAGAAGATGGTCACTTTAAGTTCAGTGAATGTGACACACCTCCTACGAGGATGACGGTACGTCTTGCGACAGGCGCATCCGTAACCGTCATGAAGCGTATAGTGAAGATCCACTATACGCTAGAAGATACCCAATATGACGATGACTTTATCGTATTGGATTTGGATGACAAATTTGATGTCATCCTTGGAATACCGTGGCTCAGAAGGTACGAACCACGGGTAAACTGGCAAAATCGAACAGTAACGATGCCTGCCGCTTGTTCATCAGATGGCCATCTGATGAACGTTTTGGAGCGTCCACAAGCGTGTGGATGTACTACGAGTGAGTGCGATGGCCTCACTTGTGGTACGGTCGTTAGTACGACTTCACAAAACCTTAGTGTACCAAACGGTTACACTTCGGAGTAAAGTTCCGGCGGCTGTGAGGAAACACAGGCTGCGCCGAAGGTCCACCACTCGAATAAGTCGGGTGGACTGGGACAAAGATGTATCCCTAGCGGGGAACATCTAGAAGAGAAACAATCGATCGCTCAGGTTAAGCGAAACGATAATCCTAGATCAACTGGAGAGTCTTTCGTAGAGGATCTCGCTGTGGTTGCGCAACCCCAGCTAGAGGAAGTAAAGGGAATAAGTCCCAAGATTACAAACACGGCGGAAATAAGTTCCCCGAAACCCGCGGGAATAAGTCCCCGGGAAGACGAAGGAATAAGTCCTTCGAAGCCTGAGGGAATAAGTCCCCAGGAAATGACAGAGACATTGAATGTCATAGTCAATAACGGATCATGTGTAGGCGCTTATACACTTGATCTGATTGCGCCTCCGAAGTTAACTTCGGAGATCACTCAGTTGCCAACGCTCGAACATAAAAGATTCTTGCGTGATCTGCGTAGTGGCAAAGTCAAGCAGATCTGCATACTCGTCGCTGAAGACGAGTATGTAACCGACATAAGGTCAGCAACAGTGTTTACTGAGAACGAGAGAGTTCTCAGTAGTTCATCTATGGACGAGAGTGTCCTAGATGAAAAGACACGAATTGAGCGATATGAGTCCCAATCATGGGAATCGCTCAAGGAAAATCCTCTCTATGAAGATTTGGTTGAATTCAAGGATGTATTCCCTGAAACTGTTCCGTGCGAATTACCGAAGGATAAAGGTATTCGACACGAAGTCGAGCTTAAACCAGGCTCGAAGTACTGTGTCATGAAGCAGTGGCCACTGCCTCGTGAACAAGTACTTGCGATCGACAAGTTCTTTGCCGATCGTTTAGCAGCGGGCCATGTGAGGGAATCAACTTCCCCACATAGCTCTCCGACCTTCTGTGTGCGAAAATCAACAGGAGGGTGGCGGATAGTGCACGCGTTTAACAAATTGAACGCTGCAACGGTACCGGCTCAGACGCCGATACCGAGGAAGGACGTAATCATTGATGGTATGTCAAAGAGTACCATCTTTTCGTCCATGGATTTGATGGATGGCTTCTATCAAATCCTTATGCGGGAACGGGATATACCCTGTACTGCAGTTAGCACGCCTAGCGGCATGCTCTGGGAATGGCTAGTAATGCCACAAGGGCTTAGTAATGCCCCTGCCACGTTCAACAGATGTGATACACATCTGTTGAGACCAGTATGAGAATTCGCGCCGAGTTATTTCGATGACGTATTCACCCATAGTCGAGCTATGGATGGAAAGTCGGACGTTGAGGTTCACAGGTACCACGTCCGACAGGTTCTTACAATCATGCGAAAGCATCAATTGTATGAAAACCTCAAGAAGTGTATATTTGCAGCAAGCGAAATACCACTTCTTGGGTGCATCGTTGGTAAGAACGGTGTACGTCCTGATCCCGAAAAGATCAAGGCGATCACCGACTGGCCCGTGCCGGTCGATGTCAAAGGTCTTCGAAAATTCCTTGGGCTAGCGGCGTATTTGCATAAGTATTCACGCAATTACGCCGAGATGACTGTGCACCTCTCTCGTTTGTTGAAAAAGAACAAGAGGTGGTTATGGAACGCTGAATGTCAGCGCTCCTTTGAGGGTATCAAGCAGAGCTTGATACAATCCCCAGTCCTAGCAATAGCCGATCAGGACAGGCCATTTCATGTGGTCTGTGATGCCAGCGATTTCGCAATCGGCTGTGCATTAATGCAGTACGATCTTGAAGGCGTTGAACGCGTCGTCTGCTATCAGTCGCGTCAGCTGCAACCAGCTGAGCGGAACTATCCAGTGCATGACAAGGAACTCCTTGCCATGAAGTATGCACTCGCGAAGTTCAGAGTCTATCTATTAGGAGATAGACCCTACAATGTTTACACAGACCATGCGTCGTTACGCACGGCAGTAAACAGCCCGCACCTTTCACAACGAATGGCGCGGTGGTTGTCATTCTTTGCAGAATACAACTTTACGGTCGAGTACAAACCAGGACGACTTAATGTCGTCGCTGATGCACTCTCACGTCGTCCCGACTTTGAAACAGTCGCGAAACCCAACAGTGAGACAGTCACTGTTGCGGTTATGACGTCCTCAGTTCCATCTACAACGTTGTATGATGATGTGAGGCGGGCATACGCCCAAGATGGTGAGATAGTGAAGTTGTTGTCACATCTCTCCCAACCATCTCGAGAATCGTTGAAACGATTGTCGTCTGCGTATCGATCTGCATCAGATCGATACACTACTCGTAACGGTTTACTGTACTATACAGCCGTTTCTGGTGACACACCGCGTGTTGTCATTCCAGATGATACTGATCTGCGTTTGCGGATCATGTTCGAGTATCACGATGCTCCTATAGGAGGACATCGTGGCCGAGAGAAAACATATCTCACGGTAAGTCGAGACTTTTACTGGCCCCGCCAGTATCAGTTTGTGCGAAAGTATGTTCGCGCATGCGAAGTCTGCCAACGAGTGAAGTCAAGTCCTTCACTGCGTGCACCTTTACAGCCTCTACCGGTTCCGGCTGAGTGCTGGGAATCCATCTCAATGGATTTCGTCTTCGGGTTACCCAAAGACGCACGCGGGAATACGGGTATTCTCGTATTTGTTGACAGATTCAGCAAAATGGTACACCTTGTGGCTGTACCAGAGACAATCACGGCAAGTGGCTGTGCTTATGTCTTTATTGACACCATCTTCCGACTTCATGGGTTGCCCCGTGAACTCGTATCAGACAGAGATCCACGATTCACTGCTGATTTCTGGCGTTCCGTGTTCAAATCACTCGGAACGCGCTTGAAGATGTCAACATCTGATCATCCAGAGTCAGATGGTCAGACGGAACGTGCCAATCGTGTCCTTGAAGAGATACTTCGAGGATACGTACACTCCTTTAAGAGTTGGAGTGAGTTTTTGCCGATGGTAGAGTTTGCCATCAACAACTCGGTGCATGCGTCCACGACACATACACCGTTTTACGTGAATGGCTTGCGCCATCCGCGTGTACCCACCTTACTAGAGTGTAACTCTGGTTTAAGGGGGGAGGGACTCGCGCGAGCAAAAACCGATTTGGTTCACGCTCATCACGCTCTGACGAAGAAGTCATTGCGTTTGATGCCGATATCGATAACATCGATATCGAAGAAGATGATGCCAGTGAGAGTGCGGAAGCCCTCACTGAAGACAATGATCCCAGTGAGAGTGCGGAAGCCCTCACTGAAGAAAAGGTTGTTGTCGCTGCAGTGCGCTCACAGCACACTGAAGCTAACGAGTCATCAGATGAGTTCATACTGGCTCGTGAAACGGTAGTCCGTTTTGTGCAAGACTCCATCGCCGAAGCGGTGGATAAGCAAAAGCAAAACGCTGACAAGAATGGAAGGGCAAACACTCTTTTATTTAATAAAGGTGACTTAGTCCTACTGTCTACGGTTAATCTACCAAAACATGTAGTGACTAACTTGGGTAGCAGTAAACTACTACCCAAGTACATTGGCCCATTTCGTGTATTGCACCGCCTAGGCAATGCATACACGATCGAGTTACCACGCAAGATGCGAACGCATCCCACGTTTTACGTTGGTCGACTTAAGCCGTACCATCAGTACGCTGCTTCTTCCGATGAAGAACGCCCTTGCGCTCAAGCATCTCGCAGAGAGCCTTGTGCTCCCGATGGTGGGCATCAACAAGGGTCTGAAGAGCAGTTATCTCAGCCCGAGACCGATCAACAATCCCACGAGCTACCCTTAGCTCGTCACGAAGAGATGTCAGAGATCTCTCGTTCTCAAGCTGAGCAAAGGCAAACTCAGCTCGATGCTTCAAGGCAGTGTCCACCATCTGGAGACGCCTATTCCGCTCATGCTCGAGATCGTCGCGTAACCCTTGCGTTACGCGATCAAAGAAGCTGTCGGGAACACACCGATCCACATGATCGTGTGGAGAGCGTCTTTCCTCCTCCTCCACATCCATTAGAGGACTCTCGCGGTGGCCAGCGCTATCTAGTTGAGCAGCTGTTGAACCACCGCGACGTGAACGGACGTCGGACGAGTTATCTCGTCCGGTGGCGCGGCTATCCCCCGTCCTGGGATTCTTGGGAGCCCCGCTCCCAATTGATGGTTGACGTACTGGGTCTGGTCGAGCAGTACGACGCGACACATCCTGTGCCGCAGAAGGACCGCCGGAGAAAGTCTTCCCGGCACGGTCGTAAAGGGATTTCAGGTTGTCAATCCCTTCGTACATCTCAGTAGAGACACGTACGCGCCACCACGGGCTGGTAAAAGAGGTAAGCCTCCTTAGGTGCTCGTGCAGAGTTGTTCACACAACATGGGCACAAGTCTCCCCAAGAGAGGCAGGGTAATCCTTTCTCCCTTGACAGACGATGCAGCTTGTAGCGTGCACCTGTCGGGGTTCGCTTTTCAAACTTATCACGAGCTTTGATAAGTTTGTCGTTCCAAGCGTCACGACCTACATCCTCGAGATTATGGATGTAGGCGTTCCACGCCCGAAGTAGTGAGGGACCATCACGTTTGTGATTCCCACTGTACCATCGATGTCTGAAGAAAGCATCGATGAAGAACTCATGTTCAGCGCGATAGTCTTTCGCGCTGGGGTCAAGGTGATGAATCCTTGACGAATCGAACAATCGTGTTCGATAACGATCACTCGTCGTCGCCGACAAGTGATCCATGACAGATTTAGGAGGCATCCATGCCTTCTTTTCTGGAGCGAGACGCAACACATTGCGGTCCCGCTCTTCCTGCGACGTGCCGACAGAAGTACTGGCACCTCGCTGTGAAGTGGTGTCCATTGGAGAAACGACACCACTATTAGCGCCCGAGTCTCGCGACCTCGAGCGCCTTCGCTTCGGCGATGGTTCATCTGACTCATCAGATGAACCAAAGATGCTGCGACGCAAAGCATCGTCCATGCCACGCTTGGCAGGCGGCTTGGATTCAATTGCCGTCGATACGGATCCGTCATCCGTATCAGGAGAGTACGAGACACCGAGCTCGTACTCTGTGAAGACACGAGTGTCTTCATGACCAGCGCCTGCATCACCAGGTGATACAGGCTGAGTCGATTCAGCAACCGATGGGATATCAGTTGCTGTAGTTTCTGCTTCGGCGTCCGCACAGAGACGTGCAGACGCGCTCTCGGCGGCCTTGCTCGCGCATCGCATGGGCTTGTTTACCATGCGATGAAATGTTGGAAAGTGGACGCGGACCAACAAGTGCAAACCCCGTCCCAAATGATTTGGGACGAGTATCCATTTAGTCAATCAGTCACTAAAGTGACTGATGGTTAAGGGGGGTGATGTAACGGGGTGAATCGTTACATAACAATTTATAAGAAATTGTTAATAGAATATAACTATAAGAGTTATATTCTCAGAATATTGTCATAAGGACAATATTCTGTAGCACTTCCAAGTAGTTCCTAATTGGTTGATATAGGCCATTATATCAACCAACGAAGACGCGCCACGACAGACGCACGCAATGAGTGGTGAGCAGATAACTGATTTACACATTTGTATTTAGACATAGTTAGATGAAGATAAATAGTGATTTATTGCAGACATTAACTATTATAAATACAGTTCTACTTTTTACTCTAACCGAGTACTCGCTTCTTCTTACCGTCTTCCTCTGCACGTACGAGTGTACGTGAAGTTACGAGGCACCGCCTTATTCTGTCATCAGAATAAGTAGCTTGTACTGTCACCAGTACAAGCTTCAGGGTGCCCCGTTACAAGGTGCGTTAAAGCACTTGGATCGTGGCGAGAAGAAGCTGCACCTTTGCCACGACGACCTTGGGTACGGTGCCAACAGGAGACCACGATCTTGTCCTACGGCCTTCCGCTAAATTGATAGAAAACGTTGTTTTTGTGGACTCGATTGAGTTGATTGTAGCGAAGACTTCATTTGAAGGGTTCAAGAAGGTAAATGTACTTCAGAGGGTGGGTGTGTGCGGATGGATGTGCCTTTAATTTCGCAAAGCTAGACTATGCTTGTCACGTTCAGTGAGCTGTAAAGATAGCGAGCCAACTAGCCACTATAAACGTAATCGGCAATTCCGTGCACCTGCCATTGGTGACGATCCATCTTCGGCTTTTAAACAAACAATTGCAAGCACAAGTGTACACTGTGACACGACATGTCGACAGAAGTAAGTGCGACCGACGAGCTTTTACTGCTGTACTGGGCGTTTCATGCAGCGAGTCGACACGACAGCACGGATCGCACCTTTACCAGCGCATCTGTTTTGTGACCTATCGTGCAGTCGAAGAAGCAGTAATCATTCCACCACTGCTCTGTTCCACCAAAGAATAACGTGTCTAACATTTTATCGCACGCCAGACACGCATGAGGAAATGTATCAAATTGAGCTGTGTCCTGCCTGCCGTGGAGAAAGCGAATGTAGATATGCAACACGTTGCTCCATTTTCAGTCGTGGTATGAGGACCTCCGTACGTTCAACGGAGTGAGAAAGAGCGAACGTTCGACTGCTACTACTGCATGTCCGCCTCGAGGTTCAAGTCGTCTTCAGAGTAGACTGAGATCGTCCAAACCACCTCTCCCGTTGAACAATTGACTGGGTCTGTCCATGGTGGTGGAAGTTTGGTTTCCTGCAGAAGCTATTGGTGTCTGTTGGCATCGTCAATCGGGGCCACAAGCCAGAGTTACAGCCAGATCTTGACCAAGAACGGGTCTAGGGACTGGAGTAGCACGTCCGCCACGAATTGGAGGCATTTCCTGCCTATCCTCCCGTCCACCAAAGAGTGCCGAGTCTGTGGACAATGCCAGGTTCTGGAAAGGCGATCACGAGGCAGAGGTTTAAGGATTGTCAACGACATGACGCCCAGCATTGCAGTCTCGGCTATCCCGCTTCGACGCACAACGAACCACGAATTCATGGCAACATGCAGCAGCACATTAACGTTCTCCGTAGTTTTGGAACCACGGTAACGGTCTCACTGAGTATCAAGTGTAGATCTACTATTGCATAGCGACCAAGCAGCTGACCTACTGCAATGCAAAAGAGGTAGATGGACCGCAGCGCATATCTTCTGGTTCTGCCGAGACGCACAAGCGTGCTGCAGTCCATGAACGCATCACTTAACTGGTGAGAGCGCCGGGTGTCTAGTAGCTTGCCAAACACTCGAGTCCCTGCGCCGACCGCAAGTCGCACTGATACCTTGATAACTTCTCACACGCAAGCAAAAGCGCTTTTCGAGACGACACCAACGTCGCAGGAACCGAATTCCAACGCATATGGCACTTTTCAAGCGTCATCTGTCAACTGCATCTGTAGGTCAAGCCTACATACGGCGGAGTGCCGGAGAAACCCACCATCTCCAGCATCCACCGACTCTAGAAGACTAGGAGATCGAGCTTCGTCAGCTGAAGGCCATCGCAATACGCAACATCGAACTGCAGTACGTGGGGCCCAGCTTCACGCTTGTCCGGAATCCTTACGTCAACCTCAAAGCTGACAGACACCCAGCCTTGCACAAGAGTTTGCTACTAGACGTTACCACAACCAGCGCTCATATCGCGGCTCCGGACCTTCCAGATACCTTGTACACATGAACTTACAAGTAGACGTTTATCAAACTCTTCCTTCTCTCGTTACCACAAGTACTCGCGTGACCTAATACGTACGTCGCGAGGGCGCAAGCCTGATGTCCCGTTCGTTGCTTGTGACGTAAGTAACCAGGATGAACAGATCCTGAAGAGCTGCTGGAGACGAAGAACCAGCTGCAGTCTCTGTTGGTCCACAAATGAGCCCAAGCGGTTGTGCTGTCGAGGACACAACGCAGCGAGAGCGAAACAACAAGGAGATGGGACGATGATCCGTCGCTCCCACGTCAGTGCCGTTCAAACGTAGCAAGCTGGGAGCAGCACACTGCTAGTCTGCGCTCGAGCTCTGCCAACTCACTCATTCCGCAGTTCACCAGGCCAAGCTCACCACTCCTAACTGGAACTGAACCAACCAACCAACCAGCCAACCAACTCAAGCGTCAAGCATCAAGTATGAAGCTTTTGTACGTTCTCGCCTTCGCTGCTCTGGCAGCTGCCACGACTGCCACCCCCACCAGTGCTGCCTCAACTCTCGAGAAGAAACAACTCGTCAAGAATCTGCGGGGCAATCGTCGACTTGGTGGCGGGGGTGGTGCTCCTATTACGTTCGATGATGCCTTGGCCACGAAAGGTTCAAGCACCACGAACCAGGAGACCGTAGAGCAGAACAGCTCAAACCCTGCGGAGCAAGTGGAGCAGAAGAATGGTTCGCCAATTGGCGGCGGACAAGTGAAGAGCGAAGAAGAGAAGAAGAAGGAGAAGGAGAAGAAGGAGCAGGAGAAGAAGGCGAAGGAGGAGAAGAAAGAGGAAGAGAAGAAGAAGAAGGAAGAAGAGAAGAGGAAGAAAGAGGAAGAGAAGAAGAAGAAGGAGGCGGAGAAGAAGAAGAAAGAGGAGGAGAAGAGGAAGAAAGAGGAGGAGAAGAAGAAGAAGGAGGAGGAGAAGAAGAAGAAAGAGGAGGAGAAGAAGAGGAAGGAGCAGGAGAAGGGGGCGAAGGGTGACGGCACGAAGCAGGAGGATAACAGCACGAAGCAGGAGGATGGAAACACGAAGCAGGAGGATGGAAACACGAAGCAGGAGGATAACAGCACGAAGCAGGAGGATAACAGCACGAAGCAGGAGGATAACAGCACGAAGCAGGAGGATGGAAACACGAAGCAGGAGGATGGAAACACGAAGCAGGGGGTAGGCAACACGAAGCAGGGAGGAGGCAACACGAAGCAGGCGGCAACGCCGATGAAAAAGGGGGCCGAGAATGTGGACCAGGACGATACGCTCGCAAATGTGGACCAGGACGATACGCTTGCTAACGTGGATCAGCACGATCCAGTGAAGTGAGCACCGCTCGTGAACTGCGGAGAAGAGTCTCTGTTGCAGGGAGGAGCTGCACCGAAGGGAATTCCCGACGAACCAGTCGATAAATAATTGAGGGTTGCTGGCTAGATTCTTGTATTTGTGCAGAACACGCGAGAGGTGTTGAGCACGTTAATGTCGTTTGATGAACCATAATACATCTGCTTTTTCTTTACCAAGTTGGCAATTGCGTTGTAGCACATGAAGAAGGAACTGTCGATGTCGGGCTGAGCCCGTTGCTTTTGGGTAGGTCTGAGACCATTATTGTGTTCTTGATACTGTGTACTCGCCAACCTTTCGACGACCTCTGGCTGCATTAGTATACTTGCGTGGGATATTGAGTAAGGCTCCACACTACCATTCAGCCGCTTTTTTTGAGTGAAAGCAAGACCAAGATGACAATAGATATAATCCTGATGTACTGCCACAGGGACGCAGGTCGCTTTGGATTGCGCATACGTCTTTCCTGTTCTTCGAGGTGTTTGTCAAGCCGACTGAATTACGTGCGTGACTCGCTTGCCATCGAGCTCTTGATCACTTTTGCAGCCGCTGGCGCTTCTCTGGGCACTGATGGCTGGCGCTTGAGAGATTCTGCTTTCTGAAGCTAGAGAACAAGCCCGACCCTGTTCGTGTGTATGCGGCAGTCTTACAAAACGTGCATCGATAAAACACTGGGCATCTGTAACGGGGTGAATCGTTACATAACAATTTATAAGAAATTGTTAATAGACTATAACTATAAGAGTTATATTCTCAGAATATTGTCATAAGGACAAATATTCTGTAGCACTTACGAGTAGTTCCTAATTGGTTGATATAGGCCATTATATTAACCAACGAAGACGCGCCACGACAGACGCACGCAATGAGTGGTGAGCAGATAGTTGATTTACACATTTGTATTTAGACATAGTTAGATGAAGATAAATAGTGATTTATTGCAGACATTAACTATTATAAATACAGTTCTACTTCTTACTTTAACCAAGTACTCACTTCTTCTTACCGTCTTCCTCTGCACGTACGAGTGTACGTGAAGTTACGAGGCACCGCCTTATTCTGTCATCAGAATAAGTAGCTTGTACTGTCACCAGTACAAGCTTCAGGGTGCCCCGTTACACCTGGTAGCACTTAGTAGCCCTTAAGGACCGCGTTCACATCCAACATGAATATGTTGGATGATGAAGATGACCAAAGCTTCCACGCTACGCGTGACGGCTACTCCCATTTGAGCGATGTCGAATGGGATGCGGTTGAACGAATGGGTTCAACCATGGGCATCCATGCTGTTAGCGTCATGCTAGAGGCTCTCAATAGAGATGCCCAACATGCTACTATCGCCAAGTTCATTCAAAATGAACTTGACGCTGAACGCGAGAAAGTAGCCTTGCTTCACCAACAAGGTTCTCAACAAGCAGAGTTGTTGAGAGAACAGGGTGCTCAACAGTTTGAACTGTTGAGACAGCAGCAGGCTGCTGCTGGTGGGTCGATGCACTCGCGTCGACCCGAAACCTTGAAAATTGACATCTCCAAGTATAGGGGGGTCGAAGAGGACTCCCTCTTGAGATGGTTCGTCGAATTGGATGACGCCATAAGGGCGCGTCGCATCGACGACGGGGATATGCAAGTTGAATTTTCCCAGTCAAATCTGGCAGGACGTGCCAAGACTTGGGTACTGGGGCTCAAGTTGCACGACCCATATGCGTTTGGGTTGTTGGAAGTCTTCAAGTCGCGGCTCAGACAAACGTTTGAACCGCCTAGAGCTGAGTTCAGAGCTCGAACCGAACTCTTGAAGCTCAAGCAGGGTAAGCGTGATGTACACGCTTACGCGCAACATATGCGACATCTCACGAGTTGTATAAGTTCCAATCCGGTGGATGAACACACGTTGGTTTCGGTGTTCATGCAGGGTCTTGCGGATGGTCCCGTCAAGACTCACCTGTTCCGGCTTGAACTAGATTCACTAGAACAAGCCATTTCCATTGCGGAGCAGGAAGACTTCAGTCTGAGACAGGCTCGCGCCAGCTCGACATCATATCGTCAACCGAGACGATATGACAACGGAGGTCCAGAGCCGATGGAAATCTGTTATGTAGAGAGCGAGAAGGCTCGCTCTACAGGCTACAAGAAGTTGCAGAGATGCAACAGATGTCAAAAGACAGGACACTACGCTTACGAGTGTAGTGCCCCTCGTCCAGTGTCTCGCGACACTGGGCGTAGTGACCGTCCACCCGTGAGAAAGGGACAGGGACGCTGGTCCGCTGTTGGTGCAAAGACACAACAACGGGATGGACCGTCAAAAAACGGACAGGATCAGTAGGTGCGGAGCACCCTACTGGTCCAGCAACGTCAAGAGAATTTGTTGGCCTCTTGATGAAGGTTGCTCCCAACACACAAACGTTGTGCGTTGCTGCTCTAGGTAATGAGGTCTCACTCATTACCTTGAAACTCGAAGTGACGAATAAGTTGTCCCTTCGAGCTCTAGTCGATTGTGGGGCGTCCAACAATTTCGTGCGACGCCAATCGCTAGAAGATGGTCACTTTAAGTTCAGTGAATGTGACACACCTCCTACGAGGATGACGGTACGTCTTGCGACAGGCGCATCCGTAACCGTCATGAAGCGTATAGTGAAGATCCACTATACGCTAGAAGATACCCAATATGACGATGACTTTATCGTATTGGATTTGGATGACAAATTTGATGTCATCCTTGGAATACCGTGGCTCAGAAGGTACGAACCACGGGTAAACTGGCAACATCGAACAGTAACGATGCCTGCCGCTTGTTCATCAGATGGCCATCTGATGAACGTTTTGGAGCGTCCACAAGCGTGTGGATGTACTACGAGTGAGTGCGATGGCCTCACTTGTGGTACGGTCGTTAGTACGACTTCACAAAACCTTAGTGTACCAAACGGTTACACTTCGGAGTAAAGTTCCGGCGGCTGTGAGGAAACACAGGCTGCGCCGAAGGTCCACCACTCGAATAAGTCGGGTGGACTGGGACAAAGATGTATCCCTAGCGGGGAACATCTAGAAGAGAAACAATCGATCGCTCAGGTTAAGCGAAACGATAATCCTAGATCAACTGGAGAGTCTTTCGTAGAGGATCTCGCTGTGGTTGCGCAACCCCAGCTAGAGGAAGTAAAGGGAATAAGTCCCAAGATTACAAACACGGCGGAAATAAGTTCCCCGAAACCCGCGGGAATAAGTCCCCGGGAAGACGAAGGAATAAGTCCTTCGAAGCCTGAGGGAATAAGTCCCCAGGAAATGACAGAGACATTGAATGTCATAGTCAATAGCGGATCAAGTGTAGGCGCTTATACACTTGATCTGATTGCGCCTCCGAAGTTAACTTCGGAGATCACTCAGTTGCCAACGCTCGAACATAAAAGGTTCTTGCGTGATCTGCGTAGTGGCAAAGTCAAGCAGATCTGCATACTCGTCGCTGACGACGAGTGTGTAACCGACATAAGGTCAGCAACAGTGTTTACTGAGAACGAGAGAGTTCTCAGTAGTTCATCTATGGACGAGAGTGTCCTAGATGAAAAGACACGAATTGAGCGATGTGACTCCCAATCGTGGGAATCGCTCAAGACAAATCCTCTCTATAAGTATTTGGTTGAATTCAAGGATGTATTCCCTGAAACTGTTCCGTGCGAATTACCGAAGGATAAAGGTATTCGACACGAGGTCGAGCTTAAACCAGGCTCGAAGTACTGTGTCATGAAGCAGTGGCCACTGCCTCGTGAACAAGTACTTGCGATCGACAAGTTCTTTGCCGATCGTTTAGCTGCGGGCCATGTGAGGGAATCAAATTCCCCACATAGCTCTCCAACCTTCTGTGTACCAAAAGCAACAGGAGGGTGGCGGATAGTGCATGCATTTAACAAGTTGAATGCTGCAACGGTACCGGCTCAGACGTCGATACCGAGGAAGGACGTAATCATTGATGGTATGTCAAAGAGTACCATCTTTTCGTCCATGGATTTGATGGATGGCTTCTATCAAATCCTTATGCGGGAACGGGACATACCCTGTACTGCAGTTAGCACGCCTAGCGGCATGCTCTGGGAATGGCTAGTAATGCCACAAGGGCTTAGTAATGCCCCTGCCACGTTCAACAGATGTGATACACATCTGTTGAGACCAGTACGAGAATTCGCGCCGAGTTATTTCGATGACGTATTCATCCATAGTCGAGCTATGGATGGAAAGTCGGACGTTGAGGTTCACAAGTACCACGTCCGACAAGTTCTTACAATCATGCGAAAGCATCAATTGTATGCAAACCTCAAGAAGTGTATATTTGCAGCAAGCGAAATACCACTTCTTGGGTGCATCGTTGGTAAGAACGGTGTACGTCCTGATCCCGAAAAGATCAAGGCGATCACCGACTGGCCCGTGCCGGTCGATGTCAAAGGTCTTCGAAAATTCCTTGGGCTAGCGGCGTATTTGCATAAGTATTCACGCAATTACGCCGAGATGACTGTGCACCTCTCTCGTTTGTTGAAAAAGAACAAGAGGTGGTTATGGAACGCTGAATGTCAGCGCTCCTTTGAGGGTATCAAGCAGAGCTTGATACAATCCCCAGTCCTAGCAATAGCCGATCAGGACAGGCCATTTCATGTGGTCTGTGATGCCAGCGATTTCGCAATCGGCTGTGCATTAATGCAGTACGATCTTGAAGGCGTTGAACGCGTCGTCTGCTATCAGTCGCGTCAGCTGCAACCAGCTGAGCGGAACTATCCAGTGCATGACAAGGAACTCCTTGCCATGAAGTATGCACTCGCAAAGTTCAGAGTCTATCTATTAGGAGATAGACCCTACATTGTTTACACAGACCATGCGTCGTTACGCACGGCAGTGAACAGCCCGCACGTTTCACAACGAATGGCGCGGTAGTTGTCATTCTTTGCAGAATACAACTTCACGGTAAGAGTACAAACCAGGACGACTTAATGTCGTCGCTGATGCACTCTCACGTCGGCCCGACTTTGAACCAGTCGCGAAACCCAACAGTGAGACAGTCACTGTTGCGGTTATGACGTCCTCAGTCCCATCTACAACGTTGTATGATGATGTGGGGCGGGCGTATGCCCAAGATGGTGAGATTGTAGGGTTGTTGACACATCTCTCACAATCATCTCAAGAATCGTTGAAACGATTGTCGTCTGCGTATCGATATGCATCAGATCAACACACTACTCGCAACGGTTCACTGTATTATACAGCCGTTACTGGTGACACACCACGTGTTGTCATTCCAGATGATACTGATCTGCGTTTGCGGATCATGTTCGAGTATCATGATGCTCCTATAGGAGGACATCGTGGACGGGAGAAAACATATCTCACGGTAAGTCGAGACTTTTACTGGCCCCGCCAGTATCAGTTTGTGCGAAAGTATGTTCGCGCATGCGAAGTCTGTCAACGAGTGAAGTCAAGTCCTTCACTGCGTGCACCCTTACAGCCTCTACCGGTTCCGGCTGAGTGCTGGGAATCCATCTCAATGGATTTCGTCTTCGGGTTACCCAAAGACGCACGCGGGAATACGGGTATTCTCGTATTTGTTGACAATTTCAGCAAAATGGTACACCTTGTGGCTGTACCAGAGACAATCACGGCAAGTGGCTGTGCTTATGTCTTTATTGACACCATCTTCCGACTTCATGGGTTGCCCCGTGAACTCGTATCAGACAGAGATCCACGATTCACTGCTGATTTCTGGCGCTCCGTGTTCAAATCACTCGGAACGCGCTTGAAGATGTCGACATCTGATCATCCAGAGTCAGATGGTCAGACGGAACGTGCCAATCGTGTCCTTGAAGAGATACTTCGAGGTTACGTACACTCCTTTAAGAGTTGGAGTGAGTTTTTGCCAATGGTAGAGTTTGCCATCAACAACTCGGTGCATGCGTCCACGACACATACACCGTTTTACGTGAATGGCTTGCGCCATCCGCGTGTACCCACCTTACTAGAGTGTAACTCTGGTTTAGGGGGGGGAGGGACTCGCGCGAGCAAAAACCGATTTGGTTCACGCTCATCACGCTCTGACGAAGAGGTCATTGCGTTTGATGCCGATATCGATAACATCGATATCGAAGAAGATGATGCCAGTGAGAGTGCGGAAGCCCTCACTGAAGAAGATGATACCGGTGAGAGTGCGGAAGCCCTCACTGAAGAAAAGGTTGATGTTGCTGCAGTGCGCTCACAGCGCACTGAAGCTAACGAGTCATCAGATGAGTTCATACTGGCTCGTGAAACGGTAGTCCGTTTTGTGCAAGACTCCATCGCCGAAGCGGTGTATAAGCAAAAGCAAGACGCTGATAAGAATGGAAGGGCAAACACTCTTTTATTTAATAAAGGTGACTTAGTCCTACTGTCTACGGTTAATCTACCAAAGCATGTAGTGACTAACTTGGGTAGCAGTAAACTACTACCCAAGTACATCGGCCCTTTTCGTGTATTACACCGCCTAGGCAATGCATACACGATCGAGTTACCACGTAAGATGCGAACGCATCCCACGTTTTACGTTGGTCGGCTTAAGCCGTACCATCAGTACGCTGCTTCTTCCGATGAAGAACGCCCTTGCGCTCAAGCATCTCGCAGAGAGCCTTGTGCTCCCGATGGTGGGCATCAACAAGGGTCTGAAGAGCAGCTATCTCATCCCGAGACCGATCAGCAATCCCACGAGCTACCCTTAGCTCGTCACGAAGAGATGTCAGAGATCTCTCGTTCTCAAGCTGAGCAAAGGCAAACTCAGCTCGATGCTTCAAGGCAGTGTCCGCCATTTGGAGACGCCTATTCCGCTCATGTTCGAGATCGTCGCGTAACCCTTGCGTTACGCGATCAAAGAAGCTGTCGGGAACACACCGATCCACATGATCGTGTGGAGAGCGTCTTTCCTCCTCCTCCACCTCCATTAGAGGACTCTCGCGGTGGCCAGCGCTATCTAGTTGAGCAGCTGTTGAACCACCGCGACGTGAACGGACGTCGGACGAGTTATCTCGTCCGGTGGCGCGGCTTTCCCCGTCCTGGGATACTTGGGAGCCCCGCTCCCAACTGATGATCGACGTACTGGGTCTGGTTGAGCAGTACGACGCGGCACATCCTGTGCCGCAGAAGGACCGCCGGAGAAAGTCTTCCCGGCACGGTCGTAAAGGGATTTCAGGTTGTCAATCCCTTCGTACATCTCAGTAGAGACACGTACGCGCCACCACGGGCTGGTAAGGAGGTAAGCCTCCTTAGGTGCTCGTGCAGAGTTGTTCACACAACATGGGCACGAGTCTCCCCAATAGAGGCAGGGTAATCCTTTCTCCCTTGACAGACGATGCAGCTTGTAGCGTGCACCTGTCGGGGTTCGCTTTTCAAACTTATCACGAGCTTTGATAAGTTTGTCGTTCCAAGCGTCACGACCTACATCCTCAAGGTTATGGATGTAGGCGTTCCACGCTTGAAGCAGTGAGGGACCATCACGTTTGTGATTCCCACTGTACCATCGATGTTTGAAGAAAGCATCGATGAAGAATTCATGTTCAGCGCGTTAGTTTTTCGCACTGGGGTCAAGGTGATGGATCCTTGACGAATCGAACAATCGTGTTCGATAACGATCACTCGTCGTCGCCGACAAGTGATCCATGACAGATTTAGGAGGCATCCATGCCTTCTTTTCAGGAGCGAGACGCAACACATTGCGGTCCCGCTCTTCCTGCGACGTGCCGACAGAAGTACTGGCACCTCGCTGTGAAGTGGTGTCCATAGGAGAACCGACACCACTGTTAGCGCCCGAGTCTCGCGACCTCGAGCGCCTTCGCTTCGGCGATGGTTCATCTGATGAATCAGATGAACCAAAGATGCTGCGACGCAAAGCATCATCCATGCCACGCTTGGCAGGCGGCTTGGATTCGATCGCCGTCGATACGGATCCGTCTTCCGTATCAGGAGAGTACGAGACACCGAGCTCGTACTCTGTGAAGACATGAGTGTCTTCATGAACAGCGCCTGCATCACCAAGTGACACAGGCTGGGTCGCTTCAGCAACCGATGACACATCTGTTGCAGCAGTTTATGCTTCAGCGTCTGCACAGAGACGTGCAGACGCGCTCTCAGCGGCCTTGTTCGCGCACCGCATGGACTTGTTTACCATGCGATGAAACTGTTGGAAAGTGGACTCGGACTAACAAGTGCGAATCCTGTCCCAAATGATTTGGAACGAGTATCCATTTAGTCAATCAGTCACTAAAGTGGCTGATGGTTAAGGGGGGGTGATGTAACGGGGTGAATCGTTACATAACAATTTATAAGAAATTGTTAATAGAATATAACTATAAGAGTTATATTCTCAGAATATTGTCATAAGGACAATATTCTGTAGCACTTCCAAGTAGTTTCTAATTGGTTGATATAGGCCATTATATCAACCAACGAAGACGCGCCACGACAGACGCACGCAATGAGTGGTGAGCAGATAACTGATTTACACATTTGTATTTAGACATAGTTAGATGAAGATAAATAGTGATTTATTGCAGACATTAACTATTATAAATACAGTTCTACTTTTTACTCTAACCAAGTACTCACTTCTTCTTACCGTCTTCCTCTGCACGTACGAGTGTACGTGAAGTTCCGAGGCACCGCCTTATTCTGTCATCAGAATAAGTAGCTTGTACTGTCACCAGTACAAGCTTCAGGGTGCCCCGTTACACCTTGTAGCACTTCGTAGTCCGTCCAAGGACCGCGTTCACATCCAACATGAATATGTTGGATGACGAAGATGACCAAAGCTTTCACGCTACGCGTGACGGCTACTCCCATTTGAGCGATGTCGAATGGGATGCGGTTGAATGAATGGGTTCGACCATGGGCATCCATGCTGTTAGCGTCATGCTAGAGGCTCTCAATAGAGATGCCCAACATGCTACTATCGCCAAGTTCATTCAAAATGAACTTGACGCAGAACGCGAGAAAGTAGCCTTGCTTCACCAACAAGGTTCTCAACAAGCAGAGTTGTTGAGAGAACAGGGTGCTCAACAGTTTGAACTGTTGAGACAGCAGCAGGCTGCTGCTGGTGGGTCGATGCACTCGCGTCGACCCGAAACCTTGAAGATTGACATCTCCAAGTATAGGGGGGTCGAAGAGGACTCCCTCTTGAGATGGTTCGTCGAATTGGATGACGCCATAAGGGCGCGTCGCATCGACGACGGGGATATGCAAGTTGAATTTGCCCAGTCAAATCTGGCAGGACGTGCCAAGACTTGGGTACTGGGGCTCAAGTTGCACGACCCATATGCGTTTGGGTTGTTAGGAGTCTTCAAGTCGCGGCTCAGACAAATGTTTGAACCGCCTAGAGCTGAGTTCAGAGCTCGAACCGAACTCTTGAAGCTCAAGCAGGGTAAGCGTGATGTACACGCTTACGCGCAACATATGCGACATCTCACGAGTTGTATAAGTTCCAATCCGGTGGATGAACACACGTTGGTTTCGGTGTTCATGCAGGGTCTTGCGGATGGTCCCGTCAAGACTCACCTGTTCCGGCTTGAACTAGATTCACTAGAACAAGCCATTTCCATTGCGGAGCAGGAAGACTTCAGTCTGAGACAGGCTCGCGCCAGCTCGACATCATATCGTCAATCGAGACGATATGACAACGGAGATCCAGAGCCGATGGAACTCTGTTATGTAGAGAGCGAGAAGGCTCGCTCTACAGGCTACAAGAAGTTGCAGAGATGCAACAGATGTCAAAAGACAGGACACTACGCTTACGAGTGTAGTGCCCCTCGTCCAGTGTCTCGCGACACTGGGCGTAGTGACCGTCCACCCGTGAGAAAGGGACAGGGACGCTGGTCCGCTGTTGGTGCAAAGACACAACAACGGGATGGACCGTCAAAAAACGGACAGGATCAGTAGGTGCGGAGCACCCTACTGGTCCAGCAACGTCAAGAGAATTTGTTGGCCTCTTGATGAAGGTTGCTCCCAACACACAAACGTTGTGCGTTGCTGCTCTAGGTAATGAGGTCTCACTCATTACCTTGAAACTCGAAGTGACGAATAAGTTGTCCCTTCGAGCTCTAGTCGATTGTGGGGCGTCCAACAATTTCGTGCGACGCCAATCGCTAGAAGATGGTCACTTTAAGTTCAGTGAATGTGACACACCTCCTACGAGGATGACGGTACGTCTTGCGACAGGCGCATCCGTAACCGTCATGAAGCGTATAGTGAAGATCCACTATACGCTAGAAGATACCCAATATGACGATGACTTTATCGTATTGGATTTGGATGACAAATTTGATGTCATCCTTGGAATACCGTGGCTCAGAAGGTACGAACCACGGGTAAACTGGCAACATCGAACAGTAACGATGCCTGCCGCTTGTTCATCAGATGGCCATCTGATGAACGTTTTGGAGCGTCCACAAGCGTGTGGATGTACTACGAGTGAGTGCGATGGCCTCACTTGTGGTACGGTCGTTAGTACGACTTCACAAAACCTTAGTGTACCAAACGGTTACACTTCGGAGTAAAGTTCCGGCGGCTGTGAGGAAAAACAGGCTGCGCCGAAGGTCCACCACTCGAATAAGTCGGGTGGACTGGGACAAAGATGTATCCCTAGCGGGGAACATCTAGAAGAGAAACAATCGATCGCTCAGGTTAAGCGAAACGATAATCCTAGATCAACTGGAGAGTCTTTCGTAGAGGATCTCGCTGTGGTTGCGCAACCCCAGCTAGAGAAAGTAAAGGGAATAAGTCCCAAGATTACAAACACGGCGGAAATAAGTTCCCCGAAACCCGCGGGAATAAGTCCCCGGGAAGACGAAGGAATAAGTCCTTCGAAGCCTGAGGGAATAAGTCCCCAGGAAATGACAGAGACATTGAATGTCATAGTCAATAGCGGATCAAGTGTAGGCGCTTATACACTTGATCTGATTGCGCCTCCGAAGTTAACTTCGGAGATCACTCAGTTGCCAACGCTCGAACATAAAAGGTTCTTGCGTGATCTGCGTAGTGGCAAAGTCAAGCAGATCTGCATACTCGTCGCTGACGACGAGTGTGTAACCGACATAAGGTCAGCAACAGTGTTTACTGAGAACGAGAGAGTTCTCAGTAGTTCATCTATGGACGAGAGTGTCCTAGATGAAAAGACACGAATTGAGCGATGTGACTCCCAATCGTGGGAATCGCTCAAGACAAATCCTCTCTATAAGTATTTGGTTGAATTCAAGGATGTATTCCCTGAAACTGTTCCGTGCGAATTACCGAAGGATAAAGGTATTCGACACGAGGTCGAGCTTAAACCAGGCTCGAAGTACTGTGTCATGAAGCAGTGGCCACTGCCTCGTGAACAAGTACTTGCGATCGACAAGTTCTTTGCCGATCGTTTAGCTGCAGGGCCATGTGAGGGAATCAAATTCCCCACATAGCTCTCCAACCTTCTGTGTACCAAAAGCAACAGGAGGGTGGCGGATAGTGCATGCATTTAACAAGTTGAATGCTGCAACGGTACCGGCTCAGACGTCGATACCGAGGAAGGACGTAATCATTGATGGTATGTCAAAGAGTACCATCTTTTCGTCCATGGATTTGATGGATGGCTTCTATCAAATCCTTATGCGGGAACGGGACATACCCTGTACTGCAGTTAGCACGCCTAGCGGCATGCTCTGGGAATGGCTAGTAATGCCACAAGGGCTTAGTAATGCCCCTGCCACGTTCAACAGATGTGATACACATCTGTTGAGACCAGTACGAGAATTCGCGCCGAGTTATTTCGATGACGTATTCATCCATAGTCGAGCTATGGATGGAAAGTCGGACGTTGAGGTTCACAAGTACCACGTCCGACAAGTTCTTACAATCATGCGAAAGCATCAATTGTATGCAAACCTCAAGAAGTGTATATTTGCAGCAAGCGAAATACCACTTCTTGGGTGCATCGTTGGTAAGAACGGTGTACGTCCTGATCCCGAAAAGATCAAGGCGATCACCGACTGGCCCGTGCCGGTCGATGTCAAAGGTCTTCGAAAATTCCTTGGGCTAGCGGCGTATTTGCATAAGTATTCACGCAATTACGCCGAGATGACTGTGCACCTCTCTCGTTTGTTGAAAAAGAACAAGAGGTGGTTATGGAACGCTGAATGTCAGCGCTCCTTTGAGGGTATCAAGCAGAGCTTGATACAATCCCCAGTCCTAGCAATAGCCGATCAGGACAGGCCATTTCATGTGGTCTGTGATGCCAGCGATTTCGCAATCGGCTGTGCATTAATGCAGTACGATCTTGAAGGCGTTGAACGCGTCGTCTGCTATCAGTCGCGTCAGCTGCAACCAGCTGAGCGGAACTATCCAGTGCATGACAAGGAACTCCTTGCCATGAAGTATGCACTCGCAAAGTTCAGAGTCTATCTATTAGGAGATAGACCCTACATTGTTTACACTGACCATGCGTCGTTACGCACGGCAGTGAACAGCCCGCACCTTTCACAACGAATGGCGCGGTGGTTGTCATTCTTTGCAGAATACAACTTTACGGTAAGAGTACAAACCAGGACGACTTAATGTCGTTGCTGATGCACTCTCACGTCGTCCCGACTTTGAACCAGTCGCGAAACCCAACAGTGAGACAGTCACTGTTGCGGTTATGACGTCCTCAGTCCCATCTACAACGTTGTATGATGATGTGAGGCGGGCATACGCCCAAGATGGTGAGATTGTAGGGTTGTTGACACATCTCTCACAATCATCTCGAGAATCGTTGAAACGATTGTCGTCTGCGTATCGATCTGCATCAGATCGATACACTACTCGTAACGGTTTACTGTACTATACAGCCGTTTCTGGTGACACACCACGTGTTGTCATTCCAGATGATACTGATCTGCGTTTGCGGATCATGTTCGAGTATTACGATGCTCCTATAGGAGGACATCGTGGCCGAGAGAAAACATATCTCACGGTAAGTCGAGACTTTTACTGGCCCCGCCAGTATCAGTTTGTGCGAAAGTATGTTCGCGCATGCGAAGTCTGCCAACGAGTGAAGTCAAGTCCTTCACTGCGTGCACCCTTACAGCCTCTACCGGTTCCGGCTGAGTGCTGGGAATCCATCTCAATGGATTTCGTCTTCGGGTTACCCAAAGACGCACGCGGGAATACGGGTATTCTCGTATTTGTTGACAATTTCAGCAAAATGGTACACCTTGTGGCTGTACCAGAGACAATCACGGCAAGTGGCTGTGCTTGTGTCTTTATTGACACCATCTTCCGACTTCATGTGTTGCCCCGTGAACTCGTATCAGACAGAGATCCACGATTCACTGCTGATTTCTGGCGTTCCGTGTTCAAATCACTCGGAACGCGCTTGAAGATGTCGACATCTGATCATCCAGAGTCAGATGGTCAGACGGAACGTGCCAATCGTGTCCTTGAAGAGATACTTCGAGGATACGTACACTCCTTTAAGAGTTGGAGTGAGTTTTTGCCAATGGTAGAGTTTGCCATCAACAACTCGGTGCATGCGTCCACGACACATACACCGTTTTACGTGAATGGCTTGCGCCATCCGCGTGTACCCACCTTACTAGAGTGTAACTCTGGTTTAAGGGGGGGAGGGACTCGCGCGAGCAAAAACCGATTTGGTTCACGCTCATCACGCTCTGACGAAGAAGTCATTGCGTTTGATGCCGATATCGATAACATCAATATCGAAGAAGATGATGCCAGTGAGAGTGCGGAAGCCCTCACTGAAGACAATGATCCCAGTGAGAGTGCGGAAGCCCTCACTGAAGAAAAGGTTGTTGTCGCTGCAGTGCGCTCACAGCGCACTGAAGCTAACGAGTCATCAGATGAGTTCATACTGGCTCGTGAAACGGTAGTCCGTTTTGTGCAAGACTCCATCGCCGAAGCGGTGGATAAGCAAAAGCAAAACGCTGATAAGAATGGAAGGGCAAACAATCTTTTATTTAATAAAGGTGACTTAGTCCTACTGTCTACGGTTAATCTACCAAAGCATGTAGTGACTAACTTGGGTAGCAGTAAACTACTACCCAAGTACATCGGCCCTTTTCGTGTATTGCACCGCCTAGGCAATGCATACACGATCGAGTTACCACGTAAGATGCGAACGCATCCCACGTTTTACGTTGGTCGGCTTAAGCCGTACCATCAGTACGCTGCTTCTTCCGATGAAGAACGCCCTTGCGCTCAAGCATCTCGCAGAGAGCCTTGTGCTCCCGATGGTGGGCATCAACAAGGGTCTGAAGAGCAGCTATCTCATCCCGAGACCGATCAGCAATCCCACGAGCTACCCTTAGCTCGTCACGAAGAGATGTCAGAGATCTCTCGTTTTCAAGCTGAGCAAAGGCAAACTCAGCTCGATGCTTCAAGGCAGTGTCCGCCATTTGGAGACGCCTATTCCGCTCATGTTCGAGATCGTCGCGTAACCCTTGCGTTACGCGATCAAAGAAGCTGTCGGGAACACACCGATCCACATGATCGTGTGGAGAGCGTCTTTCCTCCTCCTCCACCTCCATTAGAGGACTCTCGCGGTGGCCAGCGCTATCTAGTTGAGCAGCTGTTGAACCACCGCGACGTGAACGGACGTCGGACGAGTTATCTCGTCCGGTGGCGCGGCTTTCCCCGTCCTGGGATACTTGGGAGCCCCGCTCCCAACTGATGATCGACGTACTGGGTCTGGTTGAGCAGTACGACGCGGCACATCCTGTGCCGCAGAAGGACCGCCGGAGAAAGTCTTCCCGGCACGGTCGTAAAGGGATTTCAGGTTGTCAATCCCTTCGTACATCTCAGTAGAGACACGTACGCGCCACCACGGGCTGGTAAGGAGGTAAGCCTCCTTAGGTGCTCGTGCAGAGTTGTTCACACAACATGGGCACGAGTCTCCCCAAGAGAGGCAGGGTAATCCTTTCTCCCTTGACAGACGATGCAGCTTGTAGCGTGCACCTGTCGGGGTTCGCTTTTCAAACTTATCACGAGCTTTGATAAGTTTGTCGTTCCAAGCGTCACGACCTACATCCTCAAGGTTATGGATGTAGGCGTTCCACGCCTGAAGTAGTGAGGGACCATCACGTTTGTGATTCCCACTGTACCATCGATGTCTAACGAAAGCATCGATGAAGAATTCATGTTCAGCGCGATAGTTTTCGCACTGGGGTCAAGGTGATGGATCCTTGACGAATCGAACAACCGTGTTCGATAACGATCACTCGTCGTCGCCGACAAGTGATCCATGACGGATTTAGGAGGCATCCATGCCTTCTTTTCTGGAGCGAGACGCAACACATTGCGGTCCCGCTCTTCCTGCGACGTGCCGACAGAAGTACTGGCACCTCGCTGTGAAGTGGTGTCCATAGGAGAACCGACACCACTGTTAGCGCCCGAGTCTCGCGACCTCGAGCGCCTTCGCTTCGGCGATGGTTCATCTGATGAATCAGATGAACCAAAGATGCTGCGACGCAAAGCATGTCCATGCCACGCTTGGCAGGCGGCTTAGATTCAATCGCCGTCGATACGGATCCGTCATCCGTATCAGGAGAGTACGAGACACCGAGCTCGTACTCTGTGAAGACACGAGTGTCTTCATGACCAGCGCCTGCATCACCAAGTGACACAGGCTGGGTCGCTTCAGCAACCGATGAGACATCAGTTGCTGTAGTTTCTGCTTCGGCGTCCGCACAGAGACGTGTGGACGCGCTCTCGGCGGCCTTGCTCGCGCATCGCATGGGCTTGTTAACCATGCGATGAGATGTTGGAAAGTGGACTCGGACCAACAAGTGCGAATCCTGTCCCAAATGATTTGGAACGAGTATCCATTTAGTCAATCAGTCACTAAGGTGACTGATGGTTAAGGGGGGGTGATGTAACAGGGTGAATCGTTACATAACAATTTATAAGAAATTGTTAATCGACTATAACTATTAGAGGTATTTTCTCATAATATTGTCATAAGGACAAATATTCTGTAGCACTTACGAATAGTTCCTAATTTGTTGATATAGGCCATTATATCAACCAACGAAGACGCGCCACGACAGACGCACGCAATGAGTGGTGAGCAGATAACTGATTTACACATTTGTATTTAGACATAGTTAGATGAAGATAAATAGTGATTTATTGCAGACATTAACTATTATAAATACAGTTCTACTTTTTACTTTAACCAAGTACTCGCTTCTTCTTACCGTCTTCCTCTGCACGCACGAGTGTACGTGAAGTTCCGAGGCACCGCCTTATTCTGTCATCAGAATAAGTAGCTTGTACTGTCACCAGTACAAGCTTCAGGGTGCCCCGTTACAGTCTTCTTCTGCACGTACGAGTGTACGTGAAGTTACGAGGCACCGCCTTATTCTGTCATCAGAATAAGTAGCTTGTACTGTCACCAGTACAAGCTTCAGGGTGCCCCGTTACAGCATCAAGTTGATCCGGAATCTAGCGCTTCTGTTCTCCATCCAAGCTTACGTCACTCGAATCTCACTTGCACCGCACCTGCTTCTTGAACAGATCCCGCCAGCATGGTGACTGCGTTTGTTCGATAGTCTTCTGCTTTCAAGGGATGCCTCATAAGCTAATTAAAAGTATGGAAGGACCCTTGGAAACCAACAACCGTCCTCGTCTCTTTGACAAGCCACATCCAATACATATTCGCATCTTGCTGAAGTACGTCTAGCTGATTAGTCTTGTGATTTCGGTGCTCGTACGCGGGCGATGCAACCGCGATCCGTCCCATTCGTTCCCTATTCTAAAAGTCATATCTTTGCAACTGTCGCCAAGTAGATGGTCGTTGTCGCCTCGTGTAAGCTTTACCGAAAATTCCCTTACACATAGGCAGTTCTAGATCAGGTTACGTGTGCAATTATCTCTCCGTGAGCGCACAACTTCTTACGATCCGTTGTAAGGCCTGCAAGCTCACTCATGTGTAGTTCTTAGCAAGTGCCGGGTTCACTACAGCTAGTTGCTACTCTTTCGGTGCGTATATTCGAGACACAGAGCACCCAATTACCATAATCAAAAGCCCCTTGGTCGTGCCGCGGGCAGATCTTCTTCTGATCAGATGCCAGTATTCGCATTATCTGGAGCACCGCATCGATCTTTCTTAGCCCCCCCCACCCCCCCCGACCAACGTGCAGCTATCTGTACAGGTTAAGCTTGTACCTCACTGCATAGCTGATAGTGTAACGGGGCACCCTGAAGCTTGTACTGGTGACAGTACAAGCTACTTATTCTGATAACAGAATAAGGCGGTGCCTCGTAACTTCACGTACACTCGTACGTGCAGAGGAAGACGGTAAGAAGAAGCGAGTACTCGGTTAGAGTAAAAAGTAGAACTGTATTTATAATAGTTAATGTCTGCAATAAATCACTATTTATCTTCATCTAACTATGTCTAAATACAAATGTGTAAATCAGTTATCTGCTCACCACTCATTGCGTGCGTCTGTCGTGGCGCGTCTTCGTTGGTTGATATAATGGCCTATATCAACCAATTAGAAACTACTTGGAAGTGCTACAGAATATTGTCCTTATGACAATATTCTGAGAATATAACTCTTATAGTTATATTTTATTAACAATTTCTTATAAATTGTTATGTAACGATTCACCCCGTTACAAAGACGGTAAGAAGAAGCGAGTACTTGGTTAAAGTAAAAAGTAGAACTGTATTATAATAGTTAATGTCTGCAATAAATCACTATTTATCTTCATCTAACTATGTCTAAATACAAATGTGTAAATCAGTTATCTGCTCACCACTCATTGCGTGCGTCTGTCGTGGCGCGTCTTCGTTGGTTGATATAATGGCCTATATCAACCAATTAGAAACTGCTTGGAAGTGCTACAGAATATTGTCCTTATGACAATATTCTGAGAATGTAACTCTTATAGTTATATTCTATTAACAATTTCTTATAAATTGTTATGTAACGATTCACCCCGTTACATCACCCCCCCTTAACCATCAGTCACTTTAGTGACTGATTGACTAAATGGATACTCGTCCCAAATCATTTGGGACGGGGTTTGCACTTGTTGGTCCGCGTCCACTTTCCAACATCTCATCGCATGGTAAACAAGCCCATGCGATGCGCGAGCAAGGCCGCCGAGAGCGCGTCTGCACGTCTCTGTGCGGACGCCGAAGCAGAAACTACAGCAACTGATATCCCATCGGTTGCTGAATCGACTCAGCCTGTATCACCTGGTGATGCAGGCGCTGGTCATGAAGACACTCGTGTCTTCACAGAGTACGAGCTCGGTGTCTCGTACTCTCCTGATACGGATGACGGATCCGTATCGACGGCGATCGAATCCAAGCCGCCTGCCAAGCGTGGCATGGACATGCTTTGCGTCGCAGCATCTTTGGTTCATCTGATGAGTCAGATGAACCATCGCCGAAGCGAAGGCGCTCGAGGTCGCGAGACTCGGGCGCTAATAGTGGTGTCGTTTTTCCGATGGACACCACTTCACAGCGAGGTGCCAGTACTTCTGTCGGCACGTCGCAGGAAGAGCGGGACCGCAATGTGTTGCGTCTCGCTCCAGAAAAGAAGGCATGGATGCCTCCTAAATCTGTCATGGATCACTTGTCGGTGACGACGAGTGATCGTTATCGAACACGATTGTTCGATTCGTCGAGGATTCATCACCTTGACCCCAGCGCGAAAGACTATCGCGCTGAACATGAGTTCTTCATCGATGCTTTCGTTAGACATCGATGGTACAGTGGGAATCACAAACGTGATGGTCCCTCACTACTTCAGGCGTGGAACGCCTACATCCATAATCTCGAGGATGTAGGTCGTGACGCTTGGAACGACAAACTTATCAAAGCTCGTGATAAGTTTGAAAAGCGAACCCCGACAGGTGCACGCTACAAGCTGCATCGTCTGTCAAGGGAGAAAGGATTACCCTGCCTTTCTTGGGGAGACTCGTGCCCATGTTGTGTGAACAACTCTGCACGAGCACCTAAGGAGGCTTACCTCCTTACCAGCCCGTGGTGGCGCGTACGTGTCTCTACTGAGATGTACGAAGGGATTGACAACCTGAAATCCCTTTACGACCGTGCCGGGAAGACTTTCTCCGGCGGTCCTTCTGCGGCACAGGATGTGTCGCGTCGTACTGCTCGACCAGACCCAGTACGTCAACCATCAATTGGGAGCGGGGCTCCCAAGAATCCCAGGACGGGGAAAGCCGCGCCACCGGACGAGATAACTCGTCCGACGTCCGTTCACGTCGCGGTGGTTCAACAGCTGCTCAACTAGATAGCGCTGGCCACCGCGAGAGTCCTCTAATGGAGGTGGAGGAGGAGGAAAGACGCTCTCCACACGATCATGTGGATCGGTGTGTTCCCGACAGCTTCTTTGATCGCGTAACGCAAGGGTTACGCGACGATCTCGAGCATGAGCGGAATAGGCGTCTCCAGATGGTGGACACTGCCTCGAAGCATCGAGCTGAGTTTGCCTTTGCTCAGCTTGAGAACGAGAGATCTCTGACATCTCTTCGTGACGAGCTAAGGGTAGCTCGTGGGATTGTTGATCGGTCTCGGGCTGAGATAACTGCTCTTCAGACCCTTGTTGATGCCCACCATCGGGAGCACAAGGCTCTCTGCGAGATGCTTGAGCGCAAGGGCGTTCTTCATCGGAAGAAGCAGCGTACTGATGGTACGGCTTAAGCCGACCAACGTAAAACGTGGGATGCGTTCGCATCTTACGTGGTAACTCGATCGTGTATGCATTGCCTAGGCGGTGCAATACACGAAATGGGCCAATGTACTTGGGTAGTAGTTTACTGCTACCCAAGTTAGTCACTACATGTTTTGGTAGATTAACCGTAGACAGTAGGACTAAGTCACCTTTATTAAATAAAAGAGTGTTTGCCCTTCCATTCTTGTCAGCGTTTTGCTTTTGCTTATCCACCGCTTCGGCGATGGAGTCTTGCACAAAACGGACTACCGTTTCACGAGCCAGTATGAACTCATCTGATGACTCGTTAGCTTCAGTGTGCTGTGAGCGCACTGCAGCGACAACAACCTTTTCTTCAGTGAGGGCTTCCGCACTCTCACTGGGATCATTGTCTTCAGTGAGGGCTTCCGCACTCTCACTGGCATCATCTTCTTCGATATTGATGTTATCGATATCGGCATCAAACGCAATGACTTCTTCGTCAGAGCGTGATGAGCGTGAACCAAATCGGTTTTTGCTCGCGCGAGTCCCTCCCCCTTAAACCAGAGTTACACTCTAGTAAGGTGGGTACACGCGGATGGCGCAAGCCATTCACGTAAAACGGTGTATGTGTCGTGGACGCATGCACCGAGTTGTTGATGGCAAACTCTACCATTGGCAAAAACTCACTCCAACTCTTAAAGGAGTGTACGTATCCTCGAAGTATCTCTTCAAGGACACGATTGGCACGTTCCGTCTGACCATCTGACTCTGGATGATCAGATGTTGACATCTTCAAGCGCGTTCCGAGTGATTTGAACACGGAACGCCAGAAATCAGCAGTGAATCGTGGATCTCTGTCTGATACGAGTTCACGGGGCAACCCATGAAGTCGGAAGATGGTGTCAATAAAGACACAAGCACAGCCACTTGCCGTGATTGTCTCTGGTACAGCCACAAGGTGTACCATTTTGCTGAATCTGTCAACAAATACGAGAATACCCGTATTCCCGCGTGCGTCTTTGGGTAACCCGAAGACGAAATCCATTGAGATGGATTCCCAGCACTCAGCCGGAACCGGTAGAGGCTGTAAGGGTGCACGCAGTGAAGGACTTGACTTCACTCGTTGGCAGACTTCGCATGCGCGAACATACTTTCGCACAAACTGATACTGGCGGGGCCAGTAAAAGTCTCGACTTACCGTGAGATATGTTTTCTCTCGGCCACGATGTCCTCCTATAGGAGCATCGTAATACTCGAACATGATCCGCAAACGCAGATCAGTATCATCTGGAATGACAACACGTGGTGTGTCACCAGAAACGGCTGTATAGTACAGTAAACCGTTACGAGTAGTGTATCGATCTGATGCAGATCGATACGCAGACGACAATCGTTTCAACGATTCTCGAGATGATTGTGAGAGATGTGTCAACAACCCTACAATCTCACCATCTTGGGCGTATGCCCGCCTCACATCATCATACAACGTTGTAGATGGGACTGAGGACGTCATAACCGCAACAGTGACTGTCTCACTGTTGGGTTTCGCGACTGTTTCAAAGTCGGGACGACGTGAGAGTGCATCAGCAACGACATTAAGTCGTCCTGGTTTGTACTCTTACCGTAAAGTTGTATTCTGCAAAGAATGACAACCACCGCGCCATTCGTTGTGAAAGGTGCGGGCTGTTCACTGCCGTGCGTAACGACGCATGGTCAGTGTAAACAATGAAGGGTCTATCTCCTAATAGATAGACTCTGAACTTTGCGAGTGCATACTTCATGGCAAGGAGTTCCTTGTCATGCACTGGATAGTTCCGCTCAGCTGGTTGCAGCTGACGCGACTGATAGCAGACGACGCGTTCAACGCCTTCAAGGTCGTACTGCATTAATGCACAGCCGATTGCGAAATCGCTGGCATCACAGACCACATGAAATGGCCTGTCCTGATCGGCTATTGCTAGGACTGGGGATTGTATCAAGCTCTGCTTGATACCCTCAAAGGAGCGTTGACATTCAGCGTTCCATAACCACCTCTCGTTCTTTTTCAACAAACGAGAGAGGTGTACAGTCATCTCGGCGTAATTGCGTGAATACTTATGCAAATACGCCGCTAGCCCAAGGAATTTTCGAAGACCTTTGACATCGACCGGCACGGGCCAGTCGGTGATCGCCTTGATCTTTTCGGGATCAGGACGTACACCGTTCTTACCAACGATGCACCCAAGAAGTGGTATTTCGCTTGCTGCAAATATACACTTCTTGAGGTTTGCATACAATTGATGCTTTCGCATGATTGTAAGAACTTGTCGGACGTGGTACTTGTGAACCTCAACGTCCGACTTTCCATCCATAGCTCGACTATGGATGAATACGTCATCGAAATAACTCGGCGCGAATTCTCGTACTGGCCTCAACAGATGTGATACACACCTGTTGAACGTGGCAGGGGCATTACTGAGCCCTTGTGGCATTACTAGCCATTCCCAGAGCATGCCGCTAGGCGTGCTAACTGCGGTATAGGGTATATCCCGTTCCGCATTAGGATTTGATAGAAGCCATCCATCAAATCCATGGACGAAAAGATGGTACTCTTTGACATACCATCAATGATTACGTCCTTCCTCGGTATCGGCGTCTGAGCCGGTACCGTTGCAGCGTTCAATTTGTTAAACACGTGCACTATCCGCCACCCTCCTGTTGCTTTTCGCACACAGAAGGTCGGAGAGCTATGTGGGGAAGTTGATTCCCTCACATGGCCCGCTGCTAAACGATCGGCAAAGAACTTGTCGATCGCAAGTACTTGTTCACGAGGCAGTGGCCACTGCTTCATGACACAGTACTTCGAGCCTGGTTTAAGCTCGACTTCGTGTCGAATACCTTTATCCTTCGGTAATTCGCACGGAACAGTTTCAGGGAATACATCCTTGAATTCAACCAAATCTTCATAGAGAGGATTTGTCTTGAGCGATTCCCATGATTGGGACTCATATCGCTCAATTCGTGTCTTTTCATCTAGGACACTCTCGTCCATAGATGAACTACTGAGAACTCTCTCGTTCTCAGTAAACACTGTTGCTGACCTTATGTCGGTTACATACTCGTCTTCAGCGACGAGTATGCAGATCTGCTTGACTTTGCCACTACGCAGATCACGCAAGAATCTTTTATGTTCGAGCGTTGGCAACTGAGTGATCTCCGAAGTTAACTTCGGAGGCGCAATCAGATCAAGTGTATAAGCGCCTACACATGATCCGTTATTGACTATGACATTCAATGTCTCTGTCATTTCCTGGGGACTTATTCCCTCAGGCTTCGAAGGACTTATTCCTTCGTCTTCCCGGGGACTTATTCCCGCGGGTTTCGGGGAACTTATTTCCGCCGTATTTGTAATCTTGGGACTTATTCCCTTTACTTCCTCTAGCTGGGGTTGCGCAACCACAGCGAGATCCTCTACGAAAGACTCTCCAGTCGATCTAGGATTATCGTTTCGCTTAACCTGAGCGATCGATTGTTTCTCTTCTAGATGTTCCCCTCTAGGGATACATCTTTGTCCCAGTCCACCCGACTTATTCGAGTGGTGGACCTTCGGCGCAGCCTGTGTTTCCTCACAGCCGCCGGAACTTTGCTCCGAAGTGTAACCGTTTGGTACACTAAGGTTTTGTGCAGTCGTACTAACGACCGTACCACAAGTGAGGCCATCGCACTCACTCGTAGTACATCCACACGCTTGTGGACTCTCCAAAACGTTCATCAGATGGCCATCTGATGAACAAGCGGCAGGCATCGTTACTGTCCGATGTTGCCAGTTTACCCGTGGTTCGTACCTTCTGAGCCACGGTATTCCAAGGATGACATCAAATTTGTCATCCAAATCCAATACGATAAAGTCATCGTCGTATTGGGTATCTTCTAGCGTATAGTGAATCTTCACTATACGCTTCATGACGGTTACGGATGCGCCTGTCGCAAGACGTACCGTCATCCTCGTAGGAGGTGTGTCACATTCACTGAATTTAAAGTGACCATCTTCTAGCGATTGGCGTCGCACAAAATTGTTGGACGCCCCACAATCGACTAGAGCTCGAAGGGACAACTTATTCGTCACTTCGAGTTTCAAGGTAATGAGTGAGATCTCATTACCTAGAGCAGCAACGCACAATGTCTGTGTGTTGGGAGCAACCTTCATCAAGAGGCCTACAAATTCTCTTGACGTTGCTGGATCAGTAGGGTGCTCCGCACCTACTGATCCTGTCCGTTTTTTGACGGTCCATCCCGTTGTTGCGTCTTTGCACCAACTGCGGACCCTCGTCCCTGCCCCTTTCTCATGGGTGGACGGTCACTACGCCCAGTGTCGCGAGACACTGGACGAGGGGCACTACACTCGTAAGCGTAGTGTCCTGTCTTTTGACATCTGTTGCATCTCTGCAACTTCTTGTAGCCTGTAGAGCGAGCCTTCTCGCTCTCTACTTAACAGAGTTCCATCGGCTCTGGACCTCCGTTGTCATATCGTCTCGGTTGACGATATGATGTCGAGCTGGCGCGAGCCTGTCTCAGACTGAAGTCTTCCTGCTCCGCAATGGAAATGGCTTGTTCTAGTGAATCTAGTTCAAGCCGGAACAGGTGAGTCTTGACGGGACCATCCGCAAGACCCTGCATGAACACCGAAACCAACGTGTGTTCATCCACCGGATTGGAACTTATACAACTCGTGAGATGTCGTATATGTTGAGCGTAAGCGTGCACATCACGCTTACCCTGCTTGAGCTTCAAGAGTTCGGTTCGAGCTCTGAACTCAGCTCTAGGCGGTTCAAACGTTTGTCTGAGCCGCGACTTGAAGACTTCCAACGACCCAAACGCGTATGGGTCGTGCAGCTTGAGCCCCAGTACCCAAGTCTTGGCACGTCCTGCCAGATTTGACTGGGCAAATTCAACTTGCATATCCCCGTCGTCGATGCGACGCGCCCTTATGGCGTCATCCAATTCGACGAACCATCTCAAGAGGGAGTCTTCTTCGACCCCCCTATACTTTGAGATGTCAATCTTCAAAGTCTCGGGCCGACGCGAGTGCATCGACCCGCCAGCAGCAGCCTGCTGCTGTCTCAACAGTTCAAACTGTTGAGCACCTTGTTCTCTCAACAACTCTGCTTGTTGAGAACCTTGTTGGTGAAGCAAGGCTACTTTCTCGCGTTCTGCGTCAAGTTCATTTTGAATGAACTTGGCGATAGTAGCATGTTGGGCATCTCTATTGAGAGCCTCTAGCATGACGCTAACAGCATGGATGCCCATGGTCGAACCCATTCGTTCAACCGCATCCCATTCGACATCGCTCAAATGGGAGTAGCCGTCACGCGTAGCGTGAAAGCTTTGGTCATCTTCATCATCCAACATATTCATGTTGGATGTGAACGCGGTCCTTGGACGGACTACGAAGTGCTACCAGGTGTAACGGGGCACCCTGAAGCTTGTACTGGTGACAGTACAAGCTACTTATTCTGATAACAGAATAAGGCGGTGCCTCGTAACTTCACGTACACTCGTACGTGCAGAGGAAGACGGTAAGAAGAAGCGAGTACTCGGTTAGAGTAAAAGTAGAACTGTATTTATAATAGTTAATGTCTGCAATAAATCACTATTTATCTTCATCTAACTATGTCTAAATACAAATGTGTAAATCAGTTATCTGCTCACCACTCATTGCGTGCGTCTGTCGTGGCGCGTCTTCGTTGGTTGATATAATGGCCTATATCAACCAATTAGAAACTACTTGGAAGTGCTACAGAATATTGTCCTTATGACAATATTCTGAGAATATAACTCTTATAGTTATATTCTATTAACAATTTCTTATAAATTGTTATGTAACGATTCGCCCCGTTACAGATAGCTTTGCTGCTATAAAAGGGTTAATTACAAGGCGTGTTCCAAATGATTTCAGCCATGTTGCTCGAAAACCACGGAATTGGGATCGGGCTTTGAGCATCTGTAATATGCAATCGAAGTAATTTTAAATAGGGTCACTCATCTTTTTTACTAGCAATCCTTTGTACATGCTGCTTGTACGGATACAGCGTAGCTCTAGATCAACTTATTTACCACTGGCGAGTTCTGTTAGCCTTGACCTTGTCCCTCATCTGCTGCAGAGTAATCATGGTGTGGTTTTCTTGCTCCATCCAAACGTTTTTAGGTGCCTGGCCAAACGCGACTCGTTTGCTCAGCAGCCGGAACTGATGTAAGTACCACAATGCCGTCGTCGTCCTCATCTGCTTTGTAATTCGCCTCCATGGAAAGGTGCTCTTAAATAACCGCGTCAAGCTCCGGCAGGTAAGTGACCGCTTCCTCATCTGGATAAGTGAAAAGATTTCGGATGCCATTGTGTTTGTATTACAATGAAATTGTCGGATCTATGACACCAGACTTCGTTGCCTCTCTTACTTCCAATGGTCTCTCCAGCAACGAGTACATTTGTTGCAGGTCTGCTCTCATGTGAACGGTAGTTGCTGGTTCTGCTCGGTATCTCCGGATCCTGCAATTTTTAATCGTTTGGAGATGATCGTGGGTTTGACATCACCATTTATGCCGGAACTACATGTCTGATTGCTTACGGGATATTTATCTCATCGGGACGGGTTCCTTGTTTTCATTAATGCTGGAGAAGGTGATGTTATAGGGCGCTCAATGTAGGCCTTCAGATTTTGAATTGTTTAATAATCGCGAGGTTGCAGCATTATAACGATGATCAACGGAAGTTAAGAGACTGATGTGTTCCAACGCTGGATACGATCAGGAAGCCCGGCCAGGGACATGTGAGCAGATGTAATGAAGGACTTTCTTGTGGCCGCATGAAGCTTAAATGCCTGATGGCCACTTAAGCAAAACAGCGTGTGTCACACAAGTCTTTGGGCTGCTTCGAATGATGCCGCTTAGATCGTTGGTTTGGATGTATTGGGTTTACCGAGGTCAGTGTGATCCGTCACGAAGTCCGCCACGGTCAAAAACTTGGTTGCTGTGAGACTGACCTGAGTAATAATCCTCAATAACGATAAATAGTTTCACTTTTAGAATACTAAGTTAGCCAGGTAACATGTACCCGGCGGCTCGAACCAAGAGCCCCACCAATTAGGCACTTATTGCGGACATGAACTGTAGAGACTGACCCGGTTCGGACCGGTTAGACAAAAACACCATCGAATTTGCAGCGCAATGAGCTTCACTTACGATTTGTAAGCGAAACAAATCGACTTGCTGATTGTATCCCTCCAGCCAGAGCCAACCATTCGTAGCAGCCACTTTGTCCTCGGCTTCTCCATTCGCATTCGCTGATCACCAAGTCAAAATATGGTAAGACCCAGACTCTGTTCACGCAGCGGCAATGCAGTTGCAGTAGCGGCAATACAGTAGCAGTAGTAGTAGCGAATGCAGGGGGCACGTGAAGAAAGTCGGGATTTATTCAACTGTCTCTAGCACACGACTCGCAACGCTACTACTGCTACCCAAATTACTATCACTTTACTACAATGGGAATATGAGAATTGACAGGCCGTGTGTTATGTGTGCTTGTGCCTGCGTAGCCGTCCCGTTTTTCCAAGAACCGCAAGAAACGCGGCCACGTGAGCGCCGGCCACGGTCGTATCGGCAAGCACCGCAAGCATCCCGGTGGTCGTGGTAATGCTGGTGGTCAGCACCACCACCGCATTCTGATGGACAAGTTTCACCCGGGTTACTTTGGTAAGGTCGGTATGCGCCACTTTCACCTCCTCCGAAACCGTACCCACTGCCCTACGGTGAACGTGGAGCGTCTGTGGACGTTAGTATCGGAGAAGACCAAGGAGCAGGCGGAGAAGGCCAAGGACGGCAAAGCCCCTGTGATTGATGTGACCAAGGCTGGGTACTTTAAGGTGCTCGGCAAGGGTCGTCTACCAGCAGTGCCTTTGATCGTCAAGGCCAAGTTCTTCTCGGCTGAGGCAGAGAAGAAGATCAAAGCCGCTGGTGGTGCTTGTCTGCTGACTGCTTAAGATCCGTTCTTTACTCTTGCAGCGTTGCGAAGCATAATGGGAAATACACGGACACTTGACTGTTTTCTGGGTTGCAAAGGTCTCCGTTGCGTATGTTATCAGTCGACAGTTGTTTGCCAGGTTTCGTGTGCAGTCCAGATGAAGCTGATCGCTTTGTCAATCGGCATCCCTTTGCTCAATAGTCGATCCAGCTCTGTCTGCAGACCCTCGACGTAGTCACTGGCACTGAAGAGCACCCGATGGCCGTCGTGTAAACAAGTGACGCGGCAGATAAAGCCCTCACCCGAGCGTGTGGAAAAGCTCAAGACTTCACGAACATCCGCTGGCGCATCCTCGTCCAACAGACTTTCACGAGCGTCTAAGACCCGCGCTCCTGCTCTGTACACGACGTCATAGCAGCGCTGCTCACGTGCCAGCGTCGTCTCCATAGCCTGCAGCAAACAAGTCGATGTCATCGACTGGTCATCGACTGTTTGTTGTGTCTGCGACATGTCTTGTGTAACCATCACTTTGAGCTGGAGGTACCAGCGTCGCAATGCTGTCCATGTGTCCATTGCCAGCTGCTGATGTAGCCATCCTGTGTGTGTACCCATCTTACGAGATCAATGAGCCGTCTCTCATACTTTATAGATCATACTTTCACCACGATTTACCGAGTCGAGACGTAACCGCCGCGAGATCTGCCACGCTCGTTGGCTCAATTGTCACTCCGTGCTTGATCTCAGATAACCAGTGGAGCTTTGGGTCATTGCGGCGGCGAGCACGACGTTGCTGGAGCTGCGCCTGACGTCGATGATGCTGGAGGACCGTTTGCTCCATCATGAACGACTAGAAGATCGTTGTCCAATCACATCATTCCTTACATTCTTAATAGCCAATCAAAAGCGCAATAGCAGTCAGTTGGTATAGACAAACGTCGCAAACAGGGACATGGCGGCGCTCGGGAGGCTCCGCTCGATGGCTTTGCGTGCCCAGAAGAACGTGATACGGCACACTGTATCCATTCCATCACTGTGTCGAGGGTCACCACGAGACGCTAGTCCAGGCTTTAGTCGTCGATCGGTGGCGTGGCCCACGCACTTTTCGACCGTAAAGTCGCTTAACGAGGTTGAAAAGTGTAGCCATGTGAGACTTGACGTCTTTTATGGACTAGTACTGACTGACGCTTGCATGATTTTAGGCACCAAGTGGGACTAGTGCTCCTGCCTCTTTCCACTCAATAGCTAGTGATGTGTTTGCGCTGCAGGTGCAAATTCAAGTGCCGCATGAGGTTTATCAGAGGAGGTCTGAAGGTCTTGACTGTAGTGTGCTTATGCTACGGGCAGAACCTTTTTCAAGTGTTCTCGAGTGACTCGAGCATCGCACTGAACTTTACACAATGCGTGATGCGCGTGCTGAAGTGCCACGACGAGCGGAATCGAGTGTTTGTCACGGGACTGGGCAAGTCGGGCGCAGTCGCTCAGCGTCTGGCATCCACGCTGTCCTCGATCTCAATCAGCAGCCAGGTAAGATGTTTATTGTACAGTTGATGTTATCCGTACTCTATGATTTACATTAACTGTTGCAATTGGTGCAGTGGATTCATGGAGGTGAATGGGTTCATGGCGAACTAGGAGGCCTAAAGCATGGAGACATGGTACGCTCTACGGTAGAGTTGATGCCGTTGGGTTTATACTTTATTTATCTTGTGTGTTTTTTTCGTACTGGTGAGGTCATTATCATGTCGCACAGCGGTCGGACGACAGAATTGCTTTCACTGCCCGACATGTTTCGGAAAGCTGGTTGTTCCGTAATGGCTGTGGTAGGAGATGGTTGCTCGCCACTGAGCCAGCAGTGTGATTGGGTGAGTCGATGAACGGTTGTTGCTGTCTTGATTGTCGTGCTGGCGTTGACTGACGCTTATCGTCGGTCACGCTCTGAGGTTTAGTCAATCATTGCACCAGCGGAAGACGAGACCAGCTGTCCAGTTCCATCGAGGAGTATCATCGTTCAGGTATATGATGTGTGTAATCAGGTGATTTTCTGGCTGTGATTCATGTGGTACATGTACGACTAGGAAGCAATTTGTAACGCGCTCATCCAACACTTGATCGAAAACATGGGTGGAGGCGATGAGAGCTTGAAAAGTAGCCATCCGGGCGGCGCTATCGGTGCTAGATTTGCGAATCGAACTGCTGCTGAGAGCTTGTTTGTGTCGAAAGAGACACAGGTATGACATCTGTATGGATTGAGGTAAACCGGTAAGTTAGTGGTAGTATGCCGGTTGAAACATTTAGGCACTATTTTTCTCACTGCTGCTACCCTCGGTAGGCAGATCACTGACTTATCCCATGTATTTTGTAGCTGTTGAAAGGTATGCCGTCGAAGCCTAAAGTAGAATGGATGATGTCATAGAACATCATGGTCACTGTTGAGCAAGCGAGGTGTACGCCACCGCCGCGTTTTAATCAGCGAATCGTCTGAAACTGGCCTTTAGACATACCAGAAGTGCACTGATTCGGTACTGCTTCCAGCTATTTTACGGCTAAACATGAGCTGTCAGAGCTGTAAGTGGACGGTTGAAATGTCCCAATTTGTACTCGGGAGTGCGAGGGTGGATATCACTCGACTCACTTTTGACGAAAACTACGATTTGGTATGTGCCGCCGATAGATGTCTGTGATGTGCTAGTCGCAACGCTACACCTACGCTCGCTCATGAGCTTACGTCAATCAAGTCATGGAATTCGCTCCACACGCACGCTATTGTAAGCACGAACCTCACTCCTGGGTGTTTCATCGAAGAGTAAAATGGTACACAATGTACTTCTCTGTGTGCTTTACGCAAGGTCTTGTCATTTTATACGCGGTTCGAGTGATGATCGGATTTATCAAGAAATGGCGATCGACTTTTCTGCTGGTCTTGTCAATATCTCAACATATTACAAAGTGCTTTCCGTCCAAAGCGATTGATCGCACGACGTCACTTTCATCTCCTTAGCTGCTTGACCAAAGAATTTGTATTCGGCCGATAGTGCGAATGCAAACAAATCTGCAGGATACGACAATAGTGTCACTGGACTCGCGATCGAGTACTTCGGACATCATTAGCTCCATCGTTCAGATAGCCACCTGACTTTTCATTAGAAGACCCTGCCGTTTTGAGTCAAACTTTGCAGCTGTTCAGCATTGTCCAAGCTACATACCGGAGAAGTTCCTAAGTTTCCGTCAGCGTTGCGAGTCGACGTCTGCCATAATCGTTTGCTTTGATCATGTGTCTAAATCTACAACTGGAATGTTAACTCACCTAACATTGCAGTACGGTGCAACGGACTGCCATTGTTGCGTGCAATCAGGAATCGTTTTGCCGCAAACTGTCGGGACGTGCTTTATCACCCGCTCGACCTCAATGAAACAGAAGTGCGAAATTGTAGTCAGCTTGGGCGCAGAAAGTCTAGGGCTTGTAAGAAGCCAAGCCGATAGCCAAATGGCGCCATCATCAAAGTCACGCCGATGTCTGTAAGACTCACGACGAAGTGCTTCGTATAGATGACGTGCTGTCAGCCTGTCAACTGCAACCGAGCCGCTCGGCACACATCATGAAAAAAGTAGCTGATGGATTCAGCGATCGAACCAAATGGTAGCAGCAAATATGTGACAACTTGTTGCAAGTCGTGCAGCAATCAAGTCGAACTTGCACTGCTCTAATACATATTCTTGACGAGTCTTTCTGGATCGCAGCTGCCAGCAAATTCACGGTACCTTCTGATACGTCGGTATAGAATTCTTTTGGTTTGAAATCATGAGACCCAATACCAGCTATCAAACAGATGCCTCTCAGCTCCTCTTCCGACGTCATGAGATCTAGCCGTGCAGAGTGCATGATATGCGGATCGTAGCATTCCAAAAATGCCGACGGCTGACAATACTTTTGAAGTTCTATCCGGCATCCCACGTGAATCCTTTTTTTGATCGTCTTTGATGCGATTCTAAATTTTCGAACGTGCAGAGTTTTTTCGTTGCAACACACGTCCGATCCTTCACTTTTGATGACAGGTACTCACGGCTTCGATATGCACCATGCTTATCCAATAACGTTCCAATTGGAAACTGTTGATCCACATGATCGATGTCTGCCATCTTGTGAACATCGACGACAACACCTCGTTGATATTGACAAGATTGTCGACAGTGCCCGTCACCAGCTACTCTTGATAGCAAGTATAAGAATGAGTCGTATATCAACGCAGCGATCAGCATCACTACATATCTCGACCTGCAGCTCGACATGACCCGGACTCTTGATCTTCCTTAGCCGCCAACATGTCTCCATATCCTGCTGCAATCCCTTCATCCGTTTGTTCTCAAGTGCCTGCTGAACAGTTACACTTGCCGATTTTTCTGCAATGCAATAGCAACTTCGTACGCTGAAGGTCTCCGTACTGGATCCACATGGAGCAACTGCTTGATGATGACACCGATAAGAGGTGGAATGGAGATGTAATTCACACACATGTGACACGTCTTGGAGCTACAAGTCGCATCAATATGACTAAACACCTCTGATCGCCAATCCGTGTGCAACACCAGATACGTCGGTCCACCTCGGAACCCCCACACAACGCATTGCACAAGCTATAATTACACCCAACAAGCATGAGACATCAGCTTCATTAAGTGCAGCAAATACCACCACAAATCCAAAACAGCGGGCAGCTTACAATAACACCCGCCGCCCACATATCTGCTGCAACGCCATCAAACCCTGGCCTCGGTGGCGCCATCCCCTGATGTGCTCTCACTTCTGGCGCCACAAACAACGGTTTGCACTTAATATCAACATTTCCCGCCGCCACCCAACATCTCTCCTTCATAATCTGCGCACTGCCCAAGTCGATAACCCTCGGACACATTCGCGTATCAACTGCGATATTGCACACATCCAGATCCAAATGTGCCACGTTCTGTGCGTGTAAGTACATCAACGCTCGCACGATCCCCTCAAAAATCCCCACGCCTTCTGTTATCCACGCGTGACCTACACCACGATACACATACGATACGCACTCCACTTTCGTCGGAGCTGCACCGAACGTCTGTGCAAACTCCTGCAAGTAACGGATCATCAGCTGGCGCACCCGACGATGGACATAGGCCTGCAAGCTTCCGTTGGCCACGTACTCTGTAGCCACGTAGTGATTGTACATGTCACTGGAGTATCCCCAGCGGACCATGTACTGATTGGCCAGAGGCGCATCGATTCCGCCCGTCTGCAGCTGGCTCATCACGCGGGTCTCGCTCTCCACATTGTCGTGCTGAAGTAACACTTGCACACGGTCCATGACCTTGAGCGCGACAGGCAGCTGGAGCGCTGCGGTCTCATTGAGGCGAAAGTACACACCAGCCAAGACAAAGCCGCATCGAGTGATCGCCAACTGCCGCTCCCGAAGCCGCAATGCAATGACTCCGAGCTCGGCATCCCATGCTACGTACACGGACGGGACGTGCACGGCTCGACACAGCAGCGTGGGCGACGGTCTCGAACGGAGGACGGGCGCCATACTTTGGGTACTGCGTGGTTACGAACCATGCGTCCATGTTGAAGTGAGACGGTAAAGTGGCGGTATGAAGTGCCATTGGTGTGGTACACGTAATACATATGTCGGTTGTGTTGATCGTCCGACTTGGCCAAACAAATGGCTACAGAATGTATCGCGACGTGTGCGGCGTTGACAGCAGGATCTGGTGCGAGAGACACGCGGTGCATTCTCTACACTTGTGCGGCAACATCTGGACATACTTATGCGAAAGTCTCCAGTGGACTGAACGTTGCGTTCGCTCAATTGCGATGGAAAGAGACTGGATCTACACTATCGCTTGGTCTCCAGGAAGCCTTAGAAGTCAATGAATTGCAAAACCAAGTCTCGGTACAAGTGGAATCGGCAGCTGAAGGTGGAAACGAGAGCGCTGGATGCAAGTGCAGATGTGGCGTGGTTGCAAGTGTCGGCTTGCAGTTTTTAGACCGGCCGAGGCCTCGAAGCGCTGTGGTTCAAGGACTGCAACGCATTGCAGCACAACTGCTGGACGGTGTAGTGGTTTGGCAAGGCAGAAGGTCTTCTGTGAACTGGTTAAATTGCAGAGATCGTGTCGAGTTTGTAGACGTGAAGTGCGGGTCGACAGGGTCTGGATGTTGCCACCAGCTTGGAACGATTTCCAGCACTTCGAACGTCAGCTTGACTTTTGCTGGATCGCCAGTCGTGCTCAAAGATGGACTGACATTTGAACTTGTTGATACGTATGTGGAACGAATCGCGAGAGAATTGGGAGGTGTTGAAAAGTACGCTAAGTGTTTGTTGCAGTCGATTGTCCAGCGTCTTGGAATGCAAAAGGAGAAAGAAGGGACATTACAGCCAAGTGTCGGCGCACTAGTCAGTGGTCTTCCTGGTGTTGGCAAGACTGCGCTCAGTAGAGAAATCTGTAAGTGCTTGGGTGTGACGACGATTTTCCTGAATGCAGCAGATATCTTCCAGACGTATGTTGGGCAGTCGGAACAACAGTTGGTCAAGATTTTCGAAAGTGCAGTGCTTCAGTCTCCAAGTATTCTGCTCATTGATGGAATTGAGGCAATCGCTGGCTCTCGACGTGCTCTGACGGATTCACAAAGCACGCTCGAGATTGGCGTCTTGGGTGTGTTACTTTCATATCTGGAAAAAATCAAATCGTTGTCGCACCGGGTATTTGTTCTGGGTACTACTACTCGTCCAGAAGAAGTGGACGCTGCGGTTGTATCGAACGGAAGAATTGACCAAGCTGTGCGTATTGAACCTCCTGCGCAAATTGAACGGCTTGCAGTTCTTCGAATCATCACAAAGCCTTGGCGTAGTGACAAGCTTGGCGATAGTTTCCTCACTCGAGTAAGCGAGAGTACTGGTGGTTTCGTCGGTGCAGATCTCCTGTGTCTTTGCCAGAAAGCGTTGCAAGTGTGCCTGAACGAGAGGTCAACTGCGAATGTGGAATACAACGCAATAGTATGCCCGCGCCACTTCGAGCAAGCACTTGCAGTAACCAATCCATCCGTCCTTCAGACGCACCACGTCTCGCAAAAGCAGCAGCAACCGGCATCTACTTCCATTCAAAAGCGTAACCACAACCAAGCTTCCGATGCTTTCTCCGGTGTTTTTGGCATGCTTGACGCTATTGAAACTCTCCGTGTCTCCTTGATAGAGCCGCTCGGAGACTGCAGCCGGTTTTTGAGATTCGGGACTACACCACCAAAAGGCATCCTGTTGACCGGTCCTCCAGGATCGGGCAAGACACATCTCGCGAATGCAGTAGCCGAGCAGGTCCGCCGCCGTGGGCTGGCATCATTCGTGTCTGTGGAGTGCAGTGACTTACTGACAAAGATTGTCGGCGATACGGAAAAAGCACTCCGCGAGCTCTTTGACACGGCTAGAAATGCCGCACCGTGCGTGCTGTATTTTGACCAGATCGAGAGTATTGCACCGATACGAGGTTTCGATACGAGTACCGAGCAGACGTTTGATCGGATGCTGAGTATGCTGCTTGTCGAAATGGATGGATTCAGCACAAGTCGGACCAAGCTGCAGCATAGCTTGACAAATGATGAAGCACGCATGGCGTTTCTGAAGCAACACGTCGTTATTCTTGCTTCAACGACAAACAAGGAGCTGCTGGATCCAGCCATTCTCCGACCGGGGTACGTGATTACTGAGTCAATCTTAGTCGTGCAGCACGGTATGTTCGATGTAGCTGCTAACTCTCGTAAACTCTCTTGCAGACGCTTCGATGTACACATTCATATCGACTTTCCGGACGAAGATGCGCGGTATGCGATGATCCTTCAAGCTCTAGAGACGGTTCCCGTGGATTACTCGACCGACACTGCACTAGGTTCCCGCGAAGCGCTTGCTCGTCACATGGCCAAGCACACCGCTGGCTTGTCCGCTGGAGACGTGAATGCCGTTCTCCGCGAAGCTGCCATGGCTTCTATGCGCAACGATTTAAGCTCGACAATCATCAGGATGAAGTACGTGCTCCAGGCTTTGGGTGAAGTAACGTCAACGTCCAGAGCGGTATCTTCCTCCCCCATGGCAACACCGCTGTTCGCGCGTCACGACCGAGACATAGACAAGACCAAACATTCTCCCAGCATCCGTCGAGCTCGGGGTCATAGCGACCAAGCAAGACGAAAGAGCAGAAGCGCAGCGAGTAGATCCTTCGAATGAATAGCAGCTACCTACACTTTTTATCAGGAGCTCCCCGTCACAGATTTATGTAGCAGTTATGTGGCACATCATGCCAGTCGTCCAATGCGAGCCGAATCGCGTCGGCCGACGCCGCATCTCGGGGCTTTGGCTCATGATCGTAACCGCTACAAACACAAGGCGCCGGATTTCTATGCACTGGGTCAGCAGTACGCAGAGTTCCGACACTAGTACGTGGTGTTACGAAGTGGCGCAGAGGTGCAGTGGCCGAGGGATTAACGTGCCGTGGTGATGTCCAGTCTGCGCAATGTGGACGATGTCAATTGCCGTGCTTCACTTGCGTGGGATGACCCATTTGCTGTCAGGTACTTGGTAAAAGCTCTTTGTTTCTTCAGCTGTAAGTTGGGCGTTAGCTAAGTGTGTCGTGCGGGTCGGACTAGGGAACTGACGAAGACGCTGCTTCTGCATGATTTTGGGTTGCACTGGGAGATTCCGATCAATCGGTTGTGTCCACCGGTTCGTGGCTGTTGTTGATGAGCTGTGAAAGTTGCTTGATGTTGTTGTTTCATCTTCTTACCTGTGTTGCTGATGCTGCTAGTTGCCAAACCGATTGAACTATCTTCATTGGATCGAAGACTTGCTCCGTCAGGCCGATTGGAGCAAGTTTGTCGGGCAGGAGCAAGATCTAAAAACCACAGCAGTGAACGAGGAGATTGTTTCTGGAATCGATGTAGGGACGGGGGCAAACTGTATCTACGCGTTGCTTGGCGCAACGATGAACAAGTGGAGGTTTATCGCAACGGAGATTGACGCCGAGTCTTTCGCGTGTGCGAAGGAAAATGTATCTCGCAATCATCTTGAGGCCTTCATAACTGTCAAGCGTACACATACGAATCGATTGTTAGCGGAGCCGTTAGAGGGGGAGCCACTGGGGCACAAATTCCACTTTGTTATGTGCAACCCGCCGTTCTTTGATAACATGGATGAAGCAGACACAAATCCTGAGTCGAGCTGCATGGGTAGCACTAACGAAATGGTATTTCCAGGGGGCGAAGTTGCTTTCATCGGGAGAATGATCGCAGATAGCAAGGACTTGCAGAACCGCGTGCTCTGGTTTACCTCGATGGTTGGCAGAAAAGCAAGTTTGCGCAAGCTTTTAGCTTTGCTTCGCGAGACGAAGGTGCGAAGCACTCGCACTACTGAGTTTTTTCAGGGACGAACCAAGCGGTGGGGAATTGCTTGGACTTTTGCAGAAGATGTGGCAGACACGTTGTCGGTACGCGTTATCATTCTGCTGAGCTTTAGAAATAGGACTTTTTAAAGCTTATGTACTTGCTCTTACGAGTAGGTTAAAGTACTGGGTAAGCGGAAGGAAGCTCATCGCAAGCAGGAACTTCGTTTTCGACTGCCGTTGAAAAGTGAAGAAGGTGTGTCGTTGCAATTCCTTGCAATATAGTAACTATATTGATGCCTACTTTGCGTAATCATAGCAGCACACGGTTGTACTTCGGTAGCCGAGGTTCACATGAGAATACGTGAATTTGTTGACTCCGCGGATGGGCTGCAGTTGTTAACGGAGAGTAAAGGTCAAACCAATCAGGGCACGGAACACGAAGAGTGTCGTGATCGGCGGAGGTTTCGGCTAGAACAGCACAAGCCGAATCAAGAAACACCTGATGATGGTTTGACTCAAGTGCATTGCGCCGGTCGAGTGGACGTGCTCTCACTGAATGACAACGAGGGCGGGTTTGAGGTCTTCATCGCTTTCGAGGAAGGCAAGCGGGCTGCGTTCTGGACAATCGTCGATATGCTTCAAGCAGCCACGATCCGCACCGGACGTCAGTGGAGAAGAGCGCTTCGACAACAGCAATACCATCAGTAGACCGATACAATTTACTCCATGTCTTCCTTGCACGACGCCAACGCGATCAAAATATCGCCTAAGTCGCTAATCGTGTTTCGGATCGTGATCGCCGTCTTTTCGTTCGACCGCATCCAATACAACGACTCGATGTATTCATGCAGTGCCGGCTTGACTCGATTGTTTTCCAAGTGCAACGCGGCGAGATTCTGACACGCATAGCGTCTCACGTCATTGCGCGGCGCTGCCTTCGCTTGCCGGAACAGCTGCAACGCCTCCTCTGCCTTGCCTTGCGCAACGCGGATGAGTCCGAGATCATTGTACGGGTTTCCAAACGCTGGATCCATCTGAATCGCACGCTGACACTCTCCCACCGCTTCGTCTGCTTTCCCGTCCAAGTACAAATGCCAGCCAAGATACGCGTGACCATCAGACGTCTCAAATAATTTCAACGACTCGACGTAGTAGGCTTTTGCCAGCCTCGTCCTGTCCGTCCTGTCAAGATCCTCGTTCGTCAGCAACTCCGACGCACTTTGAATCAGCTCCAATGCGCCACTTAGAGCTTCTTTCTTTTGCGCTGTCAGCTGCTGCTTTTCCCACTCGTACTTCTCGTCAAACGTCGTAGGCTGCAGCACTTCCGTAAACTTCAGCAGGCGGCGGTCGCCCTCGTCGCAATACAGAAGCTGCACGCGTTCCAACCCCATCTTATTGATCATCAGTGCCTCATCTAGAGCTGCATCAAGGTCGCATTGTCCTTTCCGCTCTCGAAAACCAGAGCGAACGGCGTCTGTGCACGAGACACTCGAGCCAAAAAAGTCGCACCACTTGGTTCCTTGATGCCACTCAACCTCGCGTGGTAGCACAGCCTGCAGCACGTCTACCTTCAGTACGAGCTAGTGCACTGTATAGGTTGCTGCAGCAGTTACACATTGCAGGACTCCACCTTGAAGGCTGCGTGAGTATCCAGCACCCGGGCACTCTGCAAGAGCGAGCGATAGAGCGCGACGACGACCTTGGGCGACGGCATCTTCAAAATGAAGTGACCACACCAAATAGCGAAACTATGTGGAGTGACCACATCAGCTAACGACACTATGTGAGGTGACCACATCAGCTAACGACACTATGTGAGGTGACCACATCAGTTAGCGAGACTATGTGAGGTGACCACATCAATTGATGTGGTCCACCGAACAGCAACATGCTGTGCAAAACGAAAGCCAAGAGTGTTGGTCAGCCGCCATGGTCACGCTCGAGATCTGCGGCCTGCCCGTGGAGTTTCCGTTCAAGCCGTACGACTCGCAGCTCATCTACATGGAGAAAGTCATGCTAGCACTCACGTCCAAGCAGAACGCCATTCTCGAGAGTCCCACGGGTACGGGCAAGGTATTGTACCCATTTTTGATGATTGATTCCTATGCTCGCAATGGTCAGCATACAAAAACCAAGTCAAACATCACCTCTTGCCTTGTTTCGGTATGAATATTATGCAGACGTTGTGTCTGCTCTGCGCAACGCTCGCATGGCGGCGGCATATGCAGAAGAAGTCACTAGGAGTTAGCCGAAGCGCTGCCTCTGGTGTGAAAGAAGGTCCAGAAGATGCAACCATAAGGCACATCAATGACGTCGACAGTGACGAGGCGCCAGAGCTTCCGAGGATCATTTACTCGTCGCGGACGCACTCGCAGCTGAAGCAAGTGGTGCAGGAGCTCAAGAACACGGCATACCGTCCGAAGGTTGCAGTGCTCGGCTCTCGAGAGCATTTGTGCGTGGACGAGAAAGTGTCGAAGCTTCGTGGCACGAGACAGAACCTTGGATGTCGCTCGACGTGCAAAGACAGGAGGTGAGTGGTGGTCGGTCGGTCGGTTGGTCGGTCGGTCGGTCGGTCTGCAGCCGTGTCGAGCTTTTTTGGAGGTGGTTTAATGAGGCGATGCGTTGATGCTTTTTTCTCTCGGGACTTTGGGGTTTTCTTCTAGGTGTATGTACAAAATGGGCTTTGACTCGTACGCCAAGAGGTCGAAGCAGCAAGTGCAGCCGATCATGGACATTGAAGAGCTTGTGACTACGATGAAGGAAAAGACGGTGGGTTGTTGACAGAGAGAGAATGTGGTTTATTTATACTGTGTAGCTGACATCTTTTGTGCTGGCTGCAGGTGTGCCCGTTTTACCTGACGAGGCATGTGCTGCCGGATTCGGAGATTGTCTTCGTACCGTATAATTATCTCATCGACCCCTTGGCACGTCGCTCGATCGGCATTTCGATTGAAAACTCAATTTTAATATTTGACGAAGCGCACAATGTGGTACGAGTGCGCTACCAAGTCGTATCATGTTGTCCTGGATACTGAAATAAGACTAATGCAACATTTGTGACTCAGGAGTCGATTGCAAGCGAAGCTGCGTCGTATGCGCTCTCGTCGGATGACATTTCTGGTTGTATCTCAGAGGTCGATTCGTTCATCAAGGGACTCTCAAATCATAGTATACTGCTGAATGGTGGTAGCACTTTGACTATCGAAGTACGAAGCTGCGTCGAACCATTTACCCTGCATATAATGACTAATGCTGTGATATCATAGTCGACACAAACCTTGCGAGCTCTGTTCATGGAAATCGACAAAGGACTCAACACTTTTCCGTTGACTTCCAATGGGGGGTTCACCAAGGTAGGCAAGCCGAAAATGATTTGGTGCGAGCTATAAGGTTGACATTTTTAATTCGCTGTCTTCTAGCCAGGAGAGTACATCTTCGAGTTCTTTGAGCAGTTCAACGTGAATTTTGAGACATGCCCGCTTGTCCTCAACATGATTGAAGAAATTGTCGAAGTTGCACATGGCGGAGATGACTCTCAACGAGCTGCCTCCAAACTCGACACGATGCTCTCGTTTTTGGGCACAATCTTTCGGAGCAAAGAACAGCACCTTGCGGTATTTTCGCTTGCATTTTGCTCAGCGTCTCGTGTGCTGCCTTTAACGTTCAGTTTTGTTTGCAGGCAGCTAAAAGTTATCGTGTCCACATCCAAGAAGTTCGCGACAGGTTCGTTTGCAGCTGTTTTGCTCTTTGTGCTACATGTCGATATCTTACTGCTCGCTGTGCAGGCCTCTAAATGCTGGCCGCTTATTCAACGCTGGTCGAGCGAAAAAAAAGAGTACTCGCGTGTTCAACTACTGGTGTTTTCATCCTGGTGTAGCTTTTCGCGAGATTTGCGCGAACAATGTCCACAATGTGATCTTGACTAGGTTTGTACTCCTGTCTCGCTTTTTCTCTGATGGCTAACTAATTAGTTGGTATGCCTGCAATAGTGGCACACTTTCACCATTGAATACAACAGTCAAAGAACTTGGGATTGATTTTCCGGTGCGGCTGGAGAACAATCACGTCGTCGACGCTGACCAAGTATGGGTGGGTGTTGTCGGCACAGGCGTGACTGGCAAGCGTTTGAATTCGAGCTACAACTTCCGGTCGACTGAAACTTATCTGTTGGAACTGGGCAACACAATTGTGAATTTCACTCGCCTCGTTCCACACGGCCTGCTCGTCTTCTTCCCTTCCTACTCAATTTTGGAAGAGAGCCTCGACAAATGGCGAAATTCTGCTGTGAGCGAGTCATCTTTGTCAGTATGGGACCGTATTGGCCAGCAAAAGCAAGTATTCGTGGAACCTCGAGGTCGGGCAGATTTCAAAGATGTGGTTGACGAATACCACCGCACTATCACGGATAACCCCAAAGGCGCAGTCTTTTTTGCTGTCTGTAGAGGAAAGGTCAGTCTGGCAGTTCACTATACGTGGTGTGCCACATCTAGTAATCCTGTTGTGCTGTTTGATGAGTGTAGGTGAGTGAAGGCATTGACTTTTCAAATGATAAAGGGCGTGCTGTCGTCATCACTGGCTTGCCGTTTCCGCCTACGAAAGACCCAAAAATAGTTTTGAAAAAGAGTATTTTGGACGAAACTGTAGTGCTGCCTGGAGAGCAGGTTTGACATGTTAATTTGGATACATGAGATTTGATCATGCGGTGCTCATGCTCTAGTTGTCTCCTATTTAGAAATTGACGGGCAACGCATGGTACATTCAACAAGCGTCACGAGCAGTTAACCAAGCCATTGGTCGTGTCATTCGACACCGCCACGATTACGGCGCTATCGTTCTGCTAGACGAACGGTTCGCTTTGAAACAGCAGCAAGAGTGTTTGTCAAAATGGCTGCAACCTCATTGTCACACCTGCAGAGGATACGGTAAGTGCGACGTCTATTCATTGATCACAGTGAGGGTACTTCGAGATTCCCATCATTCTTCGCTTTTTGCAGGTGAAGCACATATCGGCCTGACTCGATTTTTCAAAGGTAACAAAGCAAGAGCAGTACCGAAATCATCTGTGAAGAAGCTGCTCCAGCAACCCAAATCGATTGGACTGTCCAAGCGAGCGCTGTCAAATGCTTCACAGGTAATGTCTGACAGCGGAGGTAACGAAGTCGATCTGCAGCCAGATGCGTCCCAGCTATCCTCTTCTCATCCTGCAATTGGGGATGGGCAATCCTACGTCAACCCACAGCTGCTTCGACATCCTCCGGATCCAGTGGAGGTAACCGGTAAGTCTCTTGCATTTTTGCAGTTTGTTGTGCGTAATGAAACGTTGGCTGTCATCTGATGCAATCGGTGTTCTTTGTGACGAATAGAAACCAAGACGTATGCTCCGTCAGCTGCTGTGCCACTGAGACCAGCTTCTCGTTCCTTAGGATCACTATTACGATCCACGTCGAGATCAGCGATGGTGGATACGACATCGTCGATTTCACGCCCATTTACGTCCCCCTCGACGTCAAATGCCGGAGGCTCCACTGATAGTGCAATTGTTGTACATGATGCCGATGAGCAAACAGCAAGGCAAAGGCTGGATCCTAGTGCTGCTGATGTAAATGGAAAGGGATCTGGTGCAAAAGCGTCGGTAGCCGAATTTCCTGTAGTAGCAAGAAAAGTGCTTCAGCCTTCCGATGTGGCGAAACTATACGGCTTGATCCGACAGCTTCACATCGGAGAAGAGGTTGACTCGGTGCTGAGTGAGATGTGTGATCTTTTGCGCGGCTCGGCTTGTAAAGAGCTGCTGGATCTAATGCCGAAAGTGTTAAATGGTGCAATATGCGAGCAGTTCATCGAGGCGGCAACAAGTCACGGGCTGGAAATATCAGGAGGTAACAGAGCTCAACACACCACGCCTCAAGCACGATCTACCGATATGTCGACGTTTTTCGAACGACTTCAGCAGAAAAAGAGAAAGACTTATCACGGGCACACTCCGACAGCAGCTGTCATCAAAGATCCGCAGTGCTTTGTGTGCTACGATATTACGCGCAAGGCCTATGCATCACCGCAGTGCGGCCACATCTGTTGCCATGCTTGCTGGACAAAGGTAACTAGCGTTTGATGGGTGCGAGAAAGCTTGCGTGAGCTAACTCTTTTGCCGCTAAAATGTAGATGGAAAAAGACGGGTTCACGTCCTGCCCAGTGTGCAAGGTCCCGATCAAGCTAGAACAGCTAAGTTTGATCCGCGCAGCAAAACAATCGTTAGACCGTCATGGTTAAATCGACGTGGCGTGGAAGGGTCTGGCATGTAACTGAAGAGGCGGCGTCTCGTCAATCGAACGCATGTTAAGTGCAGAACGGGTATTGTCACTTGACCTCTGATCCATTGGCATTGGTTTTGGATTCCGACTTATTCGATCTATGCGACAAACGGCTTCTGAGGTGTCGGTGGACGTGACGTCGCCTCGGACTCATTTGCTTGATTGTGCGACGTGTCGATCGTTTTATTTTTCGACTAAAAAGTAACGGTCAAGCATCCAACGGTCCGACGTGGCGTTCTCTGAACTGATACGAGTGCTGAGATGTCATATTAATAGTCGCTGAACGACTTAATTGTCGACGACGCGCGACGGCGAGAAGCAGTAATCAGCGACGCGTAACAACTTTGGGGCTTCGCGAAACAGTCGAATCGTCAATACTGACGAACCCAGTGGCCGGTTCGTCGTTTCAGGCCGCTTTTATGCAACTGCTTTTGATCGTGTGGTGACCGATCGTTGGATCGTACGTGAAGAGACAAGAATGACTGACGTTTGTGATCTTCCGACGCCGGCATGATCCGCCAGCGACTACAGAGCTTCAGGTCACTTATCGACTCACCGTCCACAAAGCAATCCCCACAGTCTCGTCTCACCGGCTAGCTGTACTCCGCCTGAACGTTCGTTGAAGTGAGCCATTTACACACACTCAACACGTACGACTCATTACATCAGCATTCAACATGTTTTATTCCGCTAATGGCTTCACTGAAGCAGACCGACGAGCATCAACCGCCGAAGAGAATGAGTTTCTTCGAGAGCTCCTGCTCGATGGTGATTTTGCGTCGCCACGACAACTCCAGTCCACGTCAGCGACGTCACTCGATGAATGTTTCGACAACAGTAACCCAGCTTCAACATCAGGACCCTTCAAGCGCAGCAGTGAACAAATGGACGTCTCGTTCTCGCAAATTAGCTTCGACAACCAGCCATACGTTACACGCTTGCAGCCATTGTCTAGCCGTGCCTGTGCAGACTTGTCGATGCCAGACCAGTCGCCACGTTCAGCTGCTGCTGCCAACGCAATCGTCTCGCCACCACGCGTATTCGTGCAGGAGTTCGCGTATCTTTCTCAACCGTTTTTCCATGACAACATGTCAAGCGATACCGACATGCGTGAGCTGAAACCCGAGACAGCTACAGTGTCCTTCCTGACATCATGTCTACCTCCAGCGCCGCTACCCATGTTATCGATGCCGCCTTTCAAGAAGATTAAAATGCTCGCTGCCACCCCTGCAACAAGTAACGAGAATCAGCAAGTGCGCTGCATTTATCCGGACTGCCCTAATCTTCGTCGGTCAGCAGGCTTTTGCAATCGCCACAGCGGCAAGATGTGCAGTATATCAGGCTGCATCAAGTCTGCGTTGAGTCGCGGAAAGTGTCCCGAGCACGGCGGCGGGTCGCGTTGCAAGAGCGACGGATGCTCCAAGTTTGCCCAGACCCGCGGACTGTGCAAATCCCACGGTGGCGGCAGGCAGTGCAATGTCAGCGGCTGCACGAAGAACGCGCACCAGAACCGATTGTGCCGTTCGCATGGTGGTGGCAAGCGCTGTGATTACTTCGGATGTCCTAAGTGGGCACAGCGTTCAGGATACTGCTGTGCTCACACCAAGATGAGTTCCGCTGACAATGCAGCACTACGTGTCGATTGCCAACGCTCATTTGCCAACATGCCTGCGTCTGCGTCATCGCCGACGTGGCTGTCTCCGCATCGTCTTTTTTCGTTACTCCCGTAACTCTCGGTCAACTGATGCCCGGTACCCACCCTACCACCCGATCCAGCTTCTTGACCCGGACACCCACGTCGGGATGAACGCTGCAACGCGCACCTTGAATCGAAGTGGGTACGCATGCTGCCGTCCGCGTCGCTTGCATTCATCACATGCCACAATACACAACTCTCTCATCACAGTGAGCGTGAGAATAACTCAAATTCAAAGGAAGGTGATTTATAAACCCAATGGGCAAAAGAGCCTGCCCCTACATCGACTGTCGCACACATTTGTTTCAGCCTCGGGTACCTCCCACCTCTCTCGCCATCACATAAACCACTTTGTGCGACCCTTTTCGTCTTATGCTGGCGAAATAAGCCCACGCTCTGCTAGGTCCGGCACTTCTGCAGCAAGCCACGGGGCCAGCTACACCACCACAAAAGCACACGAACAGCAAAACACAAAAGCACAAAACACACATCTCAAGAGCCCAAGTTAGACCCTTTTTCATCAACGCCACCAACAATCATATCCGCTATGATACTGCACTTCTTACACCAAGTGCGAGAGCATGCGCGACACCAAAGCGCGGAACGTTCTTTTGCCACAACGGGGCAAAGTGGATCGTGAGGCAGATTTTGCCGCCCCGGTACATCTTGGACGTCTTGCCTTCGAGTTCTGGCAGACAGAGCTCGGGATTGGCCACTGGGTACGTGGCTGGGATCTCAAACTCGAGGTCGAACTCGTACCGCAGTCCGTTGTAAAACGTCCAGCACTTGCCCGTCCAGCGCGTGCCCGTTTTGTTGCTCTCGATAGTGAACCAGTCATTGTCCGCGTCCTTGTTCATCTTGACGTACTGGATCAGTGCCAAGTACTCCTCTTTCAGCCGCTTCGTCCAGCTTTCGCCATCCCGCGGTCCCGCACGGGTCGTGAGAAGCGGAATCTGCTGGACCGTGCGCTTGGTACTGTCGTCAATTGGTGCGTCCATCGTCGGGGACTCTAATGACGACGATGCTTTGGTGAGGAGCTACAGACGGCGAATTGGGTATCTTGGAAATAAATTACGGACCCTTTTTTGGTCGGATCGGGTAGAGAGCCCATTTGGTCTCAGATTCATGACGACCAACTGAAGCAGCATCTGCGATCGTGGATTTGACGGCATTTGTTGCCGCTGATATGTTCAGTGTAACAACGTTCGTCATTTCTAGTCCGCGGAACAAGAAACTGATGTTTTTCTGAAGCAGATTCTGCAAAAACATCTGATTTTCGCACTCTGATCAAGGGCAAAAGAGCTAGCTAGACACCTGCTACCTCAATATTCATAGTTCGGTTCACTGTCGCGTGGCTTCCAGCACCAAAGCGATCGATGCCATTGACGCGTCTGTAAAGTGCGCGAGACTGACGGACACAACTACTTTGTCACTGTCAATAGGTGTAGGGCACTAGCGCCTACGAGCGAGACCACACCCTGCGACGTTGCAGTCGTAGGATGCCAACACTTTACATAGCCTGGAATTGCAGACAGGAGCCCCGTAACAAATCAGTCAAGGTGCTGTGCCGGTTGGATCGTGGTTTCAGCCGACGCGTCCGACGTTGTTGCCCCGCGTAGCACCTGAGCTACTGTACGCACAATGCCATTTCAAAGCAGCTAGACGCGCAAAGCCATTGCTTCAGCGACGTCGTGTTACCAATGCCAAAGCACTAGTTTGCAGCTCTGCTTTGGAGGGAGGTCAATGTGGATGTGATGCAGACACGCACTCAAGGCGCCTTGGCCCACATTCACGGATACGACACTCGGATTCCTATCATCACTCACATTAGTCCGATCGAAATGCTTAGATGGGGTCCGTTGCAGCAATGCTCGCCCCCTTCTCCACATCTACTTGGCTGCAATGCAAGAGCAGGACACACGCATGAACATGTACAAACATCGTATTCATTAAAAGTCATACCGCAACATTCGCGTGCTACCGACGTGTCAACTGGATGCAACGCGCACACACTCGTTCGAGCACGTTCTAGCCCGACACCAGCGACGACATCTAATGACGACGCTGACGGCGCTTGCACGCAGTAGTTGGCTTCGTGGGCGACGCCTCCTCTGCACCGACGCTCGTGGCCACTCCCGCAACAATGGGGTCCACCTCCGAGTCGTCGGCTTCTAAAGGAACAACGGGGCTCGCGTCTCCTGCCTCTTTCGTAGCAGCGGGGTCGCCTCCCTTCGTAGCAGCAGCATCCACCTCCTCTTCCGAGTCAGCCTCCTTTGTAGCAGCAGGATCCACCTCCTCCTCTTCAGTCTCCTTTGTAGCAGCAGGATCCACCTCCTCCTCTTCAGCCCCCTTCGTAGCGGCAGGATCCACCTCCTCCTCTTCAGTCTCCTTTGTAGCAGCAGGATCCACCTCCTCCTCTTCAGTCTCCTTTGTAGCAGCAGGATCCACCTCCTCCTCTTCAGCCCCCTTCGTAGCGGCAGGATCCACCTCCTCCTCTTCAGTCTCCTTCGTAGCAGCAGGGTCTACCTCCTCCTCTTCAGCCCCCTTCGTAGCAGCAGGATCCACCTCCTCCTCTTCAGTCTCCTTCGTAGCAGCAGGGTCTACCTCCTCCTCTTCAGCCCCCTTCGTAGCAGCAGGATCCACCTCCTCCTCTTCAGTCTCCTTCGTAGCAGCACCATCCACCGCATCCTCGCCCGCCTCACCCGCGACTTCCGAGTTGCCCTTGACCGCTGCTGCGTCCACTGACGGCGTGTCATCGGACTGTTTGGTAGCCGTCGTGTCTTCCTCCGAGTCGTCCTGGGTAACCGCAGAGCTCTTGCCAATGCTGATGCCCTTGACCGTCGTGCCAATGTCTCCAATGCGGATGTTAGTGAACTTAACAGTCGATTCAGCCTGCTTGGCAATGACCTCGTCCGGGACACCGGACGTCGTCGCACACGTGCCACGCGAGACACCTGGTTTCGACTTGGCAGCTGTCACGGGGTAGTCCGAGTCCAGCCACAGACACTGGGCCGCGTGGTCTGCCCACAAACTAATGGTGAGCACCATCCCGCGACTCATCGAGAGCCCCATCTGCGCGAGACCGCCCTTGGCCTTGTGGTCGTCCTTGTCGCCAAAGAGCGTCTTGGTGCTCGCGCACTTGGCGTCCGTCAACGAGTTCATGTCCTTGATCGCCTTGTGAGTCGAACGCGGCATCTCGTGCGTCACGCCGTCCTGTACGTAATGCCGCGTGATCTCCGTCAACGTGCCCTTCGCCGTGTTGTCGTCCGTGATGAACCGCGTCACGACCGTGAACTTCTTGGTCGTGTCGATCGTAAAGTCCGCGCCCGGGCCAAAGAACGTCTTGTTCCCCATCCGGTACGGGTTAAAGTCGCAGCCGTCCTTGTCACAGACGCCGCTGTAGCGGTTCTTGTCGACTCCGCACTCCTTCTCCGACGCACAGCGGTGCGCGCCCTTGGTCTTGGTCGTGATCGAGCACGGATGCGACGTGTACGCGTTACTGATGCTGTTGGCTTCCCAGATATCCATCTCCCCACAACAGGCGCCGTACTTGCCCGAGCCCGCATTCTTGTCCGACTTGCTCGGGTCCCAGCCGATGATATTGGCTTCGCCGTTGATGAACTTGATGTCTTGCGGACACTGCGCGTCGCAGTAGCCCGTGCCGTACTTGGCACCGGCCTTGTTCGTCGGGAACTGCTTCATGCCGCCATCAGCTTCCATCTCGACAAAGTACAGCGCGCCATTGAGTCCGCAGTCGAGCTCCGACACGTCCACGTCAAACGTGAACTCCTGGTTCAACAGCATGTACATCCGGTAGTGCTCGTCGTCCTCGTCCATGATGTAGACGCGCGAGCCGACGTTGGTGCCGTACGGCCCTTTTGTCACGAGCTTCAAGCTCAAGCTGTCGGCTTCAGCCGTGATGCCGTAGATGCCCGTGTAGTCCGCGCCGTCCATAGCACAGCTTGAGGCGCACGTCTTGGGGTCCGGACACAACGTCTTGTCCCACGTGTTGCCCGTGTAGCAGTTGGTCGTGCCGCCGTCTTTGTGCAGCCAGCGCCAGTTCGAGTCGAGCACGACGGACGTCTTGTCGTCTTTGCAGCCACTCTTGGTACACGTCTGGGTCGTGAGCGGCGGGTGCACTTCAGCCGTGTTGGTGCCCACGAGCTGAGCGGTTGAGGTCAGAGAGGCGATTGACGCTGAGACCGCGAGCGCGACGAGGCGAAGCGAGCTCGGAGACTGCATTCTTGACTGGCTACGAGTAGAGCGATGGGAAAAAGCTGGTGCTGGTGGATGAGCTGCTCCCGTGAAGGCAAATGAAGTTGTGAGTGGCGAGTTGGCAGGAGGCGCGAGCGTCGATCGCGTCTGAAGCCATTGCCGAGCGATTGAGAGCGCCCAGCGCGGGTGAAGTGGCACAGACGGCACGGATCAGTGGCGTAGAGAACGCACTACTGCCAGTGGCTTAATGACAGCCTTACCCTGAAGATGCTGCGGCGTGTCACACTGGCTCGCTGACAGCTGCTTTTGAAGACTGGATATTATCCCGATCAGGTAGACTCCCCATCTCCATGTGTGCAGAAACACGTCGGATTCTGTCATTGGAATGTTCCTGGATCCTTGCCATGGTGATAAAACGGACATGAGGACTGACGTATGGCATGCATGTCCGTGTGATTTGTATTAGAATATAGAATACGATGCTATAGCTGGTGTTGAAGGCAGCTGACTCTTTTGCCTGGATCACAAGACGTCGATTGGCCACAGCTCCATCTCTAGGATGGAAAAAATTGCCTACGATGTGACGATGACGATGGTGCTGACTCTTTGTTTGCGGCAGGTGCTTAGTTAAAGAGGATAAAGATGAAGACAATGTAAAGGGGGAGGAATGAACAGCGTCAAGACATTATAATTGTCGCAAAAACGGCTGGATCCGCTCAATATTTCGTAGCTTCTACGATACCAGGTGTTGCCTTGACCATCCGAGTTGTTATCTACGCCACTGCAACTGCTGTTAGAGCATGTCTCTTCCTTTACGACCTCGCGACAAAGGTGTTGCACTCATGCGAAGTAGATCGCATCCTTGCGTCACTGCAAGCTTGCTTTGCGTCGCTGCTCCTTTGCAACACTACTAAGAAAGAAGTGCCTTCTTTACCACTCATCGCCAATGGAGCACAAACGATTTCTAGCCTGTAGAGCTCCTTCAGGCAGGCGAATGGCCACCCTTTCTTCCGCGATCTTTGGTCTGCTTTGATGCTCAAATTTTGCAGCTGATCTAAGAGCGCGATGGATGCGCAGTGTATTAAATCTGTCACTCGACACACGAGCTGGCGTTGCGTCGTTAGACAGGCCATCAAGGCATCGTAAAATCGACTGAGCCATGTAGACTGGAGTACAACGAAGTGCGACAGAAGCAGGGACATGTTCGGGCTGCTTCTCTTCCTGGATGAACTGTCAAGCCCAGTTAATGGCGATCCTTTTGAGAAACACCTCGTATAATTTTTGCCACACTCCACTCGGCTAAACAATGGACTAGATTGCCTTCCTTTCTTCTGCGCTGCACATATTCTGTTAATAGAGGTGTCGTCACGCACTGACGCACCATAATTGATACCGGTCTGTTTTGTTCTTCTCAATGCCGGGTAAAGCTTCCAGCGGATAGATGCAAATGATTCTTCAGTTTCACTGAATGTTGTGTGGATACGTATAAAAGGCAACAGTTTGTCACTCTGTCGCCAGTTTGTCTTCTCATCGCCGGACACGACAGAAAGCGCCCGCCATGTACTGAGGCTGCAAAGAGGTTGTGGATAGTGAACGGGCAAGTTGACTGGCTACTGCTGCTGACCAAAGTGCAGAGGGTGGTGCATCTGGAACAAAGGATTGGAGACACGTAGACTAAAGTGCAGCTCGAGCTGCAGTGATAGCCGCTACTGAGATGCTGCCGATTAGCATCGTGTGTTACGACAGTGCGTTTCGTCGTTATTTATATTTGGCCGCCATTTGAGTCTGAAGCTAGACTGCAAGAAGTGCTTTCATGAGAGCCATTTGTGGTGAACCTGGACGTAATGTCAGCGACATGATCAGGGCTTATGGCCAGTTTAAAGTATCCGAAAAAGCCGTATGAATGAAGATTTAAAACGAAGAAAACCTTAATTTATTCAGTTGAGTCTCCCTTATTTAATATAGCTGGGACCGCTAAATTTTTGATTAAATAAGGTGATTATTAAATAGCAAAGTTAGGGGAATGGCGTTGTAGCGAAGGGTGCTGCACGTGTTAGCAAGGAGAACGATAGCGTGGCCGCACCGTCCGTCTCTCTTCGGAATGCTGCATCATACTTGCAGAGCTCGAGACTTTCTGGTTGCAGCAGGAGACTGGAGAAGCGTTCTCAGGGATAATTCAGAAGATGCAGGATCAGGTGGGAAATCTTCAGCAAAATTCCTCGAGCAACAAATTCTAGCTAGTTTTTTTGCAGTGGTCCCCCGGCAGTAGTCCAATATTCGTAAGGCGGAAAATTTCTCTGGCTTTATAATAAAAACTCAAGGAGTTTTTTATCATTTGGCCTGAGCCCAACGTGGAACTCGACGTGTTTATTAAGTAAGGAATATTATTAGCTTCGAGAATGATAAATTACGGAGACTCTACTGTATTCCACGATTCAACACTTTTTTCGCCAGTCCTGAAAATCGAATCACTCGGTAGTAGCGTGCTTTTGACATGAATCTAGACGTGCTGATTTTTTATAATAGTGCGTCGTGGATCTCGTGATGAGCGCTAATGAGCCGGCTGTCTGGTATAGCTGGCAATGAAACTCCAGCCTACTGATTGTGACTGCTCCAGTCATCCATATTATCCTTTTCGATGTTCTCTCTCCGCGAAGTGCCCAGCGCAACAGTTGCGCTCCAAGGAAATGGTGGATCCGAAGAGTGTAATGATGACGACCACAGAACCGAGTCAGCTGGCCAGCAAGTCCAGATGTAAAGAACATTTGAGTTCATCTGCAAGACGAATCTTGTGCTTTCATGATAGAGTTCAATCTTTTTCTTGACTCCACGATAAAACTGAGTCAAATGCGTTTCGGTGCAACAAGCGTATGACGCAACATCCACGACACTTCTCGGGTTAACAGGATGTAGTTTTGACATCGCGTTGGACGTACATCGCACCCCGTCATTATATCGCATGCAGTTGCTGCACTTACTCGGAAGTAGTATACAGCTCAGTGGTGCCACAAAACATTTACCCGATAGCTCCGCGATATGCCCTTCCAGTGTTCCCATGCTGCGTTATCGTATTTCCGGTCTCGGCCGACGCGTATTTTACAGCATTACGCCCACCATTTCAACCAAACAACCAAACAAGCATACACATCATGCTTCGATAGCACTGAACTAACTCAGAAATAATATCACGCTACCTGACAGAAGCAACTTAATTTCCCAGACGTGCGGTACCGTGCTCACAACGGCAGCAGCCGGAACCTTTCCACAGAATCTAGGGAAACTAGTGTTCTAAACCACCGATCTGTCCTGTGAGATCACTCCCGCCATCATGGACATGATTTTGCACAGAAAGCTGCATGATCACTCTCGTTGTCCTGTGAATGTCCGATACCGTTGACGCCACCTTAGTTCATTTTGTCGACCAATTGATCATGCACTATTTCATGAATTCGATTAGCTGGTAAAAAAACGGTAAATGGCTGGTTTTACTATGATCATACCGCGAAAGACGCCAACAGCCGAAATATTCAAACGACATCTCTGCGCTTCCAGTAATACGACATCTCTGTGCTTCCAGTCGTACAACATCACCTCTCTTTTAGATACACGTCAACGTGCAGAATTCGTCGATCCTGGAACGGCCCATGTCAATAGTCGTGAGGCAGGCAGAAGATTTCACCAAATCAACATCATTTGCCAGCAATTATCATTTTCGCTTATAACGAGCCAAAACTCTGCGGAAGTTTGTGTGCCTAGTGTAGAAGTTTGAGAAGAAATCGTTTTCCTTTAAAGCACAGAGCGAGAGCATCATCTTCTCGTTGAAGTTTGCATCGTGTGGTTGCAACAGTAGAAACAATGCGAACGATGTTGCTGCAGGAAGTGTACGATTCGACAATACAATCCGACGAATGATCGGACGATGAGAAGCCACGTACGATCAGATGATCAGAATTCACAATCGACGACTGTTGGCGCTGTGAGGACACAAGGCTATGTTCCATTGAAGGTGCATTTTTCTTCAACAGCTTCAGGCTACGGGTAGTCGATCGAAACGATCACTTGGTTTGGCCCATGACTATAGTCAAGAATATCGACAAAGAAAAACGATAGTTTTCATCGCTCAACTTTACCTCTGGTTGTAATGAATGAATGGTTGTGTCTTTACACCTCAGTCTGGCCGAGCTTTCACCCCTGTGCAAGTTGCACAGCTACATGACGTCGTCAGGCAAGGAGATTACATGCACTGATCATTGTCAACAATCGCTACGCACTAACTAGAATGACTGCACAGAAGAAACGTCTAACTATGCTCGCTCGGACAGCCAGCACCAGGTGTCCGCGTCTTGATATCTTTCACTAGCGCATCGGAGAACTTTTGCCCATCCATGAAAGACTTCATGTGCAAAATGGGCTGGATGCCAATATCCGTGACGGTTCTTCCATTGATAAGCTGGCTGTACTTCTCCGGATAAAACTTGGCCAGCGGATCGACACCTTTCGCTTTTGTAGACGCGCCTTCCACGACACGAAACAAAGCATCAATATCATTCATTTTCATGAACGGACATGTGGCACAGCCACCCGCTGTCGAGCACCCTTCACCACCAGCCACGCCAGGCACCAGCTCACTTCCTTCCAGAGCAACAGCATCCGCCGACACGGGGAAGATGATCTCAACCTCCGGCTTCACCCCACCCTGATGAGCGTTCAGCATATCCTGCACGCCGCGCACAATCGATGTGATCATGCCGGCCTCTGTGCCTAGCACAAAGCTCAGCCTCTCTCCAGACCCGGTCTTCAGTGCATGCGCCGTCTTGGCCTTGATAAAGTTCAGGATATTCGACGTCGAGCCAACCACCCCCCGACCCTTGTTCTGCGCCTCCATCGCCAGTGTAAACATCTCACCAGGCACTTCAAAGTGCGCCGTGTAGTACGCATGACCATAGTCTTCACGAACGCGCTGTGTCACCTTGTCGCCAAACATATGGTGCACCACGCAGTTGCCCTCTTTAAAGTACTCAAACCGCGTAAGCAGCTCCGCAACTGTCTTCTGGTTATGCTGCGGGTGAATCTCCCGAATCTTCTCGTCCGATAGCTGTGCAATGTGGCCAAACATCTGCTCCAAGTTCTCACCCATGTACGTGTCCGGTCCGTACCAGACGTGGACATCCGGCACCTGAGCGAATGCCTGCAAGACCGTCTGCACAACGTTCGACGATGTGCACGTAATAGTCGGCACGACATCATGAGCAAATGCCTTGCTCCGCAGCGACGTGTTAATGTACACAATGTGCACACTACTCGGCGTCTTGGCCGCTTTCCTTAAGTACGCCACGTACGCCTGTTTCTCGGCCGATTCGGCCAGACTGCAGCCGATCTTGTGCTCGGCCAGACGGTACACTGGGACGTGTGCAAAGTCGTGCGCGTCCAAGTTCGCCCGCACGCTCTCGGCCATAAAGTCCACGCCCAGGACCGCGACCGACTCGACGCCCTGGTGCGCCATTTTGGCAGCGGCTTCGCCCATGGCCAAGGAGTCGGCGATGAACGTGTGCGGCCACGAGAGCGCCGACAAGATGCCCTGGAGCTCCGGGTCCATGTAGAAGTGGGCGACGAGCCCCATCTGCTTCTCGTGCAGCAGCGCGTCCAGCTCGTGGACCACGTCCATGTCTGGCTCGATGTACCGGGCTTGGGCTTCGGCGAAGGAGCCCTGGGCGGTCACGCCATTGGCTGAAACCTAGTGACCATCATTCACACACAGACGCTCTGGTTAGGGGGTAGGGTAGGGTAAGGGTTGTTTGACTTAGAGAGACGAGGGACACGCACGAGGATGGACGGGAACGGACGGTCCCAGGAAGCAGCGAGCGACGCAGGCGCGACAGTGGCGAAGGGCGCGCGCAGGAGACGCGCGGGGAGGGGACGCAGACAGCGGGACAGCGGCAGGGCGGCGCGCATGTTGCTTGAAGGTCGTTCGTGGTAAGGAAAGTGGGAGTGCGGTCAACGCGGTGAGCGAAGAAATGCGGACGGGAGGCGGTAGTCAATCGGGCGGGGGAGGGATAGGGTGCGGGTTCTGGGTTACAAGTCAGATCGATACGTTTTGCAAGTAAAAGGCCGTGGTGCAATCCAGACGGTAAGACTTGGCGTATTTAACGATTTCGATACAACTTCACTACGAAAGTTTATGCAAGCGAAAAAGTGGCGTTTTTCAGCTCACTTGGGGATACAGACTCGAGTCCGGTCAAATCTGCTTATCACGAAGCGAGTCATCATCCGTCGCGAGTCAATCGCTTGCTTATTCACAGCGATACAGTCTAAAAACTGTGAATGGATGTGCGCACAGCGTTGAAGCGGCACCGTGAGTGACTCTGTGCTGGGTAAATGCCGTCTTTTAAAACCTACTTCTGTCGGTGCCCTTTGTGTTTAACCGCAAAGGCGCTTCGTGTATCGTGCACGTAGTTGCGAGCCCGAAGGTTGAAGCGTTTAGTGACTGTGAGCAAGGTGAATGCCGAACTTTCCAATCGTACTTATCTGTGTCTGTCTGCCTGTAAATAACGCTATATCCTGTCGTACTAAGTGCGATCTAGCCTGTCCCATTCTCATAGGTACAGGTACATCCGAAGTCACTCTTAGGCAAGGTCACTATTGTGACGCACACGTATTTGGCTTAAAATCGATTAAAGGTGAATAAGATCACATAAATAAATGCTGGATACTCATAAGCAAAGACTGATCGCGTCGCCCATAGTCTTCTGTACTGGTTTAATACAGACATTGACAGCATCGTACTCATTCTTTAATGACTGCTGCTGTATAGTGTTTTGCAACTTGATTCAGTTCTATGAACTGGATTACTTGTATCAAAAAGGCGAGCTCTAGAGCGCACTCCCCTATCTTAAAAAACGCTTGGTGTACCTTTCACCACCGTCATTTTATGTGTTAGAAAGCGCAAGTCAAACTTGTAATCGATGCAAGAGCTTCAACTACGCAAGGGTTTCGGAATTTTTACCGGATCCTATATCTTAAATAACTACCCCAGGTCTTGTTAGTTCTAAGTTGACAAAATCATTGACGAGGCCCCCGGCGGGGACCGAATCACGTCTGGTGAGCGGTAACTTACAAGTCATTTAGTTTACTTAATTCCTACTATTAGCAGCATGTAAATAATGCTGGATGTATTTTACACGAACTACTAAGTGCGATGTAGCTTGCCGCCTCCTTTGCATGTAAACAACACCAGGTCTACCTTGCGCGTCGCACTAAGTGCGATGCAGCCTAGTACCTATTGTTTCCGTGAGAAACATTAGATGTACCCTACGCCTCGTACGAAGTGCGATATAGCATGTCATATCCTTCTAAATGCATCTACAAACACAAGCTAGGTGTACCGCACCCGTAATACTAAGTGCGATGTTGCAATTATCTCCTCTTCATTGGTCAGTCAGCTTTGTTGCGATCCCAGTGGGTGAAGCTATAAGTGAACGAGCGCAAGGTGAGTTAATACACAGAACTTGATTTAGGTTTTCACACTAAATTGTTATATTAAATGGCGAGCTCCAAAGCTTGCCCCCCCCCTACCTCAGTATAGAAAAGGTGTCCGTCTGGTTGAGAGACCGAATGGTCAATCGATTGGCTGCTGTGCGCAAATTGAATACTGAACGTTCAAAACCTACTTTATGTCTGTGCTTATTTGTGTGTGAGTTAAATGTAACGCCAAGAGTACCTGAAACGTCGTACTAAATGCGATTTAGTCTGTCGCCTCCTGTGTATGCGAATTAATCCGGGTGTACTTTACACGTCATAGTAAGAGCGATTTAGTCTGTCACATCGTTTGTATGTAAATAACGCTAGGTGTACCGTACACGTCGTACTAAGCACGATTTCGCATGTCCTCTCACATAGGTAGACACGTCATATTAATGTCACTCGTGGATTAGGTCACTAACTGGGACTGTTGAGAGTGTTATGTTCAAACACACACCAACGTCTGTACATGATTGACTTCAAATTTGAATAAAGGTGGACCAAGGGCCAACTAGCAAATGGCGTATACTTAGTAGCAGCAAAATTGTAAACCTCCAACAAACTGTATATTTTTTGTGGTTTTCATCCGTAGTGGAAGAGGAATATCTATCTATTGAACTTTTCTCTATCATATATCAGCAATATCGGCCGCACTATGGTGAGTGCGGCGTCGCTGAGCAGGATTACCTCATCCCTCATTTTTCATTTTCGACTCTTTACATCTTCACTGCATCACCGGGTACCATAAGCGCACGATAATACCTAGTTTTTACGAATATTCTCTGCATAAGAATACAAATCATTTCCTCGTCGCCAACCACCCGAAATGGTACGATAATATACAGAACTTATTTCAGCCTGAAAACTAAATCGTTTTTACAAACAGCAAGTCCTAGAGCTTACACATGCACACCCAGGTGCAGCTCCCTCCCCTTTTGTTGGCAGACCATCCCCCCCAGACTCTCATAATATTTATTATAATCTGGACTACGGTACTCCACATGAAGTAAACAACTTTCGCACTTCACAATCTGAGTCAAAGACCGAATATCGCTATGTGGTAGGGTGGGGCTAAACAATTACTGATGCGATCCCAACTCTTAACGGCGTCCAGGCTATCTAACACGGTAAAAACTCCAGTATTCAGTGTACAGATATTCTTTCCTCGTCTGCTATTTTCTCATTTCTAAGTGGAAACGAGTCGATGTAAACCTTGTTTTAAGTGGAGGGGTGGTTGCTTATTCTTTGACCAATCCCGACTCCCTTTTGACGCCCATACAATCAACTGTAGGAAAGGGTACTCCGTTTCTGTGTTTGTTTCCTTCCTCACCTTGTGTAGACGTCCTTAAAACTTCCTTTCTCACCTTGTGTAGACGTCCTTAGAACAGGCTGCGCTCGTGTCGAGGTAAACTTGACCGTGTTTATAACGGGTTTGGACTTGGGTTGCGGGTACATAAACACGATAATGGGTACCCGTAGGTTAATCAGTATGAGCCACCACGATACCAACGAGATAGCCTTTGTATCATGTAGATGTATGATCCTCTTGACCTTCTGAACACTTGAGCCTTCTCGCTATATTACACATTGTCCATTATGTAATAGCTACTATTGGTTCTAACGCCAAGTTGAAGCTCCATGGGTATTGCATAGCAAAAGACAAAGTGAATTTATTATCCATATAAGCCTAAACTCTCTCCATATCAGACTTACCTGTCCATGGTGCATCACTTGCACCTCATACTCCTTGAAACCTCTCGACCTTGAACCATTTCATCTTTCGCGCCGACCGCACAGTGGAAAAAGTTCGAAAACACTTGCGAGTCCGGTAATGTCTTCAGCGAGTCCCAGAAACTCCGCTGCAGCATCGCCTTCGAACAGCTACTTCCAATTACAGTTGAGTTGTGTATCGGGAACTATTTTGCGCATGGACATACAGCCAAGGGAACAAACTTGAAGGGACGTAGGTGCATGCTTTTTGAAAGTTGTGTGGCCAGCATTATAGCTAAAAAAAATACCGACGCATACCTGTAGAAGGAGGTTGGATTTACAGCAACTAACTTCACTAACGGCTAATACTGCGACTATGTTTATTCTGTACATTGGGATGAATTTTCGCAAGCAATTTCATCATACTATCAAATTATTAGGTTTTCGACGTTATATTGCGATTTACAAATCGCGGTTGCCATATCGCGGTCACTAGATCGTGTTGTGAGGAAGACCCGATTATGTGGTCCATGGCAAAAGTTCCAGGCTCTTTTGGGCAATCACGATCTTTGGTTATAACTTTCAACATTTGCTTGCAGAATTTTTCCTTGTATTTAGACCTGCATTTTCTTGTATCTAGACCTGCATTTTACCTATTCAAGGCACGTTTTACGGTCTGTATCAGTAATTGCTAAAATTTGACCCCCACCAAAATAATTTTAATTTCAACTTAGATCGCGGCTGACCACTATTGCACTCTCGGCCATGGTTTTACGCAGTCTTCTCATGACAATCACCATCTTGACCGTAGCGCTTCCTGAGACAAGACTTAGGTGGGACGGGGATCACCACGTTAGGCAACCCAGCAGCAACGACTAATTGTGACGAGAACTGCAACTGTCCCAACTACAAATCCACCAATTAGATCGTGTTTCGCATCCTACCGGGAAACGAAATCTGCACCTTCAATCTCCGATCTGTTTGACCACATAATCGTGTTAAGTGTAATTGAGGGTGGTCATGAGGAAATATTGACGCGGTAAAAAACAACCTTAGATTACTGGAAAGTTACTATTATCTGCCTAAATATAGCCATGTCAAGTAGTGTTTATACTCGATGCACTTGATCATCTCAAACTTGACACACTCTTGGGTGTTCTTGTAACTTCAATAGTAGAATCATCAATGTCCAATAAAAGTTCGGGATATTGAGAAAGTTCTTTTTGTGTCTGGTCAGACAATACGGGGGCAAAATCTTCGTTAAAAAAGTGGGGTTTAGTGACACTTCTAATGTCCGGTTTTTAACATTCTTCCTGGAGGAGATAATGCGTGCCTTTCGAAATGAATTCAAATGTGCTTTTCGTCAAAAACCACAAGTTAAAACTAAGACGATGCCTAATATTTACCATAATAGGGTGTCATGAGTGGTACATGCAATAAAATCTGATCTGTTTTTGGTAAACGCAATAAAAATTTGATATGGTTTATTGTGTAAAGGGTTCCATGTATTAGATGCTGGTCAAGAGATTGCGGAAAATTGAACTACGGATCGCTGGATATCGAAGCGGCATTTAATTACTCAACATATTTGAATTGTACCGTACATGTGGATCAAATCAACTAGACCTATTCGTCTCGATTGCAGTTCAGTAAAGCGGACTCGTGTGCGCGCTTCCGTAACTTCATAATCGTAGATGCATGTCCACTTTTCTCGTCCATTTTTT